CAAGCCTCGATCGTGGCCGGGGCCATCGACTTCGTCAAGGAGCTCGAGCAGCTCCTCCAGTCTCTTGAGGCCCAGAAGATGACCCTACAGCAGCAGAGGAGAAGGGCCTGTGGATCGTCGGACGCTGAGGATGGTGGCGTGGTCACCGGCGACGGGGACCCCCCCCCGTTCGCGCAATTCTTCGCCTATCCTCAGTACATCTGGTGCCACGGGACAAGGGAGACATCGCCGTCGCCGGCGGAGGGCCACCGACTGCCGGTGGGGTCGGTGGCGGACATCGAAGTGACGCTGATTGAGACCTTCGCCAACCTTCGGATACTCTCCCCACGGCGACCCGGACAACTGCTGAAGATGGTGGCCGGTTTCCAGACGCTTCATCTGACAGTCCTTCACCTCAGCGTCACCACCATGGACACCCTCGTCCTCTACTCCGTCAGCGCCAAGGTAATGCGGCTTCTCCCTCCCCACGTACGTTTCTTCCTGCATTACCCTTCCATTGCATACCTCCCCCTCTCTCTCTCTCCGTTCCTCTATTTTTCCACGTACGTTTTTGTGTGCTCAAATGATGATAGAAATCATCGTCTATCTTGAACGCTGAGAAACTTCACTTCTCTCTCTCTCCTTTCCTGTCCGATCACGTTGCTATCTCTCTCTCTCTCTCTCTCTCTCTCTCTCTCTCTCTCTCTCGATATACATATATATATATATACCATCCGTTCACTCTCTCCCCTCCGCTCCCACCCTTTACCTCTCGTATGATTCTCCCTCCATCACTCGGTCGCTCTCTGTGCCATGTGATTCTCTCTCTCTCTCAGACTCATACTCACTCTCTCCTACTTAAATTCGGGAAGTTTTTTGAATCCTCCGCCAGGGCTTTCGTGCGCATGAAGCCTGGAAGAAATCAATGTCTCCTTGAACTCTGAGAAGCAGCTCTCTTTCTCTCTCTACCTCGCTCCCTCGCCCGTTTCTTAAATCCCGTAATTTCTCGGCTCCCGCGGCATGCTCAACAGCTGCACCACATGCTGACTGATGCAGCAGCCCAGCATTTCTCCGCTATCGATGGGGAAGAGATGCCCTTCCTCCGTGTCCTGCTCTCTCTCTAGCCGATCCCCCGAGGAGATTCTCTTCTCGGGCTCCCCATCATCCCCCCATTAATACCCCGGAGGAGCTCCCCAGAGCACCCTGGAATTCCCTCGGAAACCCTAACCAAAACATTCTCCTCCCCTCCCGTGGTTCCCATGTCGGGGGGGTCCCAACTCTAATAAATTCCATGATTGCAGCCAGTTTAACAGTTTTCCAGGTTCCGATCTCGTGGCCTCCGCGGATCATGCGGCATTTATAGTCCATCTTCCGTGTCCGGCGATTACAGGCGGAGGGAGAGAGAGAGAGAGAGAGAGGTCCAGCGTCGTTTGACTATGAGGAGCAGGGCATACCCGGAAAAGGAAATAGCCCATCCGTCTTCTTCTTCCTCCTCCCTTGGGTCCCTCCTTCCTTCTTGCGGTGGCCATTAATGCAGCTCCGAGCTGTTATTGTTACCTTCCTCCCCATCTTCCAGAGAGAACTCACGGCAGAAATATTCTCCCTGCTGCAGGTAGAGGAAGGATGTAACCTGACCTCGGTAGACGACATCGCGGCCGCGGTCCACCACATGCTCACCCTCATCGAAGCAGAGGCTGCCCTCGCCTGAGGAGGACGAAGAAGACGACAACTTTTGCCCTGCTAAACCATTCCCGCCATCTCCGCCGCTGTAAAGCAGATGGCCATGTTACCGTCGGATGGGAAAAACTCGGCTGATCTAACGGCCTACATAACTTCACTTAGCTCCCTGTAATTTCCTCCTTTTGACAGAATCTCCCCTGCCCTTTTCGCGTCCGCTGCTGCTTTGGAGCAACGGTTTCCGCGGGCCGGTGAATCCGAACCGTGTCGGGTCTGAGCTGACGTGGCCAAAAAAGCCGTTAACCGCGACAAAAGTGCTCCGCACGAGGGAACCGACGCGTGCGGAGAAGGTAAGCGTGTGCTCCCATGTTCGGATCTGACACCGTTTCTTGTCTGGATATGCGGTCCTTGCTGGATGTTGTCGGGCCTGGAGGACCCATTTTTGGTGGGCCCGTGCTAGCGCGGATCCGACGTGGCCGCACACGCGCTACAACGCTGGCGGGGGAACTGTTTGGCGTGGCTTTCAGGGTCCCTGTTTCCATTTGTTTTCTAGACGAGACGTGGAACCCTCCAGACGGAGCTTTCAGAAAGCCGAGGAATCTGATTCTGGGAAGAGACCGGCTCCCCCGACGGAGAGAACTAAGTAGCCCGGTCTGCCAATCCACGGCTATCCCACACAACCAAAGGTGACAAAATAGTAGACCCGGGAAATAAATAAATAAAAAAATAAAAATATATAGATATATGTTCTTTATAAATAAACACACCACATTTTATATTACCGAAGGATGATAATATTTTCTAATATCCATTGAAAAGAATAAACAAAATCGTGATTATACAAGAAAAAACTCACGTATAGAAACGAAAACGTTTATTTGGAATTAGTTATTATTTATTTAAGATAGAATAGCCTGAATATATATATATATATTGATAAATTGTGCAATAAGTCCTGATTTATAGAAAATCGTATTTATTTGTCTAACCGCAGACATCATCGGACTGGTGTTGGTCAAGAATCAAAACTTTTCCTAATCAACGAGGGTAAAAATGTATTTTCATCCTATACAATTTTAATTTATTTTGATGGTGTTGATCTTATCCCACGGAACTGGTAGGGTATAATTGACTAATCGGGCCTTTGAACTGGCCACACCCGGCGCCACTTGGATCACCGCTCAACGGTCCCTGAACTTGATCCATTAAACGAGTCAACCATAGACCAGACTGTGAATCTCCGCATCGTGATGACCTGGTCAGACTGGTCCCACCTGACGAGGCCATCCCCCCACAAAGCCATAAATAGCGATCCCACTCTCAGTGGGCCGAAACTTTTGGATGCATCGGATTCAAAAAATAGGCAAGGCCCGGCCCGTTTTAATGGATGAAGAGTTCTCTGAACAACCCCAGGCAAGGGGAGGACGAAGAAGAGCTCCATGGAGATGGACGATGCCCACGAGAAGGAGGATGAAGAGAAACCAGAGAGAGGAGCAGCCATGGAGGAAACCAATCAATTCTCTCTCTCTTTCTCTCTCTTTCTCTCTCATAAGGGGAGGATGCTGTGGCTCCAGCTACTGTGCCGGGTGAAGGCGAATCTACCGCAGGAGAAGGACCTCTTCATGGGTGCTCCAGTCCTGGCGAAGGTAACCTTTCGAACCGCCGACGGCCCCTCGACGTGCTCGGCAGCGGAATGGTGGGGCTCTTTCGCCGCCGGCGGCGGAAAACTGGACTCGAGGTCCAGACGGGAGGCATCCATCACGGACAATGAGCGCCGAATGGCCTGAACTCCTCTTCCTCCGATGGGATCCCCCAACTCGTGGTGGACTCCTCCACCTTCGACATCTCCCCGGTCGTCTTCTCCGCCACCACCTTCTTCTTCTTCTGCATCTTCGGGGTCAGTTGCAATGGCTTCTCGCTGGAGCTCCGGCGACGACGTGGGCTGCACCGGTGGCGCTACCACGTTGGTCCGGCAGAGGGGGCATGTGGAGTGGGACCTGAGCCACATGTCGATGCAGGGAAGGTGGAATGCGTGGGTGCACTTGGGGAGAAGCCGCAGGGCTTCTCCCTCCTGGAACTCTCCGAGGCAGACCGAGCAATCGCAGGTCCCCACGATCCCCTCCCCGTTGACGAACTTGATCTCTCCGAGGGACCTGATCAGCGACTCCTCCAGCCCGCCACCGGCCGGCGAGTAATACCAGTCGAGGGGGGGGGCGGCGGCGGAATCGCCGCCGCTCCGTCGCCTCCCGAGGGGGTCGAACCTGCTGCAGTACCTGGTGATGACGGCGTAGTAGAGGATGAGCATGAAGGCACTGGCTAGGATTCCGATGACGATGATGAAGAGCGGGGAGAAGCCGGGGCTGCCGGCGGCGTCCTCAGGCGGGCCGAAGGGCGGCGGCGGCTTCTGAACAATGAAGCACCACTGTGGGCAGTAGACGCTGCAGAACCCTAGGGAGCAGTCATCGATTTGGAGCCCAGTTTGCTGGTTGTAGTTGGGAGACCCCATGGGAGAGGAAGAGGAGATCTCTCACATCTCAGCTGCCGCCATGGTCTTCTTCTTCTTCTCTCGCCTCGTCTTCCTCCCCTCCCGAGAAAGTAGGGGCAGACGCAGAGCACGCTCCTGAAGAAGACGGTCCTCCTTTTGAAGACGACCTCTGACCCGTATGGCCTTTCGTGCTGAAAGAAGCTGGAACAATGGCTTCTACGTAAAGCTCACGCTCACATTTTGGACTGGCAGAGAGAGAGAGAGAGAGAGAGAGAGAGAGGTAGACAGAGATAGATAGATAGATAGATAGATAGATAAATGGAGAGAAAGAGAGGGAGATACAGAGAGATAGATATATGTATATATAGAGATAGCGAGAGAGAGAGAGAGAGAGGTGTTCGGAGGAAAGCGAAGGGGGGGGGGGGCGGGGGGCGCAGGGCAGTTGAAGGCCGCGGACGGGAAGGCTGGGAGAGCTAGGTGATATTTACACGTCATTCGTGCTATACTCCACTCTCCGACCGACAAAAGAGATCAGTAAGGCAGAAGGAAAACCCAGCAACCTTCTCTCGCGGGGGTGGAAAATAAAAGAAACCTGGATGCACCGTAGAAGAAGTCCGCTATAGCTTTAACTACAGTCAAACGGTTGGCTCCCCCACACTTGTCGAGATATATCCATATTTAATTTATTATTTATTGAAATTATCAGCCTATCGCTTTCGTTTATATTGTTTATTTCGCACGTCCCCCGCAACGCCACGCCAGCAGGACTTGGAATCGTAAGTACCAAAAATACCCTCGCAGTCGAACATGCGTACGTGGAACAGGTCTGGGAGATGTAGTGCTTTGCAAATTTTCAAAACTTTGTTTGTTTTGGGTCGAAAACTTTGATAAAGTTGGGTGCTTTTTTATAAAAATCCGACCGGGCCAGGACTCTGACAGAAGAGTAGTTCCTTGGTCGAGGTGGGATGAACACCAACCGTCGTTGTGCTGATGATGCGGACTTCTTACCCCTCTTCCCCTCCTGTTAAAACATTGCTTTACATAGAGAGAGAGAGAGAGAGAGAATAGTCCACAAGGGACTCCGAAAATAACTCCGTACCAACTGTCTCTGTCTCTCTCTCACTCTCTCCCTTCCTCCTACCTTTCTCTCTCTATGATAATTTATTCCACGGTCTCCTCTTTCCCTCCATCTACGCATCTATCGTTCTGTTCACTGTCAACCCATCTCCCCCTCTCTCTTCTTTACTCTCTCCTCCTCCATATCCTCCGCCTCTCCACCCACCTATCTCTTCCTCTACCTTCTCTCTCTATCCCTACTCTCCCTCTCTCTCTCTTCGGTGTGAGGTGAGGGGACGCATTCAATAGGGTGGACGTACTATCTCTGACTTGAGCAGAGGCGGCGGGCCCCCTTGTCCACTATTCCGGCCCGCCCGCAACAAGTTGGCCCTGGCCCACGGCCCATTAAAGAGCTGTCAGCCCGGAGGCCGCAGTCAAAGTTGCGTTAGGACATCTAACTCTACAGAGGTGTCCATGGGCCGGGATCGGGCCGAAGCCCGATGGTAAAAATAGAAGCTCAATCTGGTTCCTATCTAAGCCTAGTCGAGCCCTAGGGACCACTGCTATGCCCTAAATAAAATACATAATAAAATAAATAATGTACCATATAAAATAATAAAACATAATAGAAGTGAATTACTTCACCAGAGATTAGGCTAATAATAAATGCTTGTTTCCAAGAGAGTGATTAAGTCAAATGAGAGATAGATAGAGAGAGAGAGAGAGAGAGAGAGGGAGAGGGAGAGGGAGAGAGAGAGAGAGAGAGAGAGAGAGAGTCTCACATGATTGACCGAAGACCTCAAGATAGTGTGAGACTCTCTCTCTCTCGCTTTCTCTCTCCATTTCTCTTGGAAAAGTGCACAGAGAGGGGGGGAAGAGAGAGGCGGGTTCTGGTTTCATTGAACTTAGGCCCGAAGCCCATTGGCCCGAAGCCCATTTTTTGAGTATTTCTTTATGTCCGGGGAGGGTCCGGGCTTGCCACAAATCGTCCGCCCTTTATTCTCTCCACTTGGAGATCCGTTCCTTCCCCGTCCCTACGTGAAAGCTTTCCGCGGGAAGAAGATCATGGTGCGTCCCCGTCATTCCTCCTCGAAAACTAGTATTAATTGTAAAATTTCATCAGATTAACTGGGGGCGTTCTGTTCTTCTTGTGCAATTTTGTTGTTCCACGGATTTTCCTTTAGATTGACGTTGAAGTCATGTTTAATCCTGTGAGTGATTCTTTTCTCGATCCGTATCCTTCGATTCCCCTCTTATCGGTGGTTCTGCCGAGCACTGAGGTGAATTTTCATTATTTCACTGATAGTTGTCATGCTTTCTTCTTGTGATACGCCATGGCATTTCATTTATACAGGATAAATCAGATAAATGAGTGATCGGCCCATGATAAAAAGTGCGCATATGGCTAGCTGAATTCATAGCACGGAAGGCTGAGTGAATAGGTTTTGGTTTTCTTACGCGCAGTTCATTGTAGGATAAGAGCCTGTCGTGGGGGATTGATTGCCGTTTTATAAAATGCGACAGCGATCCTATGTTTTCTTAGACGAAATCAGATTTTATAAAATCTCTCACGACTGCATTAGCGAGGATCATTTGCCCCGCCTGAAACGGAACTTTGAAAATTTTATCCAGGTTTTGATGCTTATTTCGCTAATACTCTTCTTCATATTTGTTTATCTATTTTTCACGCAAATATGGCTTTATCGACTATCCTGATTTTTATTTTGTTTGTAATGGTCATGATACACTACCTCCAGAATATCTCATCTAAATCCAACCATGTGATGCAACTGTGCTATTTAGGGAAGATATATCCTCATCCTTTCGATGGATTCGGGTATTTCCCTTGTACAATGTTTATTACGGCCTTAATAAATGGAAATTCGTACCTGATGATGGACCTTGATGCTTCTAGTTCTGATGATCCTTAAGAACGCTCACCCATAATATATATGAATTAATAAGCCCAATGCTTCTTTTCTGTCCTAGACTAAGAAAGAGCTGAATTAAAGAAATTGGGGATGTGAAGAATCTGGTAAAGATATTCAGCAATTACAGATGGCCGAGGCCCCCAACGACGTTCTAATGTTCCTTGAGTTTTATCAACTTATGAATTTATTATTAGGGTGTGGAATTTTCATCACGATGAAATGGTGACAGATCTATGAATAGACTGATTGTCTCTCTAAATCGTGGAACTTCAAAACATTCATCTGTCTTCTTAAAATTCAAAGAGAGAAAAGACAAATTAGGGAGAAAATTTTGAAGATAAGATTCTGGTTTGTATGTTTAGCTACGATTGTAGACATTCCTCTTGTTATAGGTAGAATGTACATGAAAATGTCATGAGACTTGTAATATTGCCACAACTTAAAAAGTAGGTATTTTGGTGTTTGTAATTGTCTGTTTTGATTATTTCCCCACTGTTGTTTAATCATACCCTGATATTTATTTAATTTTTTACACGATGTTATAGTAGGTGAAAAAGATAATGACATTTGTTCAAGTTCATTGGAATGATTCCTTCAAAAGGAAATTCATGGATGCAACCTATGAAGGCCCGGCCTTCACAGAAAATCCGAACGTGGTATCGTATGAGTTTTTAAAAAATTCTTGATGGATTAATCTTTGATAGTGATGTGTCATGGGGAGGTAGAAACTCTATGGATTTTTTTCCCGCGGGGTACATTCACGACAGAAAATATGACAACTCTGGGGTCAAGTTATGGTTGCTTTTGATGGAGGAAAGAGAAATTTCGAATATTACATCTCAACTTTCTCATGGATTCTCTCGTCCTAATTCTACTATATCAATTGAGTTTAACATTATAATCTGTTGTTGCATATGCCCAATTGGCTATGCAGATGAAACTATTTAAGAATGAGGATTTTATTTAAATTTTTTTATCACCAGACCTGAATGCCTATCTGACATAATTATTACCAGTGACTGATTCAAGGTTCATTCTTTGCATCCTCTTAAATAATCCCACATAGTTCACATTTTACCCAGGAAAAGGAAGCGAAAAAGGAAGCTTTTAGGAAGTATCTAGAATCTAGTGGAGTACTTGATGCTCTTACTAAAGGTTTCTCTTCATCATCCTCTTTTCTTGTACAACTGGCCAATAATTTTAATGCTTCTAACCTTGAAGCAAGTTTGACGTGCTTTCTGTGTCGCTCGTCTTTCTTTGTAGCGCTTGTCGCTCTGTACGAGGAGAACAACAGACCATCATCTGCTACGGAGTAAGTTCTTCCTTTTGTTCAGAACTGAAGAACTTAGTATTCTATTTTAAATACGACTAGCATGTCTTCTTGTTTAAGTTGGATACAACTTACTTGGAATAAATTAATTTCTAAGTCATCCTACTGCCTGTACATTCCAGAAAGCTTCCCTGTCTGAAACATCAGCATCAAACCCCAAACTAAAAAGGAAAACCAGATTTGTATTTCTCAGAATACTTCTTTCTAACAAAGAAGAACCTGGTGCTATATTCCTGCGCAAATCTCAATCCCCAAGGATCCATTAAAAATATAAGCCGTCTCCATGGTTGATAAATTCTTCTACTTTCTTCTCTTCCTGGAATCATCTCCTAACAAGGTAATTCCAAAAGGACTGCTGGATCATGTTCTCTTGTAAGCGGCCGATCTTGTCTCTGCTGTATGAATAGGTCCTGATGGAGATTCTCCTTGAACTGAAAATTCCAAGTTGTCGCCATCCTGGTTCGATTGGGTCTACCAAATTTTCTTTAATGCAAGTCAACTAACTCCATGGTGATCTGTTGACCCTGATGAAGATCACATTGTACCTGACTGATCTGGTTTTTTTCAATCCTTGGAAATCTTTGGGAGCCCAATTTCCTTGTTACTCTTCCTAAATCATTTTCTATGGTATCGTCCTCAATGAATAGAAGCAAATAGAGGAAGATGCCGGTGAGTTTATGGGACTTCTAAAGTCAGCGTACGAGGAAATAGCAAGCTTCATGGCTAGAACATTGAAATAATTTCAAAAAGATTGTGATAACTTTTTCATCTACTGTCTTTTTCTATAATTTTCTCTGAATGAAACCTTCACTCGCGAGGTAATCTCCATCAAAAGTGAATAAATGAAAGGTTCCTACGATCATGTTCTCTTTCCCACTATTGGCCACGTACCAACTGTGTCTCAAAAATTAGAAATTATCTAATAAAATCATTATTTTTTTGATAAAACATTTAACCCTTTTACCACCAGCCACGAGCTATGGTTATTTTTTGAATTTCTTCTTTGAGCGCTGATGCAACCCAGTAATTTCTTCTTTAAGATTTGTCTTCCTTCGACGACTCCTGTGACTTTTATTGGGAGACTAAACTCTGCGGCGTTGCCAGGTTCATTCAACAGAAACTGGGAGGCCCGAGCATTGCTGAGTATGAAAAACTCCGGGCGGAGAAATCGGACCTGCAGATCAAGTATGAGCAGCTTTTGCATGCTCACAGAAGCACACGCGAGGAGGTAATCTCTGACAAAAATACATTTCCCGTATGAGTGAGAAACCCTCTCTCTCTCTCTCTCTCTCTCTCTCTCTCTTCTCTGGGAGGAGCTGATTGGGGTCGGCGTAATTGGGATGTAGGATATACGAACTATCTATAAATGTAGTATAGGCCAGTAACTTGGGTTATTTCCTTCTTCCGTGGTAGCTCGAAGAACTCAAGCGCCGGGGGGAGCCGTTGCTGCCCGCAACCGAGGGAGACGCATGGAGAGGGCACTCCTCTCAGGAGCCCTAGAAATCCTCAAGTACAGGAGACCGTTCGCTTGCTCATCAACTCAACTCCTGTGGGTAAAGTTGCTTCAAACGTTGGAACTTTGGGGAAGAGATGAAGCTTAGGTTGGCCATATTCTTTGATTGTATGGGTTTCTTCGAGCCTAGATCTTGTGGATGCTTGCAGTTGACACCCTTATTCCTGACCCCAACTGTACCCTAACTCGATCTTGGGCCGCCATTACAGCTGGAGGTGCAGAAAATGAAAGGCTCCTGAGGTCCGACTCAGCTTTATGCCCCCTTCCTTCGCTTTACAACTCCCCCTCCTCCTCCTGCATGTTGTGTGGGGAGGAGAGAGAGACTCTGAGAGCAGCATACCCTGGGAGCCATGGCGATGAGCAGCGCTACCATGGGCGTCCTCAGCGTGGCGGCGATGTTGCTCGCCGTCCCCGTCCTCGGCGCCGGAGTATGGCTCTCCACCCGCCCCGAGGACGCCTGCGCGGGGCTCCTCCAGTGGCCGGCGATCGCACTCGGCGCGGCCATCCTGGCGGCGGCGACCGCCGGTCTTGTGGGCTCCTTCCGGGGCCTCCCCCGCGTCATCTTCCTCTACCTGATCGTCATGCTCGTACTCGTCCTCCTCCTCGCCGCCCTCGTCGTCTTCGTCTTCTCCGTCACCGGCGCCAGCGCCGGCCACCCCGCTCCGAGCCGGGCATACCTCGAGTACCACCTCGAGGACTACTCCGGCTGGTTGCGCCGCCACTTGAGCCCCCCCCACAAGTGGAACAGAATCAGCGCCTGCCTCAGGTCCACCCGCACCTGCTCGAAGCTCAACCAGACCTACCCCTCGGCGCAGGATTTCTTCTCCTCCTCCATGAATCCCCTCCAGGTTGCCTCCCAGCACTATCTCCCTCCCCCCCTCCCCCTCTCTTCTTCATTGGTAATCTTCTCATCTCTCTCTCTCTCTCTCTCTCTCTGTATCTTTTTTTATCTAGTCGGGGTGCTGCAAACCGCCGACGGAGTGTGGGTTTACGTTCGTGAGCGCGACGAACTGGATCAGCCCCATAAGCTCGGCGGCGGATGAGGATTGCGGCAGGTGGAGCAACGATCAGACGGAGCTGTGCTATTCGTGCAGCTCCTGCAAGGCGGGGTTGCTGGAGGGACTCAAGAAGGGTTGGCGGAGGGCAGGGATCGTCCTCCTCGTCGTACTGGTCCTCCTCGTTTTCGTGCACTCCGCCAGCTGCTACGCCTTCCGAAGGGCCAAGACGGAGGAACTCTTCCGCTTGTACAAGCAGGGGTATACGTGAGCCTGTGAAGCGTCGCAGGAGGTTGGGAGAGGAGGACGACGAGGAGGGGTTACGCTAACACGTGGGCGAGCTGGGTTTGTCTCCGAAAGGGCTCCAAAAGTATGGAAATTGGAGGGGTTTTGGGTGTAAAGCTGTGGTTTTGATGCGCCCATCCTATGTCGTGAGAATTGTTCCATCTCTCTCTCTCCCTCTCTTTTTCTTCCCTCTGTCTTTCTCTCTCCCCATCCCTCTCTCTCTCTCTCTCTCTCTCTCTCTCTCTCTCTCCCGCCCTCTCTCTTTCTCTCTCTACCACCCTCTCTATCTGATAGTGCCCCACTTCCCGTTGGATGCACCGAGCTAAGTCAGCTTGTTTGGTCGCGAGGAGCATTCCGAGAGTATGAGGATCAAAGGGTGGTGATATGAGGGGCAGAGAGAGAGAGCATGAGGATAAGGGTGACGATAAGAGAGAGAAGATTAATGGGATAACTGATAATGGGAAAAGAGGGAGAGTCTCTATTCATGATACTCTAGAAAGGATAAGTAGAGATAATAAAGAGAGACTAGTGAAGAGAAATGAGTCGTGACTTGGTCAAGTAGAGAGAGTGGAACCGTGTTAATGAGTGTGGTTACAAAGGATGACCTTCCACAGTCTATTTGTAGTCAAGTACAACCGATGGATTGATCTAACGACCACAATTGTGGCCTACCTCAGAGTGGTGCCTGTGGTAGTGGAAGAGAGCAGAAGATGGAGAAAAAATTGACTTAATCGATTTGAGAAATGTATGGTTTTTGTACAGTCATGAAATTATAAAAATACCTTATAAGAATTATCATTTGATATAAACCTTCTCACCACCCCTCCTCAAGTCGTTTAAATGTCAACTATATTTAACTTGCTCGTGTTGGATTTGAATGATGTAGTTGATAATCTTTTGGCAAATATATTTGCCAATTGGTCATGTAATCATTTGTATATGAGGCATAACTATTTTGAATTGATCTTATCTGAAATGAAATGTTAATTGATTTTAAAATGTTTGGTCTTGTCATATTATATAGAATTGTCGTTAATATTTATCACATCTTAATTGTCACATAATAGTTTGAGTGGTAATTCAACATACAACCCAAGATCATGCTTAGACGTTTTAGCCACAATAACTTGGTTAGTTTATGTTCCATTGCATAGTACTTAGCCTTAAAACTTGATTGTGTCCCAATTGTTTGCTTTTTACTTCATCACATGACAAGGTTTACTCTCAAGAAAGCACAATAGCTTGTAGTAAACTTGCGATCATCATAGATCTTATCCAATTTACATCAACAAATCCTTCAATGTGTAAGTCATTTGAAGTATTAAAAAGTAGACATTTATATTGTCAAGATTTTAGTTATTATAGAATTTGATGAACAAGACTGCCTTCCTTCCAAGATTGCTGCCCATTTAGGGGTACCTTGAATGGCCGATTCCTGCTGTTTTGCTTCGGACAGGTGGAAATCAAGATTTTATTTCTTCCCCTACTGAGTGAGTTCCCCTTAAATATTGAAATATTATATCATATTTTAGGTAAAAGATTAGAATAACTAAAACATAATTCAATTATCATAACTTGATTTTGTGACAATAATAAGAAAATAATATTTTATTTTATTAGAGAAAGAAGGACACGAGCTTTTTTCGTATGCCTACTTTTTTTGAAACATTTCCGGTCATTTTGGTAGATGGAGATGGAATTGTGAGAGCCGTACTCTATGTTCGCCGTCTTGTACTACTTACAAACTGATCATATTTCTCGTAATGACTTTTGGTAATCCCACTCAGAATACCTGAGAACACTGTATTGACTAACAAATTCGATGTTAGTTTGATCCATGTGAGTCGGGGTTATTGGACAAGGATGGGTTGAAGACTATGTATATATCTACTCACTAGATTTACAACAAAAGATAAATCAGGTCTAGTTAGTGATAGTTACAAAAACTTTTCAATGATTTATTGATAAATAATTTTTAATTTGTTTCAAAAGTTCTTATCCATCTGTAATAATGAGATGTAGGTTTTGTTTCATAGGTGTAGCATATGGTTTGCAATTTACTTTTCCTATTTCGGTTATTAGGTCCATTATGTATTTCCTTTAACATATATATTCTTCTTTTTGGATCTAGTAACTTTGATACCTAAGAAATATTTTAACTCTTCTAAATCTTTGATCTCAAATTCTTTTGCTAAATTTTAGTTTAATATTTTTATTTTCTATTCATCATCATTGGTGAGAATCATATCATCAACATAAATAATTAAAATAGAACTATTTGTGATTGAATTTAAAGAAAATCTATTAATAATAATATTAAGCTCCATAAATGAAAGAAAAATCTTGAGAAGGAGACTCTTGTGAGGGAATAAAAAATGTTTAGAGTAATTCAACAAATTAGACTTAAGGGATGCTCATAAAGGAGTATAAAAAAATATAAATTAAAAATTACATAATTTTAATGCATTGATATTTAAAATTTAGCTCAAGAACATAAAAAAAATTATAAGATGAAAATTAGACTGCAGCGATGATTAAGTGATTAGATTAGTTTGAGGAAAGTAAGGTTTGAAGATTAATACACAGAAAATCCAAAATTTTCATTAAAGGAACTAAGTAGATTTTTAAGAGTAAATGTGGAAAGAAGAATTGTTTAAAAGAAAGCTAGATTGGTAGCATGTATTACATAGATCAAAGTAATATACTATGATGAAATGTATGGTTTAATGGTTAGATTAAGATGTAATTAAATTTTTGTATAGCTTGTGTAGTCCAAAAATATTATCTCTATCAAATGGATTTGTAGTTTGTACTTCTCAATAGTGAAATTAAAAATAAAATTATATGAGAGTCAATCACTTTGTTTTACAAATTTAGAATATCTTGACATGTGTTCTAAAAATTATCTAAAGTATTATATGATCTTAAATAAGTTGTGAGAGCTTGGGATGAAATATTAACATCTTTCTTCTTAGAACAAGTTTTAATAGAAGAAGTATTGATATTATTTTGTTGATCAAAGAAAGAGATGAGCATATATTAGTGGCTCAAGTATATGTAGATGATATAACCTTTGGGTCTTAAAATTGAAATTTATTTTTCGAAGTTTTAAGAGACCACAAAGAATGAATTCGAGATGATCATGATGAGTGAGCCTAGTTATTTCTCAAGATTACAAATAAAATAATTAGAAGATAGATTATTTACTTCTTAATTAAAATATGCTAAATAACAATTAAAAAGAGATAATCATTCAATAAGAAGAGAAGAAAAACTCAAATGAATTACATGATCAAAATGACTTAGAAATACAATCTTCACATCAAGTTGTTCTAACCTCAATTTGTGAATGCCCTTGTTGACACATGCAGTGTGTTTTGACACATAATGGAAATTTATTACAAATCATTCTTGAATGAGTTGAATTATAATGTGAATTACATTTTTTTATTATCACAAGATAACTTTAATTGAAAAATATTCAAATTATATATTTGTGGAAGGCCATAATAGACATCTTTGTTCTTGATTAATATTTAGTGGTTCTTAGAGTGTAAGTTTAACTTGAGGAAGATTGTGGGGTTATGAAATTCAACTATAAGTATGTTTATGATATGGACAAGAAATAGTTAAACATAATGATTCTATTGAGTACGTAATAGTCTATAAAAGTGTCATGAGTCATCCTTCTTCCTCACTAACAAGACTAGATTATAGAGAATGGGATAATTGAATGTTGAAAGATCTTATTGATGAACATCTCATGGATTAACTTTTATAACTTAATTTTTTAGAAATGAGGATATATGAATGGCCTACTATTGATGGGTTACACCGCTAGTTCTAATGTAATCATGTGATCCACCTCATAGGCTAGGAAAAAATTACGAGTTGAATTAGATATAATTAAAAATTCTTTCTAAAAAAGATTATCAAGTTTGGCATTTGTGGTGGCAGCATGTTGGTGATGCTCTATCTGGAAGAGTTTTATGATGAGGCTTCTACTTTTGAGGACTTTGGACAAAGCCTTGAAAGAGAGATATATTAGTCTTAGATTATAATACAATCTAACCCAACTATGAAGGAAATCATCAATTGATTGAAGTCAACTTATATTTTTCTCAGAGCCTACATTGACTTAAACCCCAAAATATTGTTAACATTTGCTAATAGAAGCACCATGAGGTCTTTTTTAAATCATCAATCTTATAATTTGATGATCATTGCCTAGTAAATGGTGGTGCCATAAACCTTCTCTCTCATGCTAGTGATGACCTAAAATTATGAATTTTGGGTCATCAAAAAATCTAATTCGAGAGCTTCCTTCTACAAGATGATGTTGTGGGAACTGTTTATCTCAAACATAATGAAGATCACTTGATTTTGAATGGTCTCTTAGAAGTTTAGAGCTTTGGTTGATGTACTGCTGTAAAGGGAATGGAGGGAGACCTCTAGGTTAACCATCATTTTTAGTTTGACAAGGGTGTTGGTCAAAAGAGTATCCTTGTTGTCAGAAAGATTTTCTTCCTCCTCCACGACCATTATTTGAAGCTCATGATTGTAGCAGTGACCCAGTAGATACTTCTGGTTATAGGAGAAGCATATGCCCTAAACACATATAACTTGTATCTCCGCAAGTGTTAATTACATATGTTGATGTTAAGCTAGTGGTGGTGCATCATGCAACCCTTGGAAGGAGTTTTTAATGTAAGAAGCCTTAATTTTAAAGAGCTCATGATGGCAAAGTAATAACTTGGGGCCCTTCATCGATCTTAAAGAATCTTTGGTGCACATTTTTCAAAGAATTGTACAAAGATTCTAAATTTTTTTCTTCGAACTAGTGTGCCTAGGTCATTATGCTCACTACTCAACATGTCAAAATGAAGCTTTTGGTCATGTGAGACTTTGGTAGTTCAAAGATATATTCCATAACATCTCTAAAGATGACAACCATTAGTTTGAACTCTTCTCAATACTCTACAATTGTGTCATATTATTTGATGCTTAAGACGTTATGATAGAGGGAGCTAGAGTAGTTGGGGCTAAAATGCTCAAGAAGTTGATGGTAGAAGTCTTCCCTTCAAGATTGAAACCGATTGTCAAGAGTTTCTCCCTTGAGAAGAGTTTGTGCATATTAAAGTAAAACTTCGTATAAAACATTTAGTCTTTTGAGTCGCACCTATCATATAGAGGCATTTTTAATTTGTACATATACTATCATCGCTCATCCTAATTTGGTGAAGGGTGAAAGGTCTGTATGGACAAAAATTTCTCACATATCATTGGTCCATCCATTTAGGAGGATCCATGTTATCAAAATTGCACTTACATGGTCGACCTCTCTCAATCTCTAATGGGTCAAGTATGAATCGTGGATGTTAGAGGACTAAATGACCTCTTGGCATTGTGAATAGTGATTTTGTCTATCATAGTGATATATTTCAATTGTTGTTTGATGGTTGCCAACTCACTATAGTTGACTTTTCATTGAGGACGAGGTACATGACCTCTTTTTAGAGTGTGAGGATATCTTATTGAATTCTTCATGTTACTTTTCAATAAACTTGATCTATGCATCACTAATTTTTGAAGTCATAATGGTTGCTCTCATACAAATTTGATAGGCCCCCACTATATATTAGACATGTTGAGTAGGGTTAACTCTCTTGATTGTGGGGAGCATTCTAAGAGTATGAGGATAAAGAGTGGTGATATGAGGGGCAGAGAAAGGGTACAAGGATAAGGGTGATAGTAGAAGAGAGAGAAGATGAAAGAGATAGTTGATAACAAAAAAAAAGGAGAGCCCTAATACATCATACTCCTGAAGGAGAAGGAGAGAGAATAAAGAGAGATTAGGTTAACACCTGCTACAAGCCACTTTGAGGGGGTGAACCTTTCAAGTTCTCACTTTAGACTTTTTGAGGCCCATCCAGCTTCATCTCATCGTGTCTTTACAATTATCCACATTTTCTAGGAACTGATCATCCTCTTGATAAATGTGAGCCTTTTTCCTCTAGTGAGAGCTGCTCCTCAATACATGCAGCTGTGATATGAGGCAAGGGAGGTGGTGTGCCAGCCCTCCTCAAGTTCTTCTTGTGAGGATGTGATGGGCCAGCCAATAGCCCATCACTATCACCCCCACCCTATCTCTCTTTCTCTCTTTCTACCATCCTCTCTCCTTCTATCTCTCTCTCACTCTACCAACCTCTCTCTCTCTCTCTCTATTTCAGATGCAACCCTCATAGTCGTCTAAATGAGCTCAATCTGTGTGTCCTGACAAATATAGAAATCTGGCTCATAATATGATGCGAACATCGGCCATCTAAACGGGCCCATGTAAATATTATTGGACCCCTTCAATTACATAATGGGCCGGCCCACATATGATTCTTGCACTTTCTACGTCGTGGTAGATGGGACGAGACCAAACCATCCTCGAGATCGAGATCGAATCAGATGGGCCATCATCAGGACTCCACCGGATCAGGCCGGGTCACGCCATCAGCTCCAACTTCGATCTTGGCCCTTGATATCCCATCGGACGTGATGCATCAATATGACACGTGCTGGATATGTGCGGTCAACAGTCAAATGGCCCCGGTAGACCGAAACTTCAGGCCAAATAGGGTGGCCCAGGGGCCCACAACGTAAATGCTCTAATGGGCCAGGCCCATTTATACACCAATCAGGCTGGCTGTGTCTATAAAGTGGTCAGTCCAAGGGAACGATGAGTGTTCACAACGTGGGCCCATCTTGAGGACATCTACTTTGTCGGTTTCCATCTCTTGTGGGCTCCCTCAGGTCCTACCTTATCCTCCCCCCCCCAGCGACCCCGCCGATTTCTACCTCGGGGGAGATATTTCTATGGTCATAATTCATGTATATTCATTACATTTTAATAAATAAATAAAAATTATTTATAGAGAGAGAGAGAGAGAGAGAGAGAGAGAGAGAAATTTTCAGAAGAATAAAGCACCACTAGGCCTGTAAATTTCCAGAGAACCATATTCCTGGTCATTGTGATCTACATGAGTTTGACAGGCCAACTAATCTCTTGTCTCTCTTTCTCCTCCCTTTCTCTCTCTATGACCGTAGGCTTCGTCCATCATCGCCATACGATCGATCAGCCGCCTTTCAGCGGTGGGCCACGTGGAGATAATTCGTAAGAAATAATTATAAATATACTTTATAATGTGTCCGTAATATGCGACGATTGTAATTATTAGAAACTCTGCTCAGATTTTCCCCCTGATCGGTGGGGCCAATGGACCGCAAATGGTCCAACAATTTTCGGGCCGAGTCCACTATTCACCTAGAGCTGATCCTGGGCCGGGGCCGGGCTGGACCCGCTTAGAATATCGCCCGAGCCCGGCCGGAGCTTGTCAGGAAATCTATGACGCATGCGCATCCGTATGATACGGCCGTCGGTCGTTGGAGTTGCTGACTTATATACCACGTGTCGGCATCCGGTTGGCCGAAGTTACTTCGAGAGAGTTTCGCAACTATTCCACCGCTCACGCGCGCGTCAGAGGCGACCGGCGAAGATTCCAACCGGGAGCGAGAGCGGGGCCCGCCGGCCGACCAGCGCCGCCAGAGTCTTCCACTGACTGAACCGTGTATGCCCATAAATATCTTTTCTATCACATAAACTTCACCACTTCTCTCTCTCTCTCTGTCTCTACAACCCACCACCTTCACGCATATTTACATCATCCAGCCACCGAAGGAAAAGAAAAAGATCCACTGTCCCCTTCTCTCTCTAACTCTCTAACTCTCTCTCTCTCTCTCTAATGGCCAGGGGACCTTCTTCTCCGGGGAGATCTGCTGTGATATCTACACGCCAGCCGCCGCCACCTGGCCTCCCATGTCCGAAGAAGCACGAGGTGGAAGAGGATCTCCCCTCTATCTATCTGTATAAGTAGCTATTTAAGTATATGTAAATATATATATTTTTAGAAGGGATTCTCTTCTGACGGCTCGCTAGTAATACTCTGCAATGAGGCTGCCGAGGGGAGCTCGGTGGGGGATGCCCTTGCGGCGCTTGTTGGTGCGGTAGTTGACGCAGGTCGCCGGCGGCGTGGAGGGGGTGAAGCTCTGAGTGGTGCTCTTGTCGCTCTTCGCTGTGATCGACGACTCCTCCGAGTCAGAGCCCCCCCCCGCAGCCGCCGCCGCCGCCCGTTTCTTGTTCTTGCCGTGCCTCTGGAAGTTCCTCGAGGTCCCCGCAATCTGGGAGAATAATGAGGATCGTCAAACTCGGAATAAACTGATCGAGAATGAAAATTAGTCAACGTGGGTTTAACATAAATACAATGCGAGATTGAACGGATAGAATCCGAGAACTCCGATTGATCGATTGCCCATGATTTGGAAGGGATTATGTGATGCATTTTTAAGGGGAAAAAAGGACAGGGAGGAAGTGGGGAGCGTTGACCTTGCAGCCGAGGGAGCAGAAGCGGAAGGAGTCGAGGAGGCTGCGGTCGCAGACCTCGCAGGTGTTGGTGACGCCCTTGCCTGGTCTGGGCTGCGGGCGCTCGTTGAGGAAGACGACGCGGGCGCTGTTTATGATGTACGTCTGAACGCCGCCGATGTCCAGGACCTTCTGAAGCTCCGAAACCCTGATCACGTCGTGGTACGACGACCTCCGTATCTGCCATGCCCATGAAGCACCTCGGTCAACTACTCCGCCGCCAATAACAGGCATTGGGAAAGAAAGAGAGAGAGAGAGATCAGAGCTGGAAATCGGCGAATGCCCAATGGGATTTGATTTCTGCAGGGGAAGGGTTGAGCATGGGGAGAAGGGTCAACTAAGGGGAGGGCAAGGAAGGAGGGGAAGGGGTTTGATTTCGACAAGCGCCATGTGGAAATGGGTGGGGGAGAGAGAGAGAGAGGAAGAAGCACGAGGTGGAAATCGACGACTGCGCAGTGGGGTTTGATTTTTGGAAGGGGAACGGGTTGACCGCGGGGGAGGAGGGTCAGCGAAGGAGGATGAATGTGGAAATGGGCAGGGAGGAGGTACCTGGATGGTGCGGTGGTCGCGATGGTGGAAGGCGAGGCAGACGGAGCAGAGGGCGCCATTGACGCAGTCGAGGCAGAACATGTTGCACTCGCTCTTGTGGGAGTCGGCGTGGTGCTTGCATTGCTTGAAGAACTGCGCGGAGAGCAGTGGCTTCAGCCATGGCGGCCACTGCCCTTCGCCATCTCCTTCCTCCAAGCCCCCCTGTTTCATCCGAAAAGATAGTCAGAAAACAGAGTCGCCGCCGGTGGAGTCGGAGAGCGGCGGCGGCGCCCCAGCTCACCATGATCCTCCTCGAATGTGGCCTTTCTCGCGGTCGATCGTCTGCTTGATCAGGAGCCCTCCTCTCCTCTGTTCTGAAAGAATCTGAGCGACCTCTGTTAAGAGAGAGAGAGAGAGAGAGAGAGAGAGAGAGAGAGAGAGAGAGAGAGATGATATGAGCAAGCGGCCAGAAGAGGCGGCGGGTCGTTCTTATCCCCTCGAAGTCGCCTGCCCGAGCCTCCCACCGAGCCCGAGCCTGACATGCGTCGGCCTCAAGGAAACCCTCCTCGTCCCTCTCTCTCTCTCTCTCTCTCTATCTCTCGTTTGCTGAATACAATAAACAAGTGAAGTCGACAAGGAAGAAAAAAGGGGGCTTTTCTCTTGCCCACTACTTTAATTCCATTCCCACTCGGCCGATGCTCGTCCACATCGGCAACCAATAACCTCCCCCCTCCCCCCCGGTCTTTATGTTCGCGGTGAGTCAACTCGCCCGCTCGACTCGGCCGCCAAATCCTGGAGGCTCTGACTCGTCCGCTGGACACGTGTGCAGTCACGGCACGTGCGTTTGTCTGTACTCTCTCTCTCCCCTCTCTTTCTCTCCTGGCTTCGCCCCTAAGGATTCTTTCGATGATCTCCACCGTAGACGTTGCGTGGATCGAGATCGGAAACCGGCCGAAAGCCGCCGCGTGGCAACGATTTTAGGGCGTTGTTGACTCCTATGTTGACGGCAACAGCTTTTGAAAAGTTTTCGTGTGGACCCCACATGACACAGAGTCAACCCACGCGCTTTTGCGGACGTCATTTTAGGAGCCGCCGTTTAATAAGGACCGTCGGATCGCGCCGGCGGAAGTGTTGTATTAGCCCGCTGCCGCCGCAGACCAGTCAACTCCATTTTCGGATCAAGAACCGATAATAGTCGAGTTTTCAAGCATCGAACTTCGGATCCCAAACTTTAAAAATTATAAACTAAAAGAAAACTGACGGCGCGTGATGATCTCCACGTTTTGTCATAGTATGCTATTTTGCGGCGCCGGCGAAGTTGGTCGCCGGTGCAACCGCCGAGGCGGCGGTGAAGCTGTCTTCTGACGTGGGGGCTCGTGATTGGTGGAAAACGGCGACACCTGGGAGAGAGGACGGCTGCCGGCGGTAAGCAGCGAGTGGACGACATTGGAGGCTGTAGATGGAGGGCTGTGGGGCCATGCCTTCTCTCTTCTCTCTCCTTCACACGGGCGACGGTGTCCGGGTGCACACCTCTCTATCTCTCCATCCCGTCAAGCCCTCTCTATCTCTTTCCTTTCTCTTTCAATTTCCTCAATCTTTCTACACACCCCCTCTTTCTCTCTCTCCCCTTTCTCTTCCAATTTCCTCTCTTTTCACGCCCCTCCTCTCTCTCCCCTTTCTCTTTCAATTTCCTATTTCTGCACCCCTCTTTATTTATCTCTCTCTCTCTCTCTCTCTCGATATCTATATATATATACATATATCTTCCTTTGCTCTTCCAATTTCCTCTTATCTTTCTTCACCCCCGTCTTTCTCTCTCTCCTCCCTTCTGCTCCAATTTCCTCTATCTTGCAGCATCCCCGTCTCTCTGTGCATCGGGGGGATTAACACTAACGGGGATACGACGACCGACGCCGGTCAGAGTCGTTGACTTTCGAGAACTCAGTGATGTGACCTCCTCATTTCCTCGCCATCAATAACTAAGGATCAGATTGACTCGAACGCCACATGCCCCGGTCTCCCGGTCGCTATTAATTTGCCCTAACAATGTGTCGAATGGCACTCCCCCCCTCCTCTTCACTCTCGCTTCTCCCCCGAGGGAGATAGAAGCAATATCCGTAAATATCTGCAAAGAAGAATAACAACCTTCCATGCCCTGGGTTTAATCATAATTTTGTCCCACCCCTTCCTCTCCTCTCCCGAGAGCGAAGGAAGGCAAGGATGACGACACCATTCAGACCGGCCTTCGTGGGATAGATATCAAATAAAATAAGTAACTATATACTTACATGAATAATTTCGGGCCCTTCGCCTTCGTCGCTGAAGCGCATAAAAATAATTGCATGGTGCGGCTTCACTGCTTCAGTCTCCTCTTATCGTCTAAAGCCTGGGTCAGATGAGAATGGCGACCGGGGAAAAATCAGTCAAACAGAAGGAGAAGACTTTTGGGGAAGTATGGGGTCTGGGTTTTCCTCATCCGGACACGGAGTTGACTCCGTGGTTGACTTCGGACGCATAAGGGTGGGGGGGACCACATGGTAGGGGAAATCGAGAATGCGAGGAAAAATTAATCAAACACGGAAAAATAAAAATAAAAAATCATGATGATTAGAAAATCTAGTCATATTAAAATTGAAATTCATTTTGACTTTTGCTACAAACGGTGAGATGCCCGCGGTTGCAATGAGTTGACTATTGTGGCAGATTCGTACCTTAGATTGGAAGAGCCTCATGGTCAAAACTATAATCTCCCGTAATCTGAGAAGAGGGAGGGAAAAAAAAAGAAAAAAAAGGAAGAAAAACACCATCAGAACTATACAAGCTCATGAATGGGGAAAATCTTATGAGATTGTAATAATTATTTCACCCCATAACCACAAAAAGAGGATCATATAACGAGGGAAATGAAGCGAGGCAAAGGCTGCGTTTTTCTCTTTGTCAGAAACCCCGTTCTGAAATGCACAACCCAGAAATTCAACTATGGCTTGGATATTACTTGGTGAAGCTATTCCGCACAAAGTCAACCATACATGCTTGATTCAAACGCTGATGGGGTGCGGAGACAGCTTTCACACCATGAAACTGATTAGAGATGAATATTTCCCTGGTGGGCTCTTCTCTGGCATGATGGACATGATGGGTGCGCCACACTAAATCATTATTTTCTAAATAATAATAATCCTAAATATTGGGGCTGCAGGTAGAAAATCTGTTCTATCAACATATTATGCGTATTATAAATAAAGTTTCTTATTGCAGGAAAAAAAATACTGTTATCTGAGATGAATCTTTCTCCTGATCTAGGAGCCTCTGATAAGAAACTGGGATGAAAGATTGGAATAGGAAATGGATGAGATCAAAATGAGAAAGAGGAGGGAGTTCCATTCGTATTACCTGACATCTTTCTCTGCACTAGGAGGAGTGGAAGTTCCCGCTGTATTGAGTGGGTAGGAAGTCCCATTGGAAGAGGTGAGAACAAACTGCGTTGAAAACCCGTAAGGAACTTGTATCTGCGCAGAGGAAGAAACTATTATTTTTGAAACTGTAATGAAGACCCACAAAAAGAGTCAACTTCTTGCATCTCTGGCCATCAGAGGATAGAGAGAGAGAGAGAGAGAGAGAGAGAGAGAGAGAGAGAGAGAGAGAGAGAGAGCACGTACAGATAAGTCAGGGGAGTATTTTTCTTCTGCTACCACTGCACCAGTCTGGTTTACACGTATTTCTAACACTGATCGTTTCAAAACCAATGTTGATTGCTCCCAAACCTCAGAAGAATCCATCTGCTATGCAATCCAGGAAGAAAATGGATGTCAGATGAGCAGCCCGGTCCCGCGTTTGAATGGATGCACAGAATGAGGATCTGAATAACATCTAACAGAAGCTTCAACTAGAGAGCTTGCACAAGGTAGATTGATGTTCCCATGGGTGATTTTGTGGCATTACGTTCTAAAAATTTGCATAAAAAATATGAACTCGTTGTAAAAGCTTTGTGGGAGAGCACCAGATTTGTTGGTTAAACATACAGACGTAAATGACATAGTAATAGAGTTTCTAGCATTTGCAGTCTCAAATGAGATAAAAATGAAACCATTCATGATTTGCATTGAGGAGTGCAATGCATCATAAATATCAACATATGGAGTTGTATGATGCAAATTCAGTATATATATATATGTTGACATAGAGCAATGGATGAAATGTCACATAGGACTATAATAATAATAATATTTCACCACAGATTTTGTTAATAATAATGTCGCAAACACTTGCAGTTGTTTCATAGACTTCATGATATCTGAAGAAAAATCCAGGCCAAGGATTATTATACAAGAATCATGGTCATCTGAACATCCAAGGTTTTTTGATGTTGATTGGGCTGGAAGTAATATCAACAAGAGATTTACAACTGATTATTGTATTTTAATTGGTGGCAATCTTGTTTTTTTGGAATAGCAAGAAATAGTTAGTGGTCTCATGATCTAGTGCAGAGTTTGAGTACATGGCTATGTCACATACCACATATGAACTCATTCAGATTCACTATTTGTACCAAGCTTGTTGCATATGATATCTATGCTCCAGCTTGAGGGGGGGTGTTAAATGTAGTGGGGTAATGAGCTCATTTTGTTATGTCCCATTCTAGTGGTTTGGTGATCATTACAATCTAGGGTTCAGATATAAATCCTAGACCGTGATCATTGTCAGGCACTTTTTACCCTTTTCACTTTCTTCAGACCTGAAAGAGGAATCTTTAAGTCAGTGAGTAAAATCTTCACCCAAAATAGTTCACATATTCTATGCACTAGTGGCCTAAACTCTACTTCAGCACTTCAGCGAGTAACAACATTTTATTTCTTGCTGCGCCAAGTAACTAAATTTCTCCCCATAAACATCATAAGACTTGAAGTTGACCAACGATCTAAAAGAGAATCAGCATAATTAGCATCAGTATACATCTCAACTGTTAAGTCACCACCACATTTGAAGAGAATACCTGATATACAGCATGAAGATGGGATTCAATTGGCTAATGCATGAACTGACTTAAGAAACTAACTGCATAAGAGATGTTAGGTCTAGTGTGTGTGAGATATATCAATCGTCCAATAAGACGTTGATATATTTCTCAATCAGTAAACTCCTCCCCTTCACCAATACTAAGTTTGTGGTTAGGATCAGGGGGGTTGCTAGCTGGTTTGCATGCAGATTTTCTAGTATCTTTTAGAAGATCCACCACATACTTTCATTGAGAGATGAATATGCCCTTAGGAGAATGAGCCGCCTCAATGTCTAAAAAAATATTTAAGACAACCCAAAGTTTTGATATTAATTTCTTTGGCAAGATATTTGCTCAAATTTTCCTATTCAATATCATCACTTTTGGTAATTATAATCTCGTCAACATAAACTAGGAGTATATTAACTCTCCCTGATGAAGTATGTTTGAAAAATAATATGTGATCAGCATTACTAACACAATAACCAAATTTCTGCATGACTAGAAAATCTTTCAAATCATGTGTGTGTGGAAAAATAATATTACCATGAAATGGTAATATTATCCAAGGTAGCAAGGAAGGTTATATAAGATGGATAAAGTTTATGATATGAAATAAAGTTTACTGAAAGGTATAAGAAGGTTATTGGATTGAGGATTGGTAGTATTTCATGTAGGAATAAGTGTGGTTTCTTGGTCATCGTTTCAGATCAGTTTAGGGTCTTGGGCTGATCCAAAATTTGGAGGTACCTGTGTCATGGAATAAACTTGGCCAAATCTGAGTTTTTTAAGAAGCGGATCAAGAAGATATGAACTTTGGTCAGACACATGAATTGGTAGAATAATTTGACTAGGAGGAGAAGAAACACCTTCTAAGGAAAAATCCGGTAACAACAAAGAATTTTTGAGTAGTCTTGAGAGTTTTTTTGGAAATAAAAAACAGATTCATGAAAGGTAACATCCATAGTTGTAAATAATTTTTGAGTTGGTGGATGATAACAACAATACCCTTTTTGAGTAGTTGAATATCCAACAAACATGCATTTGAGGGATCTTGGATCTAATTTACCTTTAGCTGGATTATGATTATGAATGAATGAGACACATCTGAATGTACGAAGCTCATATGAGATATGGAGATGATTAAGAAGGAAATAAGAAGCTAACTTCTCCATAGGACTTTGGAAATCCAAGGTTCTAGTGGGAAGATGATTTATTAGATGTGTAACTGTTAAGAGAGCTTCACCCCAAAAAAAATTTGGGTGCACTTGCCTGAAACAAGAGTGAACATGTAACTTCCAAGAGGTGTCAATTTTTTCTTTCTACCAATCCGTTTTGCTGAGTGTAAGCACATGAAGACTTGTGTATGATACCCTCAACCTGAAGAAAGGAATTCAGATCATTACTAAAGTATTCCTTAACATTATCTGACCTGAATTTCTTTATAAGATTATCAAATTTGGTTTTGATCATTACACAGAAATGTTTCAACGCAATTGAAACTTCGGATTTCTGCCTAAGAAGAAAGACCCACACACAACAAATGCAGTCATCCACAAATGTAACAAACCATTTATTACCTAGTAGATCTACATTGGGACATGGTCCCCAAACATCGCTATGGATGCAAGAGAAAAAATTCTTAAGTGTTTATTTTTTCTCTTGCATCCATAGCGATGTTTAGACAGTTCATTTTTTATTGGAAAAGAAGCATGAATATGTTTAGACAGTTCACATACATCACACTTAAGTGTTTTTCAGATACTTTTTGAAACAAAGAAGGAAGAAAAATTCTTCATAGTAGCAAAAGAAGGATGACTTAATCTTTGATGAAGGAGCTGAATGTGACTCAGATCTTTGTGATGTTCTAGAGATGGATCTATTTCCACAAGACAAGTTTGACTAATTCTCCGTTTCTGGACCTTATCAAGGATAATACAAAGATCTCATCAAAGAAGGCACAATAAGGTGTGTTTTTAACAAGGCTTTTTACATAATAAGGTTGGTGAAAAGCTTGGAAATATGGAGACTTTGGTGAGGATTCCTAAAGGTTCAAGAGTTAGGTCTCCAATAACAACGACTGTGAGAAGTGTACCATCAGTAGTCCACACTTTTCAGTTACTAGAACATGGGGTATAGGTAATAAAATGATATGATGAATTTGTCATATGATCTATTACTCTTGAATCTATTACCCAACATCCAATAATATCTTGGGATGGAGCTTGAACACAAAGAGAAAAGTTCACCAATTTGATGACTCGTTGATAGTTGTGAATGTTGTGTTACCATTGCCTTCAATTGCTCTAATTCAAGGCAAAGTTTCTCTACTTCGCTTGGTAGAGTTTGTTAGAATAATGATATTGGGCTACATGTGGGAATAAGGTTCTTGGGATTACTAAGTCCAATTACCTATGGGTATCGGATTGAGTCAATACTCGGCACACAATCCGATAGTCAGCAATCATGTATTAAAGGGTCACGAACCCTAACCCTAAATTAATGTTGTTCTTTTCCTCTCTCTATCTCTCACTTTCTAAAAGTCTCCTGCTTGTTACGGTGGCTGTGCCCTAGCCTAAGGCGGGAGGAGCTCCGATAGAGTTAAAACAATATTTCTTGGGTTTATTTGTTCAAACTTCTGATTAGATGAAGAATCAATCACCATGTGAACCTGATTCACTCGATTATTAGAATTCTGTGATTTTCCATGGAGTTTATAACATCGCTCCCTAGTATGACGAGGTTTCCTACAATAAGTGCACCAGAGATTATCTCTATAATCATTTTTCTGGTTCTTCCCTTGCACAGATGATGATTGATGATTCAGATATTCTACTGATTTAATGGTGTCCTAGTTTGGTTAAAAATAATTTATTACCTGACTCATGAGCAGACGACATCAATTTTTGATTACTCTTTTCATTCAGTACAATTGATATCACCTTATTTTAGATCTGGGCTTCTTTCATGTCCTAGAATTTATTGTTTGATATGATAAAAATATGACTCAAACCAGCCAAAAATTTACGACCAGCCTTCATTCTATGAAATTTCATAATGTAAAAAATTCTTTGGGTTCTTCAATCCCAAGATCAAGACAATGATCAAGCTCCTGCCATAGATTTTTAAGTTTTCATGTGTAGTCCACTGATTTTGAACCTTAAGCAATTGATTGAGATTTTATCTTCATTTCATATATGTGTGACTCGTTGTTTTTCAAAGAATATTTCATGTGTATTGTTCCCCACAGATCCTTCATAGTTTTCATGAGTGAAAAATCTCTACTGATGTGGGGAATCATTGTTCCCTAGATCCATGTCTTTATCAAGGCATCCTCCTCTCGCCATTTTCTAAATTACCTTGATATTGGATCTAGTGCAGTTTCCTCTAGATGATGTAGCATCCATCTGCTAGTAAAGACCTCCCTAATATATTCTGACCATTAGATGGGATTATATCCAATCAACTTAAATTCCGTAGGTATGGCAAGGAGTTCAATCATCAATCTTGATGATACAAGATTGACATCCATAATGGTGGTAGAGACCTCACCTACTAAGGTCTCTCCTCTTTCAGACATATAGAAAAACAAAATAGGAAGAGGAACAACTGCTTACTAAGCAAAAAAAATGTAATTCTCGTATGTCTTCAAAGGAAGATCAAGAATCACCTTGAGATGGGGCTCAGAAAATGATGTTGATCTTCCAAGTCCTTAAGAAGAAGCTCACAGAAGCAGCATAAATCTCTTATACAGAAAGAGATAATCAGAAAGGAGCAAATCACACCTAGATTAGCTCTGATACCATGTTGAATTTCCTCTAGTTCCTTCGTTTCTTGAAGAACGACATACCTTCTCGTGGAAGGAAAAAATGGAACTTCTATTCAAAACATATGAGGGAAAAACACCTTCAAGATTCGTTTACATCGAGACAGGTGATGTTCTTTATAACAGATCCATGAGAGAAGGTTCCAGACATAGAGTCTTTCATCCCGAGACATATAGGTGATGTTCACGTGCTTCTTTAAGTGAAGCACGTGATATACCTCACCACAACTGCAAACGCAGTATTTACACTGTATTTCAACACTAACCATCATATAACCTCTGCACTTTAATTTTTTTGTTTTCTTGAGGGATCAGAACAATGGTTCTGAACATTAAGAGGACTGAAAGTTCATTATAGGTAATAATTCACCATAAGTAATAAAAAACAACCAAGCTAATTACCTGAGGATGTTCATTTGATAGTGGGAAACACCAAATATTAAAAAAATTACCATGAACAAGCACAAAATAAACTTGAATATGCACATTCGAGGTAAAGCTTTGAAAAAGAACCTACCAGCATCAGAACAATAAACATCGCCTTGCCAGCATAAAGATATGTGTCGATTTCATGTTTCATCTCTGCATCTGCATTATGTCATTGAGATATGCAGTCAAGAGCTCATGTAGAAGGGTAATTTGAGTCAACAGGGATCCTCAAGTGTTCATTTTAATATGAAAAGTACTGCATGGGAGCAGCATCTGGACTAAGCAGATATCGGCAAGCGTGCATTATGTCAAAGAATCATGGACTCAAAGAGGGGTATTGAGTCAACAGGGGTCCTCCAGTACTCCTTGTACTATTAAAAGTAGCTCTGCAAGCGTGCAGCATCTTGACTAAGCAGCAATCGGTCAAAGAATCAAGGGCTCCAAGAAAAAGTTTTATCAGACATTTAGAAGGGGGTATTGAGTCAACAGAGGTCCTCCAGTATTCCTCGAAATGATAAAAGTATTTCTGCAAGTGTACACCATCTTGACTAAGCCGATTTTGGTAAAAAGTCAAGGGCTCCTAGGGGAAGTTTTACGACATCTTTTTTGCATGTGAAAATGATTTTTTTTTATACAGAGAAAAATAACACGCAATAGAAAACTATTAGATTTTCCAAATCTAGATCAGTATGATTTGAGTAATCTTATATTTATAATCATGTACAGTTTTTTTATAATCAATAAAAATCTTTTCTTGAAACACCCCGGTATGTGGACATTTTTCACATTGTTCAATTCGACATCAAATGAATGGATGCAGTCCCAAAAGATAAAAAATGGAGTTATTCCCTTATCTATCTCAAACGTGATTGAATATGAGTAGAGTACACTCATGTTTATAATCATATATTTATTTCGTAAAAATTAACACAATACTATATTTGATTCACATTCCAAAAAAATTCGTACTGATAAAATATTATAAAGTGACCTGCTTTCATTCAGAACAAATTAAACCAAGAAAAAAAATATCACCATAAGCATTTAAATTAGATATAAAAAAAGAAGGGACATCAGTAGTCTTAAGAAGCAACGAAAGACAGCTCATTGAGATAGAAACGAAACGAGGATAATGAATATTGACGATTGCAAACCCAAAAACAATGGCGAGAGCTAAAAAAAATGAATTATCAATCAAATAGGACCATGCTCACCACATGATATTGGATTATAATCATTAGCAACATGTCGCACCAGCTCACCCTGTCAATAAGAATAATAATAATAAATTTACCTTAAAAATATAAATATTATCTTTAAAAATAGGAGATGCATAAAATGGAAATAGAATTAAGTTTCAACGGAAGAAAAACAAACATGATCAAATATAACTGCCTATAATCAAAATTGAGATAAATTATTGGTAGCAGTAAGATTTTATAGCATATAATCAATTCCGTAAACCAAATCAATCTGACGGATCTTGGATTTAGCAAATTGACTAGCATTGAAAACATTTCAGGTATTTGGAAGAAGTGTGGTTCATGGCACATAATAAAATAAAATAATGCTAATGCCAGTGTCATCAACCTTCCAGAATACCCTTATCCATGGAGATTTTTTTTCGCTTTTTCCTAGTGGATTTTAATATTTTCTGTCAAAGTTGATCACTTTGAATTCGACTTCTTCATAGGCACTTTATGACTACTTGTAATCTCTTTTCTTCCCAATCTTCACCAGGACAAGTTATCACTAGTGTAGCCAAACCTGGGTTCCCCAAACAGAAGTTCCCTATATTTTGTCCAAGTTTAGACCAAGAAATAAAAATTCTCAATTTTCTTCTTCTGGTCAGCACCATTTAGTGATGCAGAAAACTGTGGCAGAACTTTACTAGACTTCAAAAAAGTTTCCTGCCCTTAAACCGACTTTTTAAAGTCAATCTAGGCATTAAAAAAAATACTCTGACCAGTTACATGACACCCAACTATTAGCAACCCTAGTTATATAAAACAGGAGACTATTTCATTCATGGCAGAAGCATTTGCATAAAACAGGCGATTATGGAGCAAAATAATATAGAATCAACAGAAGCATTCTATGTTTTGTCAACTGGAATTTTGTAACCCCATTACTTTTGGGTACACAAATTTTAACTCAATATAAGGAGAGAATTTAAGGGAGTTATTGTTCATAGTAAAATTGGAACTAGAGACGAAAAATATTGGAAACAATTTACAGGTGACAAAAGAGTTTGGTTCGAGGGTGAGGAAATAGAAGTAACTAGGTAGAAGATCGATAGTACCGTCATGAGGATCTCAGTGGCGGGATTTAGAAGAGAAATGCATGAATTAATAGAGAAATTCAGTTATGAATCACGCAGTCCTTTCCTGTACATGAGATGATGTAGCCTTTTATAGGTCTATCTTTCTGCTAAAATAATGTATAAATTAAATTCATTCCATTAGAATAATGATGAAATGTTAAGATCACACAACTGCTTGTCCAACATAGAGACATGAACCTGCCTCCAAAATCTGGTGGGCAGAGTCAAGGATAAGAGCTTATCAAACATTGTGATTTTCGTTCACGAAATAACTCATGATAGATCAAAATGTGAAATCATCTGCAAACAGGAAGATGACAATCCTATGTACTACGGGAACACTTAAAAATGAGATGAAGCAAATACCTATATAAACACAGGCCAAGAGATCCTAGTCAAATCCAGAAAAATAAATGTGATTTGTAAGACATGGAGTTAACAAGAAGTTTAAGATCCCACTTTCTGTAAGGATGATAAGAGTCTTCTCTTCAAAACCGGCCAAATGATCTCACTTGCAAATCAAGTCTATAGAAGGCCGAATGATCTAGAATAATAGCTTTCTTGTATAGACCATTGAATTCCTGGACACGACCAATATGGAATCCTTACACATTTGATTCGTGAGATCTGGTATGATACAGTGGTCTACTCAATTGGTATGTTCTATTGCTTCGTGCTTAAGTTCGTGCAGAACTTATGGATGCCTTTATGCAATTGAGAAAACAAGCTTCAATGATTTACCAAGCCTGATTGATGATTTAAAGTGCTCAACCTCTAGCCTCACTAAAACTTCCAGGTTCAAAAACAATTTTTGAGCATAAAAATGCAATAAACAAGTCATCTAGAAAATCGTCAATTTATATCATATTATCCCAAAAAAAATTCAGTTAGGAAATTCAAGAGCAGACCTGACGTCCACTATCATCCATTGGAGTACACTCAACAGCTATAATCTTATCAACATCGTCAGCAGTCACCACATAATCTGGGTTAGTAGCTCCTGACAAGATCAGAAAAAGATATAGTTATCAGGGGAACCACAAACTCCTTGATCCCCAACACATCCGTTGCGGAGGAAATGTGAAATTGATTTTTTCAAGAGTTATTTTAGTTCTCACCTTCGATGTACTGACTTACACCATCTTGTAGAAGGCGAACCCACTGACATCAATTAAAAGTAAGTAAGAATAGAATTCTGATCTTAAATTAATCAAACGTAGGGCATCTAGATAATACGTTCAGAAAATGGCAAAAAAAAATACAAACTTGATTACCAATCAAAGTAATAATCACCCTCTATTACCTGAAAAATACACACAGTTGTTCTGTTGATTGGAAAACCACATGCCCTAAGGGTACCTCCTGGTTTGGCATCTCCTGTAATTTGAAATGAATATATTCCGGGCAGATCCTCGCTTCCTGAAACGTATTGTCACCAAGTTCATAGGTGTTTTTTTCCCCTCTTGGATTCAAAAGCTGATTTACAATACCTTCTGCATGCTGGAGAGGAAACAGGAAGTCATTGACCGCAAGTTTCCCATCAGCAGTATCGCTAGCTGCATCTCCAAAAGCAGAAAATGCTGTAGGCCCTTCAACGTCTCTGTAATTAAAGCCCTGGTATTATAATAGTTCGACGAACCGTCTGTAGCCATTTAAGGCTGTTAGTGAAAAGAGGAGATGATTCTCCGCATTTTATTAGTGGAAGAATACGATTCTACTAAGACTTTAGGGAACCATGGCTGATTCTGGTCTACTATTTATCCAGAACCAGTTTTAGTGCAATCCTGGGGTATTTATTAATTATTTTCATCCCAATTTTGCTTATAATTTGGGGTGAGGGGCCCCACACTTAAGGTCCACTGCTCCTCGATCCTGAAACCTTCCTGTTTAATAATTAAGGAAGAAAATATCACTCATGGCATAATGTCAACATGGGAGATTCTCACCCTAAAGGAAAAAAAAATGTTCAATGTTCATTGGAGCCGCTATACCACCAAAACCTACGAAAGTGAAGATACCTTGGAGAAAAACATTATAAGAAAACAGATCATCATTTATTTTCCCGTCTAATTGATTAAGCATTTGGATAGGTCTCTGGACAGATAGTGGCATTTTTAGTTGGGGACAGATTGACATTAAAAAATATTTTTAGTTGTACATTATCATATAAATGTCACAACACTAAAGTCAAGGAACCAGGAACAGAGCCAAGTGTGAGAGGATTTTTTTTTTGAAAGATCATGATCCTTTCGGGTTTTGGTGAATGTAAGAGATTTATGAGATGTAAGGATCAATCAATGTTAAGAAGATTTGAATGCTAAAATTTTATGAGATGTAAGGCCTATTCAATCGATGTACAAAGGAAAAAATGAAAATAAATACTGTGGGAAAAAGCATATATTAAGGGTTAGTTTTGTTGATCAGTTTCCTTTTTTGGTTAGGTTTTTGGCCAGTTTCCTATTGTTTGCCTGTTGTCTAATTTGGTCGAGTATCCTATAAATCGTGAGATTCAACCTCGGTAGATTTCCTTTTTTTGAGGCCGTGGTAATTGAATACAACCAGAAATTTTTCTATGAATCGATATGACAGAAAATTTCCATTCTGGTTTGGTTTGCGTCAAATACTAGGGCAAGACACTGCCATTGTTTCCTCTGTTTGAGTCTTTAACAGTTGGAAACAGAACCTAGTTGGATAAGTCAATGACACGTAGGTCAAATGAGAGTTTAATGAGCGGAAAGAACAGGTTTTCCAAAGACTAGTCAATTGGGATCCGAGAATTCATGAAAATAGAGGTGACGTATCACAACAAGGTAGCCCAGACCTTGTGGTGCAGTATATTAATCAGTGCTTCGGATTGCTGATTAGGCATATTCAGTGAAAATGGTTGAGGAAACATTTTTTTAAGCATGAAGATATCATAGCGGTTTAACATGACGCAAAATAAAATAAATTAATTCAAGATGCCGAACCAAAAGATGTGAACAACTACTGGCCGTGGCTTCTATGTGGTTCCATAATAATATGCCCCTGACAAATGATTTTTGATACTCCATTTGTAAAACACTGGCAGATTTAAAAGGGTACCTCCATTATTTAATTTGGTATTGGATAAATGGATCAATACCTTTAAGAAAACTTAGAATTAGAGATAAGAAACTGCTCAGTGACAATGTAGGAGCCTTCAAAAAAATTCTTGTCATATTATCATCGAATTTTTGTAAAATTAATATAAAGTTTAAATATTTTCAACAAAGAACCCTAGTATTTCTCCATGTCTTTTTTGCTGACTCAGCATTCTCAAACTTCCTAATAATCTGTTAACCTATAAAGATATATCCTCTAAAATACCAGTTATGAATCCAGTAAAGTATATACTCTTTTTATGAGTGTTCTCATTTGTGGCTGATCTTTGTATCTATATCAAACATATTTGAACTTAAATAATATTTAATGGCCATCAGCTCAAGAGTAGAGGTTCCTAAAGTCCACCTACAACGCTAATGCATTTCCATCTTCAACAATTACCTCGACCAAAGAGATAGAATAGCCATTGGACTATCTTCTGCTGGTTCATATTAAACTGAACACTTAACCAGAACTGAAAACCCAAAAAAATATAATATGTATCAACAAGATGTCTCAAACGTTGCTAAATCAGATTCAGCCACAATGAATCACTTATCAATTAAACTCCTGTAACCAAATCAGGCCACATCAATTGCAGAAGTCTACTTGAGCCTGCTGCTCAATTGCTGTTATAGTCATGTACTGATGAGTAGACGGGCTAATATAGTTCAGATGGATGAAAACGCAAAAAACACGATCACTATCAAACAAATGAGTAAAAGTGAATACACTCACATTTTAATTTAAAAAAATGTGGTTTACTTCAAAATAAACCAAACGAAAAAGCAGAATGAAAGATGATGCACACCTGAAGATCGCTTTATTTTTGTTGCCAGTAAAGAGGTCGACCTTTGGTTCACTTGGATCTCTGACTCCACGATTTCCATATCCTCTAGGGTCAGGTCCGAGTTCCACATTTACATAATGACTATATTGACCGTGCTGTTGATCATTAGCATCTGGTACCTTTTGCCACATGGCAATCGAAATTATTAGTTGAGAACACATCCAATATGGGAAGATCAGCGGAAAAATGAAGGAATTTGAAAAGCACAAGCTCATTGCATTTGTGAAGTTTAGACAATCAATTTTTTGTATATTAATAAATCCTACTCAAAAGATGAAATGAATCGCACTAATCATTAGACTTACATGATAATCTCTCAGTTTCCAGTGCAATTGATTATATAAACGCTGAAAAGAAGTCAACAGAAAAAATATTAGTCAGGAGCTGATTATCCTATCAATTGAGATCTTTACGCAAAATGTTCATGTGATAAGAGAATGAGTTCTTTACACACAAGATAATTGAAAAACCAAATGTCTTTACAAAGTGAACTAGTGGAAGACAGAGTAGACCATGAAGATAAGAAAAACCAGGTAGACGCCATAAAATATGACTTTAGTTAAGAAGGGAGACGTTGATATTTATGAAGACCAGGACAGAAAGAGGAAAAATGCCAGTATTTCCGATCACCAGCGCACAAAAGAATAGTTTTTGAGGGAAAATGAATAACAATTCTATTCACATATGAAGATGGGCAAACAAAATTGAGAATGCTCGAAGCATATTGGGAAAGTCCTAGGTTTCCTTTAAAACAGATGTACTAGTTTTGACACGCTACATGAATGACATGGCAAGACGCAAAAAAAGAAAATGAGAAAAATATGGAACTTAGGACTAAAATGAGAAGAACTATAGAAATACAGTAAATGTGAGTGCCTTCCAAAGAAATTAAAATGGCACTGCCTACTGAACGTAGGAATAAAAAAACAGATTAGGCTGGCAGACCAGCCAGCTCTGACCAAATCCGGTTTGGGATCACATCAGGTAAATTGAACACCAGGAGAAATAGCCCGATTAAGGCTTTAAAAGTAACTAATACAATTTTACTGGTTTTTATTTCAAAGGATCATTTAAAGAAAATGTATCATGAAACTTTTTCACAAAAGACCAGGAAAATTTATATAACAGTTCCCAAATCCAAGTATAAACCTTCCAAGCAGGCAGGAGAGAGTGTCAACTTGTGGCCTGAAGGCCATTCGCCATTATTTGCTGACATTAATTCGAAGGATAAAAGAAAGACGTCCCATAAGCGAGAATAACAATTCTAAGGATATAAATGGCTGTAACTTTTACAATAATGGTGACAGAAGTCTTCACAAAACAATTTGTACCTTTGTAAAATTTGAAAGGCAGGAAGCATCAAATAAAGGGGGCCGAGTGCCAAACTCTGCCAGTAAACTTAGTAAAGATGATGTGAAGACATACGTCTCATCCTCCAAGACCTTGAAATAAATCAAGATAAAATGTAAATTACTGATTTGGACAAATTGAATTAGTATTGGAATCAAATTAGAAATTGATAATTGGACTAGATAAAAGACCTGTACACAATTATGCAAATAAAAGTAATTTTTTCACAATACACTGCTGTTAAAATCACAAAAGAAAACTGCCTCATGCTTCTACTATACAAAAGTAGGTGAAAGAAAGGGTGATATCAAAAAGATGAGACAATCATAGCTAATCAATAATTAACCTTTGGTAGAACTGACAGCTAGCAGCATTTTTAACTTGTGTTATCAGTCTTGGGACGGTCAAATTTCATGTACATGTATGGAAGAGCTAGGACCATTCTTCATGGTATCCTTAGCTCCTGACAGCCGACGTGAAGAATAATGGCCCATTGGAAAGTGCATAAAACCATAGATCATCGTGATTTGCCTGCTCCCGCAAAATCATTTATTCCATAACTGGGAAAGTAGACTCATGATCGCAAAAAGTGGCTTTTTGGTATAGAAATATCCCCCAAATAGGCCCCTTTTTGCTTTAAAATTACAGAGAATCATCTTCTCCCCTTTAAAAAATGCCATTGTTTGTTTCATAAGTACAAGATTAATAGACTGTCATTTATCATACTGAACTAACACTTTCTAAGATATCATGATTATATTTATTGTTCTATCCCCCTCAAACGGAGCATAAGTGCCAAAGAGATCCAACTTGTTACAAAAAGAATAAATGATGGTCACTCCATGACTTCATCAATATATTATTAGTCTGTTCTTCGGATTTAACATTTCGAGCATAGATCCTTTTGTTCATCATGGGATCACGTTGATCCTCACAGATAGTACCAATACGTAGATCCTCAATTCAGAGGACTATAGCTAGGTAGTACTGAAACTTATTTTCCTCAGTACTGCCAAAATGTGGTACTATATCAAGGCATACATAAAATAGTCTTGAATCAAAGCTCGCTAGTTTCAGAAAACACCTTATTTACTCTTTAAGTGAAAAAAAAATATCTGTCGCGTTCACTTTAAAAAATAACCGGTACAAAAATAAAATTAAAAAGATCCAATTTTCACGTCTAAAAAATAGCTAAGCACTTAAAGCTTTTTTGTCTCAGTAGAGATATAAGCAAATGTGCATGGCAACAAAGCAACTCCTGCACCCTGGCGACACCCCAGCATCAACCTAATATAAATCGTACACATAGGCACATGAAAAAATAAAAAAAGTGACCATACACAGCTTTTCAATTCGTCTTCTCCAATTCACTTGGGGTTGCCCAGCTGTAATGATACACCAGTGGTTCATCTTTCAAACAAATGCATGCATGTTCTTTTTTCTTACCCTTGACCTGTCTCTGACTTCACTCTCATTCACTCTGGTAAACAATAACTTCATTTATTTTCATCATCTTTCATAATCACCACATTCAGAAACTTATCACAGTTTCTCACAGTTTATCACAGTTACCCTTGATCTCGATTTTTTGTCCTAATATTGAAGATATGTCATGGTATGATGATTTGCAGCTCATTCATGAAAATAAATCCAGAAAAGTATTAAACTAAGAAGTAATAAAAAAATGTCATGTGGTTTCTAGACAATCAATATTTTATTGTACTTTCAATTCATCAGCAAGCCTTAAATTTTCTTCAATATAACCCTTCCGCAGAGTTAGTTCTTTCAAATTCTCAGATACAGCATCACTTTGCTTGCCAGTAGTAGCCTGCCATCAAAAAGAGTATTTATTATCTATCGATTTAGAGAGAAATAAACTAATTCCGTTATCTCATGATATAAAATCCATACCATTCGAAGATCAAGGAATTTCCTCTCTAGAACATGCTTCTCATTGAGTAACTGTTGCTCCTGGATGGGAAAAAAAATTGCAAACTTCAGCATCAATGCAATTGTGAACCACTTTCAAAAAGTAAGAGGATATCACTGATTCAATGCCTTAGAACAAGCATCAGCGATTTGTCTGCGGAGGTGTAGAATCTCGTCTTCCTGTGATCGGGATCTAGTGATCAATTCCTGTTGATAAACTTTACCTAGTTAATTACACGCCATTAAGAAAAATGTCAACAATAAAAAGAAAAAAATACCATGCTTAGCTAAATGCGAACAAAAAAGGGAACTCCATGTGAGCATAACATGGAAACATTCAGTTACCTCAATCTCTGGGTCCATAAAAGAACCACGCTCATATCTTCTTATTTGACAAAGGTGTGCAATCCTTGAGATCCTAGACAAAGAAAAAACTCAACTAAGTAGCCAATTATATTCATTTTGCAGAACACATGAATTTCTTATTGATCTCTCAAAGACCAGGTAAAGTTACCTGACAAGATAGCTATCAAACCCAAGGTTAGCATTGATTCCGATATAGAGAACATCTCAGGTCTTCAGCAGTAGGGAATTTAGACAGATGAAAGGTTATTAAAACCAGAGAGGGGAAAAAACGTTTACGTCTGTAAAAAGGAAAAATGGCATACGATAGGGGATACGATAGGAAAAGGAAAAATGGATTTCCGGTGCTTGCGATTAAAAAAACGTTTTTACGTCTGTAAAAAGGAAAAATGGCATACGATAGGGGATATAGCTATGGATTATTGGATCATTTATGTAATAAATATCGATAAGTTAATAGATTTACAGAGCAGTTACGTTAAACTATGACACATCAATTACACTACAGTTGCACTAGTTATAATGAGCATAGTTTACTTGGCTCAACAGGGATCAATATGTGCTTCAATTTGCATGCATTCATTATATTGCTGTATCAAACACAGAATATTAAATATCTTAAAATCTGGTCTACATTCTCATATGGAACCTCTTTCATGAATGTACAAATTGGTGAACGATCACTGCGTACATGATGTCTCATCTAGTGAGCATTAAGTCCAAAAGCCTGCCCACAAGTGTTTAATCGTACTCGTCTTCACTATCAAAAAAACATTCTCTCTACTGATAAATTCGAACTAAGATTTACTTCGATTGGAATCGTAAAAGGCTTGCACCATACAATTCTTGTCTCCACATTTTCTGAAAAGGGAGATTGAGAAACGGAACTGAAAGGCAATAGTTCAACTCGCTGAAAAATTAACTAGCGTCGATATTTTCATTATATGAGCAGATTCGGAAACCAGGTGCCTGGGGAACCTGACAGGAACATTCTGATATCCAGATTAAATACCAAACCATCCCTAACGCTAAGATTTTCATAAATAGGTATGCTAGGGCTTAAGTGAGTCAAGAACCCACCTAGGCCCTCGAACTCATCATCCCTGTGTGAGCTATCTTGTTGCTCCAGTTTTGCTGGCTAATCCAGCATACAAAGAGGAAAATCGCCCAAACCAGAGGCATCAACTGCACAGTTGTTGTCACACAAAGACACCATTCCACACAGGAATCACGAGGACCTACGAAGCTCCCAGTCAATTCGCAATGCGATCAAGACGACGACATCTACATGCCTAAATCTACCAAATTCCGATCCAGAATAGCCAATTCCGATCACACAGGCTAAAAGGCAAAAGAAAAGCCCTACTACAATCTGTCCTTCCAAACAGAAAAACCGGGAGGCAAAAATATGCTAAATCCACTGAAGCCACGGACCGGTGGAATCTCTGCTCGGAAACCCCAGCTCCCGGCTCTAAATTCGCTTCCCCCGGAAATCGGAGCCTACCCGCAGGAAGGTGTTCGTCCTCGCCACTGCGTACCTCGCACAGAGCGAGAGAACGAGAGAGAGGTATTTGTTTCAAACGGTCGTTGGTGGGTGGGTTGGGATGCGGAATGCATGTGATGACGGCTGAGGTTCGGATTAAACACCACATTCTAGTCTGCAAACTCACGCGTAACCGCACCATAATTTTTCCTATACACCCTCCCTTCAAAATCCCAGAGCATAAATACCTCCATACAAAATACTTTTGCATGCATACCCCTTTTGCCCTCCCCCCCACCTATAGAGCATAATTATAACCTCGGGAGATAACATATTTTTTACCGGATAATCATTTAATTCATAAAGTATTAAAATAAATTCATATTTTCAAATATTTAAAATCTTTCTCTATGTCTCTCTCTGTACGCTCTGTCGCCTGGGAGGTAACCTTACCGGGAGGCTAACTCTACCGTGCGTGAAGTGAAGAGAAAAAGAAAAAGAAAAAGAAAATCCTGAAGCGTGGGGAGATCTCTCTGCCCTGTCAAGAAGTTCAGGCGAAGTGTCGGAGGGGAAGGAGATCGGGGCGGCGGATGGAGGAGCTGCTCTATCGAGAGGAAGAAGACAATGGGTGGAGGTGCTGGAGGCACCGCGCTGCGCAGCAGCCAACCGGCGGTGTCTGCGCCGTCTGCGTGCGAGAACGCCTCCTCGGGCTCTGCCCCAACTGCGTGATGAAGAGGTCCTTGTGCAAGTGCTTCTCCTCGTCCTCCGCCTCATCATCCTCTTCGCTGTCCTCCGGCTCCTCCCTCGACGTCCACAGGAGCGGCGCCGGTTCGCACGTCGGCGCCGTCGGCCGCGTCTCCAACCTCATCGACTCCGAGCCTGCCTTCCGCCGGTCCAGATCTGCCGGATTCCGCCGGCTATGGCCAAGATCCGGCGTGCTCGAAGCCAATGCCGGCGACGGCGAAGGGGGAGGGCGGTCCTCGCTCTGGCGAATTCACGGAGGAAAGGAAGAGAACGAGAAAAATGCGAGCAATGTGGCGGCGGCGATGAGGGTGTCGAGGTCAAGGTCTGTTGGGGCCGGCGCGGCCAAAGGCGCCGACAAAAGCTCCGGTGGGGAGGAGGTCAAGTCGAATGGGTGGAACCGCTACTTCCCGATCTCCTTTTGGGCATTGCGGCGCCGGAAATCCTCCAAGGTCATACAGTCAAGATCGCCACCCGCAGAGGCAAAGCTTCCCACCGACACACAAAATTATCGGAAGGGGGTTAAAAATCCCCGTTAAACAGGTAATCCAGAAATCGAAAGAAAGCCAATCCGAAGAACAGCTATCCTCATTTTCCTTTCTTTTTCTCATTTCCTCGCCATTTTCTGTATCTATAATGGATATGATATCTTCTTCTTCTTCTTCTTCTTCTTCTTCTTCTGCTGCTACTGTTCCCGGTGTTGATGGCTGGTCCTGCTCCCAAAAGGTGCACGATTCCAAGAAGATATGTTCCGTCGATGGCTTGTCCTCTTCGTTGCTCTGAACCTTTTTTCTACTTTTCTCCTCCGATCCTCCCCGCCCTCGTCACCTTCACATTTCTTCCCGTTTCTGGCTCTCTCTCCCCCTTCTATCTCTTGCTCTTCTTCTCTGTTCTTCGGACCGTCCTCTCTCTAGCAGCACCTCTAGTTCCCCCATCAGACGGCGTGCTTTCCCGGGACGAAGTACGGCGCCACGTGCTGTCGTTTTCTTCTTCTTCGGCCCCCAAATCTGACCTTTTGCCCCTCTCTCTCTCTCTCTGTCTAATGGCTGCCCAAATTTCTTCGAAAAGTGGGCCCGGCCCAAATTTCTTCAAAATGAAGATGAAGTAGGCCCGGCCCAATAGTTATCAAGTGTGCTGGCCATTGAAGGCACTAGGCCCCATGTGGGGCCCCTTTCGTGCGGCGCCTCTCCCTCCGAGTCAAACGGGCCCGGAATTCCCTCAAGGCCCGGCCCGGCTTCGAGCTCAGCCCGATTCTAGAAGACCACCCGTCGCCTAAATATTATTTCGCATATTCGAGTGGTTACTATTCAACGGACCTCGTCGAGTGGGAATACATAACGCTTATCCCGCCGCCATCGCACGTGGCATGTGAGCCGATCTCGACCGTACATCAAGTAGTCCCTCCGATCAAAAGGCCGTGTAGAGATCTTTGGATGGGCTCGCTTGATCCTTAAATACAATATAAAGTTAAATAAAGGGCCTTTTGCCAGAATAAAGATATAGCCACGTATCCGCGAAGCCGATTCTGTTCCACAACTTTGAGAGGTGATCTTACCGGCCAATGTTCTGCGGTCAGTTGCCCCGCCCGCTGCTTGCTCCCTGAACCACCCATGCCGTAGTGGTTCCGTACTCTCTCTCTCTCTCGGAAGTTGAGTGGGCATCGGATCCCCCTCCTAGGAATTACCATTATAACCCCTAACCATTAACGTAAATGACGAAAATACAACTTCCGTAGGGTACGTAAATATCCGACGAGTGGGGAGTAGTTTGGTCATTTATTTGTGTTAGTCTCTTCTTCCCTCCCGCTATAAAAACGGGCCTCCACCCGCAAGATTTCCGCCACCTTCCTGCCTTCTTCATCCAATGCAAGCCCGCATCTGCGCCTCCTCCTCCGTCGTCCTCCCCAGACCTTGCCGCCGGCAGGTTCAGCCGATCGAGATCCGGCCATTTCCGGGGATGGGAGCAGGGTCGGAGGGAGATGTGGCAGTGGGGCGCGGCGTCGGAAGGACGCTGGTCTTCACCTACGGCACGCTGAAGCAGGGGTTCTCCAACCACGGCCTCGTGCAGGAGATGATCCGCTCCGGCGAGGCGTCCTACGTCGGAGTTTACCGCACCGCCGAGAGGTATCCATTGGTCTGCGGGCCGTATCGCGTGCCGTTCTTGTTGAATATCCGGGGGAAGGGGCAGCAGGTGTGGGGGGAGCTATACGCCGTGACCGAATCGGGGATCGCTCGAATGGACGAACTGGAGGGCACCAGCAGGGGCCACTACGAGCGGCTCCCCCTCCGCGTGGCCGGCGGGAATGAAGGCGTATTCGAGGACTGGATCGGCGGCGGCGACGACGACGAGGTGGCGGAAGGCGAGGAGGGGACTGTGGTGCGCGCCGAGGCGTACTTCGCTCACCGGAGCTACGCTGGGGAGCTGTGGAAGTGCAACGGCGAGAGGGGATACTGCGTCTACTCGGAGAAGGAGGCTCGGGGGTACATCAAGCGGAAAGATCGCCCGCAGGGACTCACCTTCCTTGACCATATTCAAGCCTTCGTCTCCTCGTCCCCCTTAGTGGAATGAATCTTCTCCCCTCCCCCCTCCACGCTCATATAATAATCAACCCCCGGTCCTTATCAGATGTGGTTTGCCCTACCCTCACGGAGGCAAATTCGCGTGGTTGTAGCGACTTTTAGAAATCCAAAGCAGCAGCAGCAGCCTCTGGTTGGCCCCGCGGCCACTATACGTGGCCCCGGATGGAATAACTTGTATTGTTTGATCCTTGTGGCTTGCAATCTTCCGCTGACCTTTTCTGGATGGTAATACAAATTCGGCATTCCCTCCTTCCGGAGGAAACCCTTCGCTGAATCCCAGTCTTTCCTCTCTTCTTTCCCTTCCTCGATTTCTTGCCTGCTTCTGTCAATCTCCCCAACTCTGTCCGGTAGGCCGATCGATTCTTCTCTAAGACTTCTGCACATGGTCCACTGCTGCAGGTCGTCCGAGATCAAGAGACGACAAAATCGGAGCACTGAGCGGGACAATTTTTTTATTGCGATGAACAGCGCCACGCGGGGTTGTGGATAGGAATCCGTGGATGGGCCCCATGAGGAAGAAGATGAATCCCCCGACTCCACGGCGGGATCAGCGTGCAGTGTGAGATCACCCGACCACGCGTGAAGGGGTGATGCAGACGGGCACGCGCGGCTGGCCCATGTCGGCCGGAGAATTCCTCCCACTTCTTCAGATCGAAGTCGGCGTCCACCGGAGATTCACCGCCGGTAGGGGAATCGGCCTTCCCAGATGCGACCTCCAGGCGACGACGAACCAGGTCAGTGGTTTTCCCTTTCCCACGGCGCCCATTACTCGTCGGAGATTCTCCGTCACCTCTAATCTCCCTCTGAAAGAGCGGTCGCATCTTCCCTGCTCATTAATCGTTTCAGGGTCGTATCATCCATCCGCCATCACTGTCACCTTCGTAAAAGATCTCAGCTTCGAGTATTGAAAAGGCCGTAGACCAGACCTCGGGGCATCGCTTCCGATTTAAGAATCGGATCAGGAGGAAAATCATTGAAAAGGAAACCCACTTGGACTTCTGACCGGGTTCGATCGGACAGCGACGTCGGCCGAGGGTGGGTATGAAATGATTGGCGAATCGATCGAGGTTCTGCTCGACTTCGGAGGAGATGCTGGAGGTAGGATCCAACTCCAGCATTTGATCCGATTCCTCTAATTATTTTCCTGTTTGGGGCTGAAATAGGACCACCCTAGCTAGCGCTCATATCAGATGAAGCATTCATATCTATTGCAAACGAGGAATGACCATCGGTGTTCTAAGGTGATTAAGGAAAAGGGTCCAGATGCAGCAAGCACCGGAAATCTCGAGGCATCCTTCTATGGATTCAACCGCTCGTGCTGTTTCCTGCCCACCAGAGAAAAGAAGATGATCAGATGGAAGCTCACTGCAAACTGGCGGCCAGGAGGTGTCCCCCCTCCACTCTGTAAGTCAACGCTGAGACTATTTATTCCTCTACTTCAGAAAGGAAGTTCCGATTACCATTTTGGGCAGGAATTGATGCCGAGTCCGTTGCAAGTGAGGATCATCCCTTTGAATCTGGAGAGATACTCCTGGAGAGGCAGGCAGATTAAAGAAGAACACTCATTGATCTCGAAGAACAAAAAAAAAAAAGGAAAAAAAAGATCTAAACGGGGATGAGATCCTCACCCGCAAAGTGTATCTGTTAATCTCATAACTACCACTGAAGTCATAATCAATCCGTTTATCTGGGTCACTCAACACTGCAGAGCCAAATAAATATGAGGAAGCATCAGCAATTGGGAATACCATCCAGGTAGGGATATCATCCATACTCGGAAGCCAAGCTTGTACCTTTGTAAGCTTCATTAATCTCCTGGAACCTTGCTGTGACATCACGGTCACCCTTGTGCTTGTCCGGGTGCCACTTCTGGGCAAAGAACATGGAGACAATGAGAATCATTGCATAACGAAAGAGAGAGAGAGAGAGGAGGCAAGAGAAATCATGGGGCCGGGCCGAATTTCCGGTTGATGCTTGGTTATGAGGCCCGATTATACAAAAGATCGGGCCGGGAGGAGCAGACTTGCCCGATCTCCATTGGTACTCCCGCATGGAAACCACCCATGCTTTGTGGAAGCCAGGGAAAGAGAGTACATAAACACATCCTACGAGATCAAATGAAGCCACTTACCAATGCAAGTCTGCGGTAACTCAACCTGATATCCTCATCTGTGGCATCGTAATCAATCTCCAAGATCTTGTAATAATCCTGCAAGTACAGGGAACTGGCTGATGAAGCAAATTTCAAGAATGGGAAAATTCACGCCATCTAATTAATATATACACATATATTATTTTATTTTATTTTATTTTATTTTTTCACAGATAAAGTTTAAATAAATAGTGGGAAAATAAACACTTCATCATCAGCATAATCAATCCCGAGTTTGTCAATTCATCGCAACTACATACAGGAGAGTTTAATCCTGGGATGTGGGAGGACTTGATCAACCTGGCCCAGCCCGAAGAGAAGGCCCGGTGGATCTTGGATGCATTGTTGCAGTGGTTAGAAACCTTGTTTATGGAGGGTTTCAACCATGATAGCCCGTCAAGGATTTAGAGATAGCTCAAGATGACCATATTTGAAAATATATGATAAAAAGTGAGTAGATCGAGTTTAATAATACGCGCATATACTTCATGCTTAATATATTCATATTTACACATTAATAACCATAATAATAGTAATACAATGTGAGTCCATGAAGGTAATGAAGAAGTCGATTCGTGAATAAAACTGTGTAATTGAGTTGCACAATAAAAAAAATAAAAATCAAGAAACTGACCCAACATGCATAACTAAATTCCTGGAGAGGGAGGGAGGAGTGAAGCAATGTGTGTGTGTGTGTGTGTGTGTGTGTGTGTGTGAGAGAGAGAGAGAGAGAGAGAGAGAGAGAGAGAGAGAAAGAGAGAGAATTTAGGGAGTAATTCTACAAAAAATTAAAATAGAAAAAAGGTAGAAAATTTCGATAGTCTTGAATCTGATACCAGAAACAGCATAGGGAGGCGAAGCTCAAAGGGGAGTTAAATGGAAGAGGGAAAAATCTTAGGGTTATATGATGGGCTGCTGAAGATCTGTTCATAAGAATAGACTAGTATGTCACTCATTTCACGCTCAAATAAGCAACTGGGTTAACCATCAAATGCACTGGATCGTTCACAAGGGTATAATATAATAAGGAGTAATGGCATAAGATGATGGTTCCAAGCTCCGGATATATCCTAGGATGCAACAAAGTTCAATGCCAGAACGCAACGTCTTTGAGCAGTTCCTAGGGAAGACATTAGGTTCGGACAAAGAAAAAAAGTTAAACTAGAGTCAACCAGTCAGTGGCCCTCATCCATCTCAGCACAAAGCTGCTGATACTCTGGATGGGTCCTCAAAGATATGAGAACCGTTCATCCTGCAGAAAAATGTACTAAGACTGGCAAAAATCTGAAACCATTGGGCTTTTGGAGCGTAAGCGCTTGCTCTGAAAGAGGAAAGGCCTCACAACAAGATCTAGTGAGAGAAAGTGGACAGAAGGGGGAAGGGTGCTAGAAATCGGATCATTTGTTAAAGCAGTCCTTCGCTTGGAGACACCAAAAGAAATTCGAGTAATTTCTTCATAAGACGACCCCTCTTAAATAGGATTATACTGCAGATTAATGCAAGTATACAAAAATAGAAACATTGATATGCAGAAAAGCCATATTAAATATAATTCTCATGACAGAGAAAAATCAGAGTCAACTAGACAACAAGAGGGAGGTGTATTTTGTACATTGAAGCACAGAACAAATGGGTACCCATCATATGCATCAAACGACACCTGGTGAAAGCAGTTGTAGCTTCTTGCTCCCATTAACTTCTTCTGGGAAAGCTATGGGCAAGATGGAAGGAGCGATGACTAGAAAGATTGAAAGAGGGCTTTTAAACAGTGGTTAGGTATAGGGCGATTTGGTCAACTCTCGATATAGGAACCCAAATATCAACCGAGCAGACGTCGTGTTCCTTCCAGGGTTAAGCACACGCAGGGTTGGGCTGTTCACATTGGAGACCTCTTCACTATTCAGACATGATGTCTGTGTGAACATGGGGTTTGTCTATTTGCCTCCCCTGCCCCCATTTCAAGCCTTCTTCCAAATATACATCCCAGAGCCTTCTTCATAGGTCTAATATTGTAAAAATGATCATCGTCAAGGAAGAAAACCAGAGTCAACGCGCGTTCTTCAAACGGGGATGCAGAATAGTATCCAGAATCAACGCATGGAAATCGGCATCATGTACCTCAAGGCATGAACTAGTACTCAAATGATAAGAGAACACCGGTGGACTGCATGGCGCTGAATCGCAGATCAAATTGAAGAAAGAATGGTGTTCAACCCGGTCGAAACCTCCGCGACCCTCATTCTTCACTCAGAAAACTTTCCGGAGGTGACACAAGGGAATTAGGGATAACGGCAGATGCTCTGACCCTACCAAGACGAGGAATCCATAGATCCTCTCCAGACATCCTCTATCAAGACAGCTTGAAACTCGGTGATCAAAAAGGAAAGAAACCGGGAACAGAAGGAAGTAAAGCCCGCGATTCACAAACAAAAATGCGTGACCCCTCCGAGAAGGGAGAAAGGATAGAAGCCTGACCTTGTGGGATTCTCCTCCGTCCCCGGCCTCCATCTGATCCGACGCTCCTCTCGGTTCATTGATTTATGAGGGGGGAGTTGTGTGAACAAAACCACGTTGCCGGCCCAGACGGTGTTAAGATCCACCTGCCGGACGACGAGACGAGGGCGACACGCGAGTCACAGAGACACAAAGAGAGAGAGAGAGAGGGAGGGAGGAAGAAGGCTCTTAGGATAAGATTGAGTGAGGGAAAATTGAGAGAGAATATATATATAGAGAGAGAGAGAGAACGATGGAGAGAGAGAAGAGGGGGAATCCTGCAGGATCTCCTCGCTCAGTGCCGGCGAGCTGCCGCCGGCGAAGGTGGGGAGAGGCCGGCGCCTCCGGCGGCGTTCGATTGGCCAGCCCTCTTCACCATCTCGAGATTTCGCCGGTAGCGTCTGAGGGTGGCCCTTATTTCTATCCACATCCACTTCGTAGCAACTCTGCGCTGACGTGGACCGCTGGGGGCGGAGCTCCGTCCACGCGGCTCCAGCTCGGCATCAGAACACAGCCCACGAGTCTCGTCCTGACTGGAGCCACGTGGCCCCCACAGTGACCTCATTTTTATACTTATGCTTTTTTTAAAAAAATTACGTCATAAAAATAAATTGTGAATTTATTTATATGGAAAGTACCGCAATATCGCCATTAAATGATTTTTTACGGAAATTTCTGATATAGGCAGGTAGGCGGCCTAAATGGGTTGAGACGGCCCATACCTATGCCACGTGGTAATCCCTTAATCGCCCACGTTGTCACACGCACGCTCTCTCTCTCTCTCTCTCTCTCTCTCTCTCACTAGATATATATATATATATACATATATCTTTGAGAAGAAGATACGGAAGGATGGTCTTCATTATTTATTAAATTTGGCCTTTCAGGCTATTATTGGGAGGCCCATTAGTGCCCAGTCCGCCCCGTTGGGATGAACATACTCCTCTCTCAGTTAATGAAGTCAACATTGCGTCGGTCTCCGCTCTGGCGGCTGGGCACAGCCGAAGTAGGCCGTCATGGGCACAGCCGTAGCCAGTTCCGCCACCACCACCGTGAACGCAGTAGGTCAACTCAACCATGTCGGCCGCCGCCCTAGCCGCAACTTTGTCCCTACACAGCGCCGACAGCGCCGCAACCCGCGGCGATTACTCTTCTCATCTTCCTGGTCGGTGAAGCCTTCCAGAAGCAAGTCGACAAGGATTCGGAGGGAAGACGGCGGCCATTACTGAGTCGACCACGTTTATGAAGGAATATTCCCATCTCTTGCGCTGTCAAGCCTAGGAGACCTCGTTCCTCCTCCAGCAGTCGTCCCCCCCCTCAGTAAAGAACCAGACTTCACCCACTTCATCGCGCCAAGAACAGCCGATCACCCCGTTGACCAATTTCAGACTCGAGATGATCATTATATGCGCATTCGTATGCATCCGATGTAGCTGATTTCTATACAGTATTCCCCCTGTCAGCTGCTGGAGGATTCAGAGACATTTTAAGGAAAGATCAAGAACAGAGAGGTCAACCAGTTTCCAAAAATGAACAGAGGCTCTTACTCCAGCATACCTCTCTTCAGACAGGCTCCTTGTCTGAACTGCTTATCCAGTTCAAGCAATCTGGTGTCCAGGTTTTCAGCAACCTGGAGCATCCCTGCTCCCCTGTAGGCCTGAATCATGGTGGCCAGCGTGACGCTGTCTGGTTTGCAGTGCTTCTCCCTCATGAATAAGAACATTTCCTCCATGATTTCCACCTCCCCAGCTTCACCGTAAGCATTTATGACGCAGTTGAAAAAGGGCGTGTCCAGGGCGACGTCAGAGTTCTCTGTCTGCCGCAAGATCAGCGGGATCCTCACCAGAAGCCCGGCTCTGCTGTAGCCGCTGACGATCGAACAGTAGGTGACCGAGTTCGGCTTCACCCCCTGGAACTTCATCAGCCTGAAAGTCTCCTCCATCTTCTCGATGTTCCCTGCTCTGCCAAAGCTATCGATCATGGAGTTGAAGGTGACGGTGGTCGGGGAGAAGAACCGCTTCTTCATGAAATCCATGACGAGGCACATCTTCGCCTGCAACCCCGCCCTGCCATACGATCTGATCAGTATGTTGAATGTCGTCACGTCTGGCTCGACGCCCATATGCTGGAACTCATCGAAGCTCCGCTCCATCTCCTGAATCAGTCCGCAGTCTCCATAGGCCCAGAGGATGGAGTTCAGAGTGCATTCATCCGGCAGGCATCCCTCGCAGGCGATCATCTCAGAGAGAGAGCTCTCCATCTCCTCCAGCATCTTCGCCTTCCCGTATCCATCGATTATGATGTTGTGAGTGACGACATTGGGGCTGATGCCGAGCTGTTTCATTTCGGCGAGAGCTCGAGGGATCAGATCGAAGCGTCGCTGCTTGCAGAGGCAGTCGATGAAGATCGTGTAGGTGTAGACGTCGGGATGGCAGGTCGGGAGGGATTTCATCTCGTCGATGAGGGCGAGGGCCTCCTCCCAGAAGGCGTTGCGGCCGTAGGCGCCGACCAGTGCGGTGTAGACATCTGGAGTTGGTCTGAGGCCTTCGGAAAGCATGATCTGGAAGAGGGAGCCGGCGTGCCTCGGTTGGCCGCATCTTCCGAGCATCATCATCAACCTAGCGAACGTACGCCCTTTCGGATTGTACCACTTCTGCTTCCGTAGCAGGCCGAAGATCTGGTCGGAACAGTTCAAGCACAGAAATACATTCTAGGTTAAAATTCGCAACGGAATGATTGTCATCGAAGGGATTCAGAGGGTTAAACGAATCTGGCGTGCTGGCGATGATTATGCAGATGCATTGATGGATTGGTCGGCTGATTTAGATCTTTTCTCTGGTGAAGAATCGAAAACCACAGGCGATAAAAAAAATTCAATCGAAGAAACGAGGAACACAGGGAGGAGCGGCGGGGGGCTCGCCTGGAGCGCGGACTCCCACTGGTTGTTCGAGACGGCGTCGTCCAAGGCTCCGAGCACGGCCTTGGGCCAGAGGCGGTGCGTGGATGTGGAGCTTATTGCCTTCCTCTCCACGCCGCCGATCGCCGCCTCCTCTCTCAGGATCTTCGACAGTTCCTTGCCCGACTCCCTCCACAGGGCACGCCCCTCTCCCTCCCCCAGCGACCTTGGGAAGAACAGGCGCCGATTCCTTCCACTTCTCTGCGATGCAGCGGCGGCCGACGGAGACGCCGCCGCCGTTGCCGGACGAGCGAGGGCTCCCCGCCCCTGCGTCTGCCAGTGAAGAGAACAACCACCGGGAAGCTCCATTGGCGCGCTGGGAAGAAGACGAGGGCATCTGGATAATCTATCTGAAAAATCTTTTGCGTCTAATTGAATTCGTATCGGGCTCACTGGTCGGGCTTTAAAGGGTAATCAGCCCAATGGGCTTTAAGTTTCCCTCCGCTCCTTGACATCCCACTCGCCGTTTTGTGAGAGACATCGAGCCAGGCCGAGGCGTAATGGCGGGCAGAACTGGCCGCCGCCGCCGTACTCCCGGCGCCCGACAACGAAAGCAGGCCCGCAATGGTCGCCACTTCCGCCTGCCGCCCACCGCCTGCGCCACCCCCACCCGCAGACGCGGTTTCTACTCTTTAACAACCCATCCCTCTGGAGCTCCCTCCAACCTTACAAGTAGATTCATGGCTTCTCCCGGCGGCGCCGCCCTGGTCAGTGCTGCTGTTCTTCTGGCGTGCCTCGGCGTGGGGGCCTTTTCTGCCGCCAGAGGACTCCAGCCCGTCTCGCCGGATGGCGGCTACGGCGGTGGCGCTGGGCATGGCGAGTCCCGTGGGCGGGGGCCGGAGGAAGGAGTTTTCACCTGTGAAGGCGGCTGCTATGGCGGCTGCGGCAATGGGGAAGAGCACGGGGCCGGGGTTGGCAATGGCGGCGAGCTACGGCGAGTGTACAGCGGCCACGGCGGCTACAGCGCCGGAGCGGCGCATGGAGATGGCTACCACGGCGGGGGAGCCGTAGGAGGCACCAGCGCGATCCCAGGCCGCCACGAGTCCACAGGCGGTGAGGGAATCAACGGCGGCTTCGGATATGGCGTCGGCTGGGGAGGCGGCGAGGGGGCGGAATGCGGCTGCGCCGCCCGCCGTGGGTCCGCCGGAGGCGACACTCCGTGAGCCGGCCCTCTGCTTGCTGGTTGCACCAGCCGATGGCACGTTTGAACTTCTTCTAGAAGGGCTTCCGGCAATATATAAATAATCTACTTTAAAAAATAGAGACTTATTTGGAAATGGGCCATGTGAGCCATGCGTGGCCCACTAAACTATGGGTTTTGGGCCCATCATGACTCATACGGACCCATTGGACTCTTACCAGACACACGGGCCTTTAGAAAGCACAGGGAGAGAAGTGCGGCCCAATTTAGATGGGCTCTGTCTACTATTTTATGGGCCGAGCCCGCCTTTCCAGTGGGCCTTCGTGGATCAGTATCGGTTCAATCCATTTCGAGATGATTTTTGGATCCCACACTGCGTCCGTCTTCTTCCTCTCTGTCTCCGGTCTCCGGCTCTGCGTGGGGGTTCAGCAGGAGGGCCCCGCGCCGCCCGAGCTTCCTCCGGCGTCATGGCGAGGGGCGGGAACATCCCAGAGACGGAGCTCTTCTGGTCTCTCATCGACAAGGCGGACCGCAAGTTCGCGAGGGTGAGGGACACGCCGATGTACGGAAGGGACAGGTGAGGAGGACGCGGTTCCCCCTTTGTCCGATGTCGATTCCCGCTTCAACCCTAGGTGTCGGGAAGGAAAGAGGTTGTTCTTTGGTTTACTTTTTGCTCATTGTGGTAGGAATGATGCGGAATTCCACAAGGCCTTCAAGATCTACACGCGTCTATGGAAGATGCAGCAAGAGAACCGTCAGAAGCTGGTGGAGGCGGGGATGAAGAGATGGGAGATCGGGGAGATCGCCTCAAGAATTGCGCGGCTCTACTACGGGCAGTACCAGCGTACGAGCGAGTCGAGCTACCTCGCCGAGGCGTACATATTCTACGAGGCCATACTGAGCCGGGAGTACTTCCGGGACAGTCTGTCCCAGGATGCCTCGGCCCTCGCGAAGAAGCAGCTGAGATTCCTCGCGAGGTTTCTCATCGTTTGCCTTGTTTTGAATCGGAGAGAGATGGTAGTCCGACTGGCCAATCAGCTCAGGTCACTTTTAGAAGAATGCAAAAGGAACTTTCAGGTACTCCGGTTTCTTCCGTGACCAGTAGTTCAACTATCTTTTGTCGCAAATAATCTGAAAATTCCATGGAAACTCCAATAAAATGTCTGTCATGACTCAGGTTGAAAGTATAAACAAAATTGAAGGCAACATAAAAGAACAGACCCATTTGCACCGACTGAAATCAACGTAGCTAACTCAGAATCGAGAGACTATGCAAATGTACCTTTGGATTCACCACATTTTGGAGGCCTTGAAAAGAACTGCGATCAGTGCGGCCTTTAACATGTAGGATTGTAGTCAAGTATAAAATGTTTCCATCTTGATCAGGGTCCTGCATTCCTAAATATAGAGACCAACTCTGGTTTGGATTTTTGCTGTTGAGTTTTGGTATTCTTATTAGTTTAAAAAATGAATCAATTTATAATTCAATCATTTTGGGTTTTGGGGCCATGAGAACATATTTCCCTTTCATTTTACTGTAAAATGAAGATGGGATTTGGTTAGACTTCATGTTTTGGGGTTCCTCTGACAATATCAGGTCATGGACCTCAATCATGAAGATGGGATATTGGAAGGGGCCGTTTCAATCTCGATAACCAATCTTCTGTTTGTAAAATATATTGATTAAAAAAACAAGGTTTATACTTGAAGTTCAAGGCAGCCATGAATTATGCTACTACTAAGTTATGCTTCAGAGGTGTTCAGGAACTCAGAGGATCAGCTATACAGAAACCAGGAGATCTCCTTTCTGGACTTGAAACTGGGGAAGGAAAAAGCGTTCAGTGTAAAAGAATAAATTTGATTGATAGCATTTGGTCGTTTCATGTAAAAAAATTCTCCATTGCTCCATCAATTTAGTGTTCTCTTGCCACTGCTGACTTATTATTTATCCATCCAGGAGGCAGAGTTTAAGGAATGGAAGCAGATAGTTCAGGAAATTTCGAGGTTTCTAAAAGTTGATACAAATTTTATGAATATGAGACCTTTACGGTACAGTTATGTCTTTGATTCTCCACCAGGCTCTCTCCCATGCATTTCTAACCAGAAAGGTCTGAAGTTACGTGATGCTATCTTGGTTAGTTACCATCATAATGAGGTTGGACATCTTTTCCCTTAATCTTGATTATGCTTTATGGGGACTCGTGTGTTAGCTATTTTCATCAAATTCAAAGTATCTTTATATAATTACTTTTCTTAATATTGGTTTGATTATTTCACTGCACCAGGTCAAGTTTACAGAGCTCACTCTCGACACATTTAGGATGCTTCAATGTCTAGAGTGGGAACCTTTGGGTTCCTTTTCTTTGACGAATGGAGATGATGCTAATCAGGAGGGATCTAGCCATAGTAGGATGAATCCTTTGCAGGATATTAGGGATCCATCCTTGCCACCTAATCCTCAGAAAGTGATTTTATATCGTCCATCTGTTACACATTACTTAGTGGTGAGTCTTCCACTTCCGTTCGCTGTTGAATTTCTTATGTCTACGTCAAGGATTTATAGGTTTTCACGTGCTTTTTATGGAATTGTCCAGTGCAATTTTTTTTTTTGCTTGCTATTGATACTACGAGAGGCAACATTATTTCCTGTATCAAAAATTGTACTGTCAATGTTGATCAACGGGTAGCTGGCCTCAAATTGGACGGTTACATTTTGTCACTTACCATCTTTGGCGTATCTTTTATGGTTAATTATATGGTTTGAAAAATAAAATTTGATTAAACCAGCTACAGTGAATATATCTCTCCCTTTCATGTTGGCATGTTCAGCATCGTCCGGTTTTTTTCTTCACGGCCTAGCATTCACCCTTAATGGCCTTACGTTTCATGACCTCCCGCTTGACAGAGATCTTAAAAGGTAATCTCTTGGGGTAAAGATGTAAGTATCTTGATTTTAGACCATTTGCCCATCGCTCTGTAGAGAAGAATGCCTAGTTCCATTGTTGTGATTGAGGAAGGTCTTCAATTGATTGGTAGATGTAAGCAGAATAATCTATCAGTAATGAGCTAGGTTCTGGTGCTCATTCATTGATTTATTATAGCAATGGGTGTGCTACCTAATTGACTATGCTATTGTGTTGCCAAGAATCCATTTGTGAGTTTTGATCATTCTAATCTTTATTTAAAGCATAGAACTTCACGAACTTTTAAGAACATGAGAGCAAACAGCAAGAAACTGTGGAATTTAGGATATGGGATAATTCGGCCTATGGACTTGGGAGATGTCATAAACCTGCATGGGGTAACAACAGACAGTTATTATTGTGTTGGACTGGGACATAAGACCTTTGACAGTGTGAATTGAATTTGCCTTCGCTGTTCTTTCCAGTCTGTCGATTTCTTTGTTTCTAGGCTAATTGTTATAAAGTTGTTGTGATTCCTTGAACACAGTCCCTGATTGATCCTATTGTATCCTTCCAATGTGTAAGAAAAGCGCCAAAATAAAGTTTCTCTCTCAAAGTCAACCTGATCTCTGTCATTCCTTCTGTCAAAAGGATGAGAAAATTGTTCCTTGAAGGAAGGGCAAATGCTGAGTCGCAATGTCTGGTTCTCTCTACAAAACCACTAGAAGATTATAACAGCTCTCGGGCATATATGCATAAAATGGGCTTCTTATTTTCTTTCATACGCCCAGAGGAAGACACCTTGCCAGATGAAGTATTCGAAAGCCCATGCTTCAGATGATCAATCAGTAGAATCTTATATTTGGTTTTGCCCTCTGGTGTAGGTTCTTGCCACGCTATGTGAGGAGCTTCCTCCTGATGGAATTTTATTGATATATCTGGCTGCTCCAGGTAGATCTTTCATTCCTTTTCAATGAAAATTACACCTAGTTTTTTTTTTATCACTTGCGTTCATCGTTGCGGATGTCCCAAAAAAATATTCCGAATTCCTATTCCTCTATATAGCAAGTGATAGACAGACTTTCTGCGGCATCAATTGATGTAAGTCTAACGGGCAAGAATGACAATATTGTTGCAAAATCAGGATCTCTTGAAGCGTGCTCTCCGGCTGTGAGTTTCTCACAATCTTCCTCTGAGAGCAAGGAACTTCAAGACAATAATCGGGAATGCTGCTTACATCTGGGTCCCTATGTAAACGAAGGTATGTGTTATTAAAATACGTTCCCTTGAATGTGGCCAAGTGACCGTTTTGTGTCCTCCCCGCCCCCACACATCCTCTCCGTTTTCCGGTGCTTTGATATCTCTACCTTCACAAAGGTTAAGACCTGAGGATACATGCGCCTTCACCATATTTTCTTCACGTAATTGCCTGCAAATTCTGGGGGTATGTCGATGAATTTAGCCAATTATGGGGAGGGGGGGGGAGGTCTACAGATAAGTATGAGTAGTAGAAGATTGATGCATGTATCCAGAGATGTGGTAGCTCTCTAGTCCACTGATTTCATGCGTTGTGATTACAAGTAGCTGTCAGCTTGCTGCCCTTCGGACAGTTTCAGAGTTTTCAAGCTCTGGATTTAAGATTGAAGCGTTCTATTTTTCTCTCCTGCAGGTCTGAATTGCCTTTACCCTTGTGATTTGGTTCCATTCACGCGGAAGCCTCTTTTTCTGATCATTGACAGCAATGCCAGCGATGCATTCAAGGCAGGTTTGTCGACTCTGATTTCCACCTTGCTACCCATTTCTTTCTTTCCCTGGGAAGTTACCCATTTTTCTTTCATCACTTATTAGAAACCAATAATTATCTGGAATTTTGGCGCAAATTAGGTTTTCAAGAGTAGTCTCATATACTATTATAGAGATGAACCTGTGACCGACGTTTGGCTGATCAGCCATCGGCTCCATGCCCCGAATACTTTGGTGAGAAAAATATCTTCTTGGGACCCTTGCAGGTTATGTATGGCACGGAGAAAGGAGGGGCAGTGGCGATGCTCCTCTCCCCCAAGTCTCCCTCCTTCCCTACAGGAGCTACCGCTGACTCAGCCGTCTCCCAGAATGGAAGCCAGTTCACCATGTTCTTGACAGCCCCGCTGCAGGCATTCTGCTCACTGTTGGGGGTCGCCAATTCAACCATCGATAAGAAGGTCAACGCCCCACGACAAGCCGCCTCTCTTCTTTTTCCTCTTCTTCGACAGCAAGAATTCCTCAGATTTTATTCCCCTCTGTTGAAATTTCTTTTCAGGATGCTTACAGCAAGGCGGAGGAGCTTCTCCTGATGATCTTGAATGAATGGGGAAGGGCTCTCGTCTCATCCGGTTCTCTCGCCCCGATCTGGATCGAGGTCTTGGGCGATCTCTTCCTGAGACGCCTTCTCCTGAGGTTATTTTTCTTAATCCATATATCTCTTCCCCCCCCGCAAATAAGTAGACTGTTTTGGGCACTTAGACGGCTTAGACGGCTTCGGACTTGTGCTAGATCCCCTGGCTGACCCAATTGGGTATTATTTCCATTTTCAGCAAAACCCATGAATAAGTTGACCTACCCTGACCTTTCTGCATCGTTCTCTGCTCAGATTTATATTCTGCCGGGCGGTTCTTGCTCTGAGATCGGCAACGCCAGCGCCAGAGTGCCTGCCCGAGTGCCTCCCCCAGCTGCCCGACTGCACCCTTCCGGGGAGCCCTGAAATCCAACGCGGGGTCCGGAGGCTGGCCGAATTCTTTGGCATTGCTGGGCAGTTCTCCCTCTCTAGTGATCCCTCGCCACCCAACAGCGGCAGTGGCGGTGGTGGCCCAGAAGATCCTGCCATTTGAATTGCAGTTGTGCAGGTGAGATTCTGGATTTCATTCAGCTTAGCCGTGGACCAGGGGCTTGAGATCTTCGTAAGGTCTGGTAGCAGGTCCTAGTGCTTCTGTGGCCGTCCTCTTTGAGTCTGTGGGAGTATGAGAGAGAGAGAGAGAGAGAGAGAGAGAGAGAGAGAAAGAGAGAGATGGTCAAGAGTTCACAAACGTATCTCGGGTGGGGGAATACCTCTGGCCGAGCTTGGTCCATTGAGGTTTTTAATTGTAGATTGGAAGGTTTTTTTATTTTACGGTGATATATTATCAAAAGTCGTGCAATTTCATACATTTATTGTAGCTACCTTCTTCAATGGATTTCTACGTCGGCTCATTAAAAATAAATAAATCAGAATGAGCAACGATTCTAGGTGTGGAACCGACCAAATTCCCATTTTAATTCTCTCCTCTCTCTCTCTCTCTCTCTCTCTCTCTCTCTGGAGTTGCCAGCAAATCGGTTCTTGGAGGGATATATAAACACATAATCATCAAATATCCGGGTTCAGAAAATCATGTACACCTACCCATTTCAGCTGGACGTTTAGAAAATAAAATAAAATCAATTAACTCTTTAAAAAAAAAAACCAGAATGTAAGTCAAAGTTGGGAGAGCTTGCACAAGGTCACATCCAGCTTCTCACTGATTGATGTGATCCATGCCTGTATGAACAAAAATAAATTAAATAAATAACAGATCATCCTGTACCTGAGTTCTCACCGATGAACTGAGCAAACGATCGATTCCACATTCACGAGCATCAGATGTTGAAAAAAAAATTAAATTGAATTCTTCTAAATATGATTGCAGCCGATATGGGAATCACCCAGATTCTATGAACATAATTCAATCAATTTTATATTTTACACGAGAGCAACGAGTTAAAACATAGTTAATAAACATCAATCCAAGGAATTTAGAATACATCTACTATAGCACATCTTGACTCCCAAATCAACAGTGCGAGTGGAAAGAACACCTGAATGAAGAACAGCGATGAATTATTCCAAGTATAGCACGAAATTAAAGTGATTATCATCACCGAAAATGTATATTTTATATTCCATTAATACTACCTGAGCCAACCCTAGATTGGAACGCCCAAAAAAAACCTAGCTGCTTCACTCAGATCTCAGACACCATGATTCAGAAGATGAGAAGTTCTTCGTCCAGATTCTCTCACTGCTGCCATAACCCAAATGACCGCCAGATTTCTTCCACTGAGTCAAGTGGGTAATTGAGCTACGGAGTTCAAAAGTGCCTAGTATGTTATCTCAGGTGAAACTAAGAATTAAACGAATAATTATAATCTTCAGACAAGGAACAATGCGTGGAGGTACAAAAACTAGGTCTGAAAATGATGCCAAAAAGGGAGCTACATGTGTTAACGAAGTCAACGCCTGTATACCAGAAATGCCACACTGTGTGCGGGAGCTTGTGATTTAGTGAGCTTTATTCCACCAATCTCAAGTCAAAATTTTGAATAAAAAGATTAATAGCAGTATAGAATCAATAAGCCGGTAAACATTCAAAATGATAGGTTAGTTATGGCGTTTGAAAAAGAATTAATAGTTCAAGAAACCTGGTCAAGACTGCTGAATCCCCTAATCGTATCACCGCCTATAATTGCAATTCCGCTGTCCCCAATTGGCTGCAAGATCAGCGCCTGGAAGATCAACACCCATTTAGCGGGTAAGAAAGGAAAAATTATATATTTTTTGGTCATAACTGATGAGATATCCTTGATACATATCTGTAACATAGCATAAGTCAGCCCAATGAAGGTCAATACCTGTGTATTAGCGGGTAAGAAAGGAAATTCTACCCTCCCAGGATAAAGAGAGAGATTGGCCAAGTAGCTTTCTGTAAAGAGCATGTGATTAAAAAGTTTGAGTATGAACTTACATAGATAATATTGAAAATAAATATAGATAAAACAGGTCTGTGTATATGTATATATATATATAGAGAGAGAGAGAGAGAGATAGAGAGAGAGAGAGAGGGAGGGAGGAATTTACGCTTTCCGGATTGCATGGCTTTTTGACACAGAGAACCCTGTGTTAAACAGGGAACATCGATATCAGTGGGATTTCCATCCTTTGAGGAAATCTCAGAAGCAATCCCTATTTGAAGAAGGCAACAGTTTTTATACACGACCACCAAGGACCTGCAGCACGTTGCATCCGAAAGAGAGGTCCATGCCCTGATCAAAAGTCAAGATAGCAATGCTAATAAGCTCAATTGATTGCAGACTGGTCTAATTAAGCAGAACTCCAGAAAAAAGAACCGGAGCTAAAGTTCACATGAGATTCTAAGCCACTGTAAATCATGTTCTGTGATAATCCTATAGTGCGAAAAGTGTAACACCTTCACAAGGAAGGGAATTACTGGACGAAAGATACCACACAAGATTGTTATGATTCTGTAACTCGAATATTAATCAAATTATTTACTAATGCAAAGAAATTATGTGAATTACTGATGGAGCGAAATGAGCTCCATTTTACCTAGTCTACATTCCTTAAATTGCATGATATGATGAGGGTCATGGCCAAAATATTTGGACAAAATTGGTAAAAATCAAGATATTCAATTGGGAAAATTGTCAACTCTTAAGCAGCCGCATTTAGCAAAATGGGATAAAAAAATGGGCCACTACAGGTCCTCATATATCTCATATTATGTCCAGTTTCATTTAAGTGTGAGGCATGAGTTATGCCAAAAGATTGTCTTCTTATCGCGTTCAGGATGGCCATTGGGTTTAAAAAAATATATATCTGTGTGTGAGCGTGTGAGTCTCTCTCTCTGTACTCTCTCTCTCGCCATATGCACAAACACACATTTACTTTTTCTGGTTCTCATCATTTTGTTCAGTTCGAACCTTCTTTCTTTGTTGACCAAACCCAAAGATCCTCACCAAGTGATATTCATCTTTCACTTAGAATAAAGTAGTTCAACATTGTTTCTAGGAAAGGAGAAACAAATGTCACCGGAGCCACATGAATCATAAAAGTCGAGTATTTACCATAGTAGCTCATGCACTGCATAATCCGGCAGAGAAGAATGTATCCTCCTACACTCTACACCTTCAGGAACTTCCTGGAATCAATATGAAGAGTCGTGTAAGTCCCATAAATAGTAATGATAAACCATTCTTTCCCAATAGATAATTTAATGCTTACTGGAGATATATACTTTGGCCTAATTGATAACCAGACAAGACCAGCAAGAAGGTCAGTTACAGCCAAAGAAAGAGACAATATATCTGCTCTCGACTGTGAACTGCAAAGAGGAAAAGAAAAGAAAAAAAATCAAACAGAATCAGGTTACAAACGATCTGTGTTAGACTTACCAAAAGATTGATACATAAAAGTCAAAGAGACCTAAGAACAAGCATGCATACGGAGAGAATACGATGATGAAACCACCACCTGAAGATGATGGCAAAGATGACAATAAATATTGTTGAAGTTGACTGATAACCAGACCATTTGTGCATCCGCTGTAACATGATTTTTTATTCCCTTTCTTTAATGTAACATTTATTCTTTCTATTTTGGAGATATACAATATGGCTTATCATCACCCATCATGGGTCCTCCAGGTTTTTTAAATTGCTTTATGTTAGTGTTATGCTTCCTAATGGTCGTAGGTATCGTTTATTTCACCGTTATCTTTAAATATCCTTGATTATTCACCATAAAAGAATGCCATGAATGAAATGCAAATTGCTACTGGTACAATGAGGGTAGTTTATTTTTAAGTTATTTTATTATTATGCTCATAACTTCGAACATGCTATAAAATTTTATTTTTCTTGTTCCTTGTCAAGGTGAGAATCTAGGTAGATGAAGCATGGGAATCTTACTCCGTCATTTAACGCTTTCAAGTTCCATCCAAGAGGAATTCAACACATCTTTTCTGTAAATTCTTTTATGAAAACACCAAATCATATCTCCATAAGAACACAACCAAAAATCACGGCCCAAGAGATGTCCCCTAACGCGGAAAAAACGACCAAACAAGATCTCCATTGAAGAAATGGCTGCAATCAAACAAGAAACAATTGACAAGAACATAATTGATTTATTTTTATTATCTTTAAAATTTACATCTGTTCGACCCGAAAAGAAGGCAGATCAGAAGAATGTGGAGCCAAACTAAACCTGCTAGCATCTGCTACTGGTGCAATGCCGGAAAAAGTGCGGTTGAGGAGAACTGCCAGCAAGGCAAATCCGCCCACGTAGATAGGAAGACTCCGGGCAACTTCGTCGTTGTTGGACACCCAATCAGCCACCAAGTTCCGCTTGGGCTTCGGGCCCCTGTAATCTCCCTTCCCACGATTTTCAACAAACAAGCCGGTCCTCTTAAAGCCACAATATCACAGACAGGACACATAATATTCGCACATACAACATGCCGAGATCTTCCTACCCTTGCTGTTGAGGCAGATGAAGACGTGGAAGCACACAATGGAGGAGCTCGAATGTCGCCGGAACGAAGCGAGTGGGAAGCAGGAGCACTCCGACAAGGCGGGAGATCGAACGTCTGACAGTGACCGGAGGAACGAAAGGAGACGGCAGGAAGGAGAAGCAGGATGCTTCTCGTGGCCTCCATCGGCGGTGGAGTTCGTTGCGAGAGCAGCGGGTTTCCCTCCCTCCATCAGCAGCCACCCACACCCCAAATCCAAAAATGTCTAGGGATGTGGACGCAATTTAAAACCTATAAGTGTTTATTTATATATTAAAAACATTAATCGGTACAGAAGTCTTGTCCTACGCACAAGTAGTACTTATTTTTCTCCTCTCTCTCTCTCTCGCTCTCGATATATATATATATATATATATATATATATAAACGATAGGTGCATTACCACGGTCGAGCCAAGATGGCCAGCTCTCGTGGAGAAAACGTACCTCGGCCTATTTAATTCATCTCCTCGAATTCCCCCCCCCCCTTTCTTTTCGGGCTCTTTTCTAGGCCCGGGCTGGGTTAAAAAAATCTCCCAATCTCATATCTAACATGTGCCTCACAGCCCACGCAGTAGAGAGAGAGAGAGAGAGAGAGAGAGGTTGGACTCGATCATCCCTTAGGCAGCCTAAAGTTCTTAGTGCCTTCTCAGCAACTTTCTTTACATTTTCCCTGCCGTTAGAGAGAGAGAGAGAGAGAGAGAGAGAGAGAGAGAGAGAGAGAACAGTTGGTCCTTCCATACCACAGCACGCGCCACTGAGTCCTCAGCATGATAAATAACAGAGGCTCCCCCCAAGCCAAAAAGAAAAGGAAAAGAGGAATGCATGAGGAACTATATCTCCATTAGAGAATTCTGCCCATAAAAAATAAAAAAAAAGAAAAAGAAGAAGAAGAAGAAGAAGAGAAATCCTGACCACAACAAAGTCAACTCTTGTTCTTGGGTTCTTTCAATCTCCTCAGAGGATTCTGTCCTGGAGATCTGTGATGAAGCTGGAGGCCAGCGAGGTCAACTTCTTCCCCGTCTCCCCCGCAATGTTCTTCAGCGACGAGATATCTTGCGAGGCCTGAGATTCGGGATATTTTTACTATAAAAGGTCTTTTCTTTTTCCCTTTTTTCCAAAGAAGAGAGCTAATTTCCTGTCTTTATATATATATATATATATATATATGTATGTATATATGTATGTATGTATATACATATGATATGATATGGAACCTGGGAGAGAGAGTACCTGGAAAGAGATCCTGTTGATGAGATCAGAGGCGGAGATGTCGAGCTGAGAACTGTCCCCGCCGTGCCCAAAAAGATCAGCGCTCGAGATGGACGACGAGTTCTGTTCATCGCGATGATCATCAGAAAACAACAAGTGGGTCTCTAATGCATCTGAACAAAGAATGATCTAATATTGTTCTATTGGCGCCCGGGATAATCTTAGGTCAGTTCCCCTGATTTTCAAAACTGGGTCGACCCCATCACCAAAATTCAAGAGATAGATAGATAGAGAGAGAGAGAGAGAGAGAGAGAGAGAGAGAGAGAGTTCATCTCACAAAATACATGGTGGAGACATACCGAAAACTTCTGGAGAGACGCCTGGGCCTCCACATCTTTAGACTTGCTCTGATCTCCAAAAAATTGCGCTGACGAGATCGACTTGGCATTCAAAAACTTCTGTCTTGCCTCATTAGTTTCCTGAATCTGGATTTATTTTTTAAAAAAATCATTAGAAGGCAGGCATGTATGTCCATGGAGATGATCCCCTACCCATGACATCCTAAGTAGGGTAAGCAGCTCTTCTGACACAAATAACCGCTGCATTTCCACTGATCTAGTCTGACAAGCAAAATCATGAATCTCTCTCTACTGTCTGCATAGATTACCTTAAATAATCAGATCATCCTACTTCGATTCACAACCAACATAATATGAGCGCTCTTATCAATATATATTTTACTCCAAATTTGTATGAGCGTGATGGTAGGCTTCCACACAGAGAAGGTAGATCCCAACCTAGAGGATGGCCTTTTATGAAACTTATGGTGGAAAGGAATGATACAGACTGATGAACATTGTATTTTTTGAACCCATATGAAGGTGGTGATCTTCCACAGATGGATCTTCTTTTTTTTTTTGAATTTTTTTGGAGACTTTATAGGACTATTTTTGGAAAATAATTATAAACACAGATGGATTTTTTTTTGGATCATTTCACATACTCTGATCCAAAGTCAACTTGTTGCTGCTATTACCCTGAACTTCAGCCGAAGCTGGTCTTGTGATCGTCATCTGGTCTGAGTCAAAAATGGCACAGAACTATGGAGAGAAGTATCTCTCCAAGATACGCACTAAATGCATGAAGATCTGGGTCAAACCTGGAGATAATGAACCTAGTTTAATCAAAAGAAGTGGAGATTTCAGAGGCCGACGACTTAAAGATTTGAAGCATTCCAGTCCAAAGGATTCTGTAGACACCGATCATGGCGGTTGAGGAAATTGATTGGAAGTCCAAATTATGTTACATTCAATACTCGTTCTCCAAACTTAAACCAGCCATATCAAAGCAAGTCAGATAATAATAAAGAGAAAACCTATATACAACGAAGGAATCTGCAATTCAATTTTCTTTCACACGCATAGAAATTACGAAGAGATTGAAAGTTTAAAAAAAAAAAATCCGAGACCCTAGATAAGAAGAATTTGCAAGGAAATGAAAGGAACCGTACGAAATGACACATATAATTGACAAATTCAAAGGTGGAAACTCGAGCAGTCATTAAGCATAATGAAAGATAATTATTATATCCGCAAAAAAGTTTTACAAAGTTTTATCATGTTGAAAATGACGTCTAAAATCCTTTCAACAGAAATGTGCATCCACAAATTCACATCCTTTGAAAATATCTATCACCCAGTGACTGTCAGTCTATAATTCACGCACATCCTCTGAAAAATAAAACCTCAGGCTATACAGATATTGATTTATGTTTTTACCTGCACCTTTGAAGAATTAGAGCTCGTTTTCTTCTGAAACCCACCATCCATTCCATAATCTTCAAAGAAACTCGAAGATCTAGGCGGAGAAACATGCCTGATTACGTTAGAACCAATAGTTTTAGAAGATGGTGCATCCTCGACATATTCAAATCGAGAGGGGAGGGATGAGCCAAAGGATGTCGTGGTGCTATCAGTGGAGCTAACAGCAGGTGCTGGTTCCTCGGGCTTCTGGTCATAAAGGCTTTCACTCGGCTGAAATTGAGATGCTAGACATGGTTAAGAAAGTCAAACAATAACTGAAAACACGTTGCAACCCAATATTTCGAAAGATAAACAGAAACAACATCACTAGAATGTATTTTTGACGGCTACAAGCTGGAATATGCAAAAGGGCTCGTCTACCTTTGCAGTGAGCTTTTTAGCACCTAGACCACCAGTCTTACTCCCAATCTTCCTTGCACCAATTGGTTTCTTCATGGAACTGATAACTGTCGTCTGAGGAGCCTTTGGCGAGCGAACAATCTCAGGTACGGCATGTTGTTCAACTTTATTTTCCTTTGAGACATCTTCAAGCTTGAGTTCGGGAAGACCATCAGTTTTTGGCAAGTTCTGAGAGGCAACTGGTGATGAGGGGGAACCAGAATCCTCCAAAGAACTTTTAGTAACTTCTTTAGATAGAAGTTGCCTGTATAGCTCAGCAGGTCTTGATGTATACTTCGCTTCAATTTTTCCACCATCTGTCCATCCATGTTGCTTAAAAAACACATTTGCACGATTGTTGCCCCCAAAAGCCATCATCTTCAACTGTTCTGGAGTCCATGAATCTAAATTAGTAGACCTGCGAGAAGAAACAACATCAGTTAAAGCGTCAAACCAGAAACATGAGGACATTTCGAATCACATAATGGCTACATCCACAGGGCATACATATAAATTCTACATAACTCGCAAAAATCAACGTTAGTTTCCAAAAAAGTCATCATTTTGAGAAAAGATTCAGCACAATATAATGCAATCCATTAAGTATTAGGTTAGTTTAGGGCAGCAGCCTGTCAATAAGATAATATAAATCTAAACATGAAAGCATCCACAATGCGAACATATACGAAAAAACACCCAACAGACCCATGTCCAGTGAACTGAAACTTAAAATTTAAATGAAATATAATATAGAAAAAAAGATTCCATCATTCTACCTCATAGTTACCTTTTCAACACGATATGTGAAAATGAAAGGAAAAATGCAAAGGATAGATGCAGCAAATAATAAGCTGGAGAGGATTTCCGGATCTCCGTCTACACCTCCACTGTACATTCACTTATAACATTCGATATTCAATGCTCTTTTCCATGATCTTGACTCACCAGGACCCATTTCTTATTTCACACCCTTTTAAAGGAACACGAATCTAGCAGATGGGGAAAAAAAAGATTGCTCAAGACCATTCTTGCAACGACAGGGAAAGGGGAAAGTATCGTTACTGTCAGCAGGTGAGAGGTAATGCAATAAATAATCAAGGGTAGATGGGTTATCCAATTACTCTTTTTTTTTTTCACGATAACGAATCTTTAGTGATCAAGATAGGAAGAAGAGAGCTGCCTAGGCTAATGTTGGAATTTGATAACCTCAGATAAAAATTGACCAGAAAAAAAAACACGCCAAGAACATAAAAAATGGGGATACTACCATAATTTAAGCATAATCCAATTCTATCAGAAGCAATTACTCCTCCAGAAGTAGAACTTATAATCTAAAATTTGCATATGTAGTATTTCAGTTCGAAATACCGAAACTTTAGGACCAATTCAGTAGCCAATACCTATGTCTCCTGATTGAAGTGTTTGAAATATCAGCCACTTTTCTATCTTCGTTCAACTGAAAATTATTTCCCCAGTCATGGAAAGGTAAAGAAGCACAAATATTTCAATGGTATGACCAAAGATGTCGTAGACATGTCAGAGCATGCATCAGCGCCAATGGACGGAAACCAGAAGCTCTAAACATGAACTGAATTTCAGATTTTTCAAAAGGAATATTTATTTCTATGCACTCCTGTTTATCAATTATCGGATTGTTTGTGTATTTACTTAATCACTCGAGAAGAAGGTACAGGATCATTACGAATTATTGTGATGACTTTTTCTTAGAAACTGTGTAAGATGCGCCATGCAATGCCAGATATCTCGTTTATGAGGCCTCTCATCTTCAATAGACATGGCCAATATCGGTCTTTAGACTCCCTCTCTTTTCTTCCTTGGCATACTCATTGGAGGTGCTCACTGCGTTCTTTCCTAAGCTTACCCACATAATGCTTTTCATTTTTTTAATTTCATCTCTTTTCTTCTTCAGCCTACTTTATGCAGGCCCACACCGTGATTATTTCTTATTTAGATTTCTCCACCTAGATCCTCATTAAAGAAGATAAGAAAACTCTTCTATCGTCAGTTCCCTTCAATGCATCCAAGTAAAGAAAAAAACCATGAGATTTCTGCAATTCAACGAGTCCTCCCAGATTCTCCAGTGAAAAATTTTGCAATCTTGATCTGGCAATCTAGAACAAATAAAAAAAATCTTTTACAGGTTTATCACTAATTTTTATGCTGCCAACCAATTAACACTAGCCTTCATGCGAATCAAGCAAACTCATGATTTCAACAGTAAATATCATGGGCACCATGAGAAAATTGCATGTGTACGAATTCTCAACAAAATTCAAACCGATAAGAACCGATTTCATGGCAGAAATGAGCCATAATTTCACGGGCTGAACGAGATGGAAAAGATAGACCTTACTACAAGAATTCAGAAAACTTTATGACTGGAATCTAGAAAAATATATGAAACCAGACTACTCAGCACGGATCTAGATGCCTGAGAATAACAAAGTACGCGCCAGAGGATACATAAAACTGATGCCCGTCATCTAACAGAAAAATGTCTTCCTTACCTCACAAAGCTGACATGAACACCAAGATTCCTGTGTGTCGCAGAACAGTCGATGCAAAGGAAGATCCCGTACGTCACCGACGCCCAAGTTGGATTTTTCGCGTTGCAATCAAAGCACATCTGCCAAACCAAACACCCGCAAACCACACCTCGTCAAGAAAACAAACAAGACATAGCCAATTACGGAGCCGGCCGGACGATCCGAACCAGGGGAGCCACCTCCCCTTCCCTCCAGATCTTCAGCCCTCCAACAAGATACCAGATCCCGATGCCGACAGTACCTTGTTCTCCGATCTGGCCCGGAGCTTCTTGAAGACGGTGTCCCTGTCGGTGAAGCTCTCGGAACCCATGATAGGCGGCAAAACAGTAGTACGCGCTAGCCTGAGACGAAATCAGGATCCTCGCCCCACCCCCCCTTCGCTCTCCTTCCCTCCTCTGCCGGAATCCTTCGTGGGAGGAACTTTGCACGTCGAGTGAAAGGGGCAGAGGCCACTAACGGCGATGTTCAAATTAATCACCCCTTTTATCGGAACCATAGGCCCATTAAGTCCTCTGTGGCCCACCCACCGACACGTCGACAACTGTGGGCCACGCATTAAGAGTGGGCTGACTTCTCAGCGTTGGGCCTCTAACGTGGCCCAACGTAGGGCGGACAGCCTTGACCGGGCCTTTTAACATCCCTTGTCAACGTGATACGGACCGTGGGGAGTAAAGTCAACGGGCCGGCGGGCCGGGAGGCCGGGCCTTTGTCAACCCCACCCCTGAGGGCGTAGACAAGGGGAGAGAGAGAGAGAGAGAGAGACACTAAGCAACTGTCGGAAGGAAGTCAGGATAAGGAACCGGCCCGGGCCGGGCTTATTATTATTTGGTATTTGATATTATTATTTGGTATTTGATATTATTATTTATAAGAACATAACTATACGACATTTAAGTATAATCTTATAATATGCCGTAAATACGACCGTTCTCTTATTGCCCCCGCAGTCCTCAGTATTGACCAGCCGCGCTCGCTCTCTCTCTCTCTCTCTCTCTCTCTCTCTCTCTCTCTCTCTCGTTTGTCTGTGTGCCGCAATTTTCTCTCTCTAGTTGTCCCCGGGGTCCAGTTCCAGGCCATCCATAACTTCAGAGAAGTCAAAGCCGGCAACAGGACGCCCCACTCCGCCCCCTTTCTCCTTCCCAATCTCGGCTCCGCTCGCTCGCTTCTACCTGGCAGGAGAGAGAGAGAGAGAGAGAGAGAGAGAGGGCCGGAGATCCATCAGCAGCTTCCCGAGTTCTAGGGTTAGGGTTTTCGAGAGGGGCTGCGGGACTGAGATGCTCAGCCGCAAGGGCCAGCCGATCCAGCGGCGCAAAGAGAGGATTCTCTTCTAGGAGGAGGAAGAGGAAGCTGAGCGAAGGGAAAGATGGATAACAGCAGGAATCGGCATAACGACCACCTGGGGATCAACAGGATCAGCAGGAGCATCCGCAAAAGCCCGCCCATCTACCAGCAGGCATTCGCCAATCCGCGGCAGCAGCAGCAGCAGCAACAGCAGCAACAGCAGCAGCAGCAGCAGCAGCACGGCGGTGCCGAGGGGAGCCAGCAGCCGCCGCAGCCGCAGGTCTACAACATCAGCAAGAACGATTTCCGCAGCGTCGTGCAGCAGCTGACGGGAACGCCCACGCGGGATCCGTTCCCTTCCGCCGCGCCACCGCCCGTCCCCGCGCGGCCCGCGGCGGCGCACAACCCGCCGAAGCTGCCGAGCATGCGCCTGCAGAAGATCCGCCCGCCACCGCTCAGCCCCATCGCCCGCCCACCGATCCCCCACCCCGCGCACAATCCCGGCTTCTACCCCCGCCCCGTGCCGGTGCCCATGCCAGCGGCGCCGCCGGCCCCGCAGATCCAGTCGCCGGGGGGAGCCTTTTGGAGGGCGACCCTCGAGTCCCCCACGACGGCCTACATGAGGTACCTGGAGAACTCCATCATCAACGGCGATGGCTCGCAGCAGACGCCGCGCCAGATGCAGATGCAGATGCCCCTCCGTGCGCCGCAGCGGCAACAGGAGCAGCCGCAGGTGAGCGGATTGCTGCCGAATCCCTTCGCCGCAGCGCCGCCATTCCCGTCGCCCCCTTCCGTCCCGGCCTCCGGGCTGCTGCCGTCTCCTGCCTCGCAGCTCTTCATGGCCTCGCCGACGGCCTTCATGAACCTGTCGCCCTTCCCCATGCTCTCGCCCAAGTTTCAGTACCCGCCGCTGTCGCCCAGTTTCCAGTTCTCGCCGCTGCCGGGGCAGTCGGGGATCCTCGGCCCGGTGCCGCCGCACCCGCCTGGCTCACCGCTGCTGTTCCCCCCCTCGCCATCTGGGTTTCTCCTCAGCCCGAGGTGGAGGGACCTATAGAATTCTCCCCCTGGCACGGTGACATAACCACTGGATCCGCCGCCGAGATCCTCAGATCGCCACCGGACCACTGGGACGTTGACGTTGATGGCGGCGGAACTGGACGATCGGAGACGGCGACAAAACAGGTAGGTGGGTCGAAAGATCCTCTTCCCATTGATACACCTGTGTAGTTGCATCTGTTGACACTGAAACCAAACCAAAAAAAGAAAAAAACAAAGTCTGTAAGCTGGTGCTAGATTCTATTTTAAGATGTATGGATGATCTTGTGAGTCCGTTGATGTACCTACTGATTGATTCTCTTTTTAAGTTTGGTAGCTGCTGTAGACGATGACTTGGGTCGCCTTCATCTGGAGGCAGTTCTTGTGAAAAAAACAAGTGTCCTTCTTAAACTTTCCTCCTCAGTTTTGCGCTTGTGAGCTGGCCTTTATGCCAGATCTCAAGAGTCCAGGTGTTAGCCCATCGTTAACCGGCACAAAAATGGTTAACCGTACGGACGCTTTGACGGGTCTATCAGAACTCTAATGCCATCTGATGCCCTCACATTGAATTAGAGCAAGATGGGATTTTCCCCTGCTAAAAGGGTTTCAACTACCCAGATGTAGAAACCCTAAAAATCATACCTTGAAACTCTTCCAGGGTCATTCAAATCTCTAACCAGCATCAGTCCCAAGTTCCTCCTTCCTGCAAGTCTTTCACATTAGAGATATGGGATCGACATGGAGTTCAGGGATACCTCGATGAGACTATCGTGAGAAACTAATCCCCTTCAACACTTTTGCATGGATCAACTTTCTCTGCTTGAAATGCGCCACAAATGCTTCACCATCCATTCTTCGTTTGTGATTTGATGACAGTTGCTCCCTGAAATCCATGTTGGGAAAAGGGAATTCAGAACACATGATCACGTGGAGCATATCATCTAAAGGAGGAATAATAATAGGAAGCCCATGTGATAGATTCTGAACTTTTATTTTCCAATCTCAAGTCTTTTTCCTTGCTAGATTCGGGAGTAATTGTGGTTGTTTCCTCTTTTAATGGCTGCACTATCACTTTTTCTTCCATCCTTCTGAAAAGAGTAAGCACTGGCATCAGTATCTCAAACCATGTGGATTACTGTAAGACCATGGGCTGCGTTATGGCCCACTGTTGTAGATCATATCAAGCCAACTCTTCCATCCTTTGACACCCACTGTAAATCATATGTTAAACATCGTTAAGGAAGTTAGTGTTCACCAGCCCTTTTCAAACCATGCAACCCTGTGCGTGCTGAGATGTCTAGCTGTTTCTCATCTTCGATTTATCTACGACTTCCTTTGAAATAGTTTTTTCGCTGCTGCCCCTATCTACGACTCTGTTTCGGAGGATAGTGTACTGCGCCAACTCCAGTCCTCTTCCTTCTGAGTTTCTTCTGATTCTGGTATCCATCAAACCACCATTGACTCTCTCTGTGTTGGATAACTATCAACGTATTTTTGTTCGCCTCTGCAAATGGTCATATATTGCTTCTGAGAGAACTCAGGACCTTCAACTTCGCAGTATCCAGAGTCAACTCTTCGTTGGGGGCAAGGACGTGTCCTCTGTCTTCAGAAGTGAAATATCTAGCTTGAAATCCACTTTAAATCCGGACTAACATGACTAACACTTTTATCTTTGGAGCTATTTCTAGCACCCCAATTGGATTTTCCACAGTTCTATAATTATTGTCGGTTCTAAGTCCGGTTAGTTCAGCTTTAGCACTCTTTTGATGGTAGTCATACTTTGCATCCATAAACCTAAGGAGTTCCAGCCAAGTGGTTTTTCTGCTCCATGATGCTAAATCCTCTTATATGCCCTCAAGGCACATTGTTGAACGTCTTCTAGGTTGCAGAAACATCAGTATTCTCATCTGACTCCTAAGAATGGATTGAAAAATGCTAGAAATATGGAGCTTATAAAATTCGTTTATACAATCTGTTGCAGGTGCCTGCTCCACGTTGTGAAATCTCCTATAAATAGGTTCATCACACAATTTTTCAGCAAAAATTATTTTGACAGAATTGTCTTTTTGTACTCAAATGCATAATCTTGGGCCTAACTTTCTTCTACTTTCTTCCATCATTTAAGTGCAACACCTTTCAAATTTAAGCTCTGCAGATAACACACGCTCTTTCGTCACATAAGCTATGATTCAAAATATTTTTTTCAAAACATGCTTCTATTCTAATGGTATTTTGCATGTATCTTCTCAAAAGAACCAAAAACCTCAATCCTAACTTCTATTCAAAATAATTTTTTCAAAACTTGCTTCTATTCTAATAGTATTTTGTATGTATCTTCTCAAAAGAATCAAAAACCTCAATCCTAACTTCTCAGACGTTCATGTGAAGCGCTTAAATCTATCTCCATCCGAATCTACCTCAGTTTATGGGATCGCTCCTCGCCCTCCCAGGCTTTGGAAGGGATCTTCTTCCCAGCTTTCAAAACCCTCCTTCAGATTGCGTTATGGTATGTCCAAGGACCTGTAGTCATCCATCTCTTAAATTCTATATGTCGAATTTTTCTGGCTCTCATTGTCATCAGGTGTTTGCAGCCCTCAAGATAGATCTTCAGCTGTACACTTCATCTTGGCCTGTCTGTTTACTGAGTTGTGCCCCTCTTCCACCTCGACCTTGTAAAAGTCCTTGCGCAACCATCACAATAATGTAGAACTTTCGCAAGTATGCTGAGGGGGAAAAAGGCTTGAGGGAAAATTATGGAAACAGCAACGACTAGAGAGGATGAGCATATGAAAAATGCAATAATGTTGAATAAGAAATGGGATAAGCAGTCTCGTAGGATTTGGAACTCGGAGGTAAATTCAAAATCAGAATACACGACGTGATGTGCACGGGGAAAAGAACACTTGAGGAAGAATCATTGAACTAGCAGCCATGAGGGAGAATAAGCAGTAGATAATGTATTATATTAAAGAAGAAATGGGACTGAGAGTCTCCTGGCTGTTTGAAACTCAGAAGAAAATTTATTCGCAACATGCTTGCTGGAGTTGGGAAATGTGCCTTCAGCAGCCTCCAGAATTAGACCGATTTAGTAGGTTTATCGCGTGATGGAATGCGGGGTTAATCGTGTGATTGCTCAAAGTTGATCTCTCTCCAAATCAACATGTTCCTTCATGACTTTTGTCTATCTGTCAGCCTGACCAGATGCTGATTATTCGTTAATCTGTCTGATCCTCCACTTCAGTAAGCGCTGGGTCTGGATTTTTATTTTTATTTTTTTTGTTGCAAAACTTGTTTCGTGACCCTTGAAGAAGGCTTGCTTATTTCTGGCAACCACAGTGTTGATGGATTGGCCCCAAAAGGTGAAAACTTGCCCTCATGGGTACCGTCACTAATCAAACATTTATTGTTACTGAAGCTGAGGCTTTGCTCATCAAAGCCCAGCCCTGTTGCAGCCCATCGGCATCCCTAATTTCCTTTTCCTGGGACCTCCTTTGTTGGTGTAATATGTAATATCCATGTGAAGGTGTACATTAGTGACTTCTAGTTACATATAGGACTTGGCTTAGTTTTGGCACGGACCAAGCTCTAGACAGGGCAAATCTGTACTTTTTATGTGTAGGAGGGTGTGCCTGGAATTGATTGTTGAGAGGATACTGGTCCAAATAGTTTTCTAAGAGATACCTCCAATAGACCATTACATTTTCATGAAATGATAGCTATTATCATCTGAAAGGACACTGAAAGCAGCAACTGTCATGAAAGAATCCGTTTGTCTTATGAGTCATGAATCGTGAATTAATTTAAGATGCTATCAAGTGATTTAGAGTACCTGACTCCACCTCATAATTTGATGGAATAGAAAACTAGTCACCTACTAAAATCAGTTTGCACTTATGCTGGCCCAGGTCTGAAGCTCGCACTTGTTTCATTTTGGGCTTTTGCCCAAAACTGACCCTTGATTCAAACCCTTGATTCATCTTCATCCTCGTCCCTCTAAAATATTATTCCATCAATTTCCGCCCACCTTCCTGCCTACACATCATCTAGTGTACCATTAAAGTTGAAGTCTGCTCATTCTTCATACTTATCAGATGCAGGACTAGTCCAGTAGAACCCCCTCCCACCGATAAGCCCAGGACCACTGGCTCTAGACATGAATGTGGTGGGGCTGGGCCGCAGAGTCACGGGTAGAAACTAGATGCACAGCTGAAGAGAATTGGCTGGCTCTTGCGATCAAGTCGATTCTGAAATCCCGCTATTAGCAGAAACGATAAATATGTGCATGCTGGTTTTTTGGGTTCTAACACAGACTTCAAGCATCTATTCCACATCGATGTGAACTAATAAGAGAATAGCAAACTAGAGTGTCACCAAGTTCTTCCTTTGCAGATGAGGAGGAAATTTGACTGTGAAGACTTGAACAAAATTGAAGTGTGAAAATTTGAAGTCATGGCATCATGGAACAGTCTAAATAAATTCTAGTGACGGGGAGTCGTTAGAACTGTAGCTTCTAGATGCCATTTGCAAGTATCTTTGACCGAAACTTTCTAGAAATGACTCGCTTTTGAAGAGCTTAGGCTTGTTATGTCATGCCTTTGGGAAAGCATCGGAGATCTCCCCACCTCATATCCGTAAATCGTGAGAAGAAAGCTTCTCCATTACTTCCGGCTGGTGGTATAAGGTGTAGAAAAAAGAACTCAGACCAGAAGAGAGAATAAGATCACCTCTGAAGAGGTGGGGAAACTTCCAACAATATCACGACAGTCTGACTACCCAAGAGGCCCTCAGATCCAGCCTTAGGCTGTAATACGGCCACCAATTATGCTGCCATTCAGGTAAGTTCCGGAGCTTCCGGACGACTCTTCCTCTCCCCAAGAGACCCACAAGAGAAGCGGGTGTTCTCCCATGCTTCTTGCTCCACACAAGAAGCTGCTATTACAGTTCACATGCATCATTGCTCCACACAAGAGTACGTTCGGAAGATGCTCTGCGCAGTGGACATTTTCAGAACAGAGCCACTCCTGGCCTTTCTGATTCCTTTTAATGGGTTTGGGAGGGGGGCTGGTGTGGGAGGCGCCGCGCGGGATTGCTGGTGAGAGGTGAAAGAATAGAGTTGCTGATAGCTCTAGGGATAGATCGGCTCCAATCCAGATCACCGATTCTGTGGAATTATTGATTCTGTCTTCCAACACAGCACGTCTGTGCACGAGACATGGTGAGACTAATCTACCGACTGAGCGACTCGATTATTGAACTAATCAGACTGTACGAATAATCTATTGAACAGCTCAATCATTCAGATTCCCAAAATAGGAATAAACTACTAAATTTCCATCAACTGGACAAGGGAAAAGGATCAGAAGGATGGAGTAAACAATCAGAGGGTGGCACTCAACCTCTATTTTATATATTCCCCTACCGAAGCAACGAGATGGAACGGCGGTCACCTCCCTCCACAATGCCGATTCTAAGATGACAACAGTCCACAGAAAGGAATCCTACAGAGTCTACGGGAAAGTAGAGAAACAGCCCCAGATACCTCGAGAACTCCCCTACCATGGTCGACGGCCGTCAGCAGATCGTCAATCTGCGGTTGCTTTCCGTCGATGGCGAGCCCGCCGGCGCCGACGGAGGTGGCGCCGCTCAGTGCCACCGCCGTTGATCTGTTTCGAAATCTTCTCTCACTACGCTTTTGGCGGGACACTCCACGTCCCCACTGTAGAATGTTCCTGAGCCACCAGGGGTTGGCGTTCTTTCTTCACTTTCTCGAGGACTTTTCCAAAAAAATCCGCTGATAGTGTTTCAATAAAACTACTTTTATACCCGGCTAAGCCCCAGTCGAGTCCGATCCGGCCCAAACTGGACTCGGGCGGTTCCAGGCCAGCCGAGCCATGCTCGCTCTCCCTCTCTCTCTCTCTCTCTCTCTCTCTCTCTCTCCTCTCGCAGAGTAATCTCCTGTCAAGTGTCAGTCTCTCTAGCTCGAAAGCTGTGTTTAGTAGGCTTCGGGGTTCCAGATCCTGTTGAAGGCCGGAGAGAAAGGGAGACGATCTGCTACAGGAGGAGGATCGTAAACAGTAGTAGGGTCGGGCCGCAGCCTTGTGTCCGAGCTTGATTCTGGACTCTGTTCAGTGAGATCACACAGCGCTTCAATTATCCCTGCAATAAAGATTTGACGCGAATTTACTCTGATCTGATCATACAGGAGGAATGATCCCGCTGTTCAGATCCGAGAGATGGCCGACGACTTCATCGCCGAATCTGCTCCCGATCGAACGGAAATCCGGCCGGTTCCTTCCCCGCTGAGATCCATGCCAATCGATGAAACAGTCGCAGCCTGCTTGCTCCACGCGATCTGCAGATCTATGGTGACCTCATTTCAACTGCTAGCGGTATCCCTCGATCTGCCCCAGACGAGTGTGGTGCGGAGATTTCTTCGTCTCGTCCGTTGTCCGGAGCGTCTTCTTCCTCCGCCTCGGCCAGCAGAAGCTTGCATCAGCGATCAGGAACGCCGTCATCTTACCAGCACCCATCCTTTCAAATCTGAAACCCTACCGGAATCGCAACCATATCCAGAATTAACTCGTTTGGCCGTGAACCGATTTTGGCGTCGCCTTCCCATGTGCGGATGAGATCGACCTCGTTGCTTGGGAACAGAATCAGTCGGAGAATCGAGGAAGGAGCGCCACCGCCGGGAACTGGGGGCGGGAGTTCTAATCGTCTGCTTGCCCAGCGGCGAAAAGGGCGGGAAATCAGAGAAATGGCGGTAAGTTGACTCCCCGGTGTCTGTTATTTTAAAATTTGCTTGTTTATTCGAATCATTCGATGGCGCTTTTGCGCATATGTCCTTACTGACCTCTATCTGCAATTTTCTAGTCTCAGTTGGAATGGATGTAAATTATACTAATAGATGGGTCATCGCGAAAATCCCAAAATTAGCACTGGATCACTCCGCCGCTCCACTCGCCAGTTGTTCAAGAGAAGGTAGCGGCAGGCGCCGCCATGGCGGTGGCGGTGGCTCCTTCACCCCGGAAGGATAAATACGAACCACGTGGGAGGGGACCGCCAGATTCCTGGGGCTCAAGAGTCCCATCCCTCGTTTGGGGCCCACCCCACACCGGGTCCCCGCCGGAGAACTGAAATTCTATACCCTGAGCTCTGTCGGGCGGTGGGCCGAGGCGGCGACCGGAGACCAGCAGCGGGTGAAAGGAGGGCGACACGCTACCCGCCAACCCGGGCCTGAGCCGCGGAGAGGACTCTGCCTGATTGATAGGAACCAAGAATGAGCAAAACACAGCGTCGTTATTTGCAGAGTTCGCTGGGAGAGGACAAAAGAACGTGACAGATGGGGGAGCAGCAGCCCATGACGGTTTGAAGAGGCCATCACCGAAGGCATTTCATAACTAGAGTAAGAAATGTGGGCGCCCCTCCCCCGTCTCCTCACATGATCCAAGCTCATATATTAAACCACTACTCTCATGGATGGATTGATGGCAGAGCGGAGGAGCTCACACGGAGAGACTCTCTCACATGGGTGAGGGCAGGCAGTCGAAGCCAGAAGCAACTCAGAAGAAAGGATCAACAATAAATACCACCGTTCCGTTAAAGATGAAATCTCTCAGAAAAAAAAAGGGTCCTGATTGATGGTACCACGTGAGCCAACGATTAAAAGCTCTGTGTTTCTTGTTTTGCCTGGCTGAGACCTCTCGTTCTTCCACTGTTTCAGGCATTTTCCTCAAGAACAGTGAGACTCAATCAACGTGATTGCCTCAAAATACAGCAAACAGAGACAGCGAACCTCAAGGGAAAACAGAGCATAAACTCATCCTTGTATATTTCTGCAGATCTCAGCTGTCACTCGAGAATATACCCCAGCAATCAAGAAAACATGAAGACAGATCACAAGCTCGGAGCGCTACCGCGCTCAAAGAAGCATCACATATGCAGCCCCGGACAGGGGTGGGAAAAACCCGACAAAAGAAAAAATTACCTTCTTTTGGGAAAATACCGCTATTTTGGGTTGCTCTTCTTCTTCAGCAGGTTCCCGAACTTGCGCAGCAACGGCTTCTTCTTCTTCGGGTCCTGCTGTTGCTTGGTGGGCGACGATCCAACGCCATTTTCCGCATCAACAGAGGACCCCCCGTTCACATGGTCAACCCTCGGCTGAGCACCATCATCTAACACCTCCGACTCGGGCTCCTCCTGAGGGGATGAATCCTTGTCCACGTGGCAGTTGTCCCACGTGTTAGCTTCTTCATCAACGAGCTCATTGCCTCTAGGCGGCGGCGGCGGCGACGGCGACGGCTTGTGGCTTCCGTTCGCCTCCCTCTGTTGCCCCGGCGATTCTTCCAATTCGGCCTTCTCCGCCGCACGTCCAGCGGCGCCGTCTTCCGGGATCTCCGCCGCCTTCGGCAAAATATCGTACTCCTCGTTATCTCTACCGGCCTTCTTGCTCGTGGCCTCGGCCAGCAGCGCTGACAGCCCCTGGATTTTGCCGAGGGCCACCGCTTCCCGGGCCCGTAGGTCGTCGTTCTCCTGGCTGATGCTCTGCAACTCGTTTTCCTTGTCCAGCAGCCGATCCTTCAATTGCAGGTTCTCGGCTTTGGCCGCCTCGACGGACTCGTTGGCCGACCCAGCATCCGCCTCCGCCTTCCTCAGCCGATTCAGCAGCTCGTCTCCTTCTTCCTTCGCAGCCTTCGCCGAGGCCTCCGCTCCTTGCAGTTTCACGATCAGCTCACTCATTTCTTCTTTCAGGACGCGGAACTCCTCCTCCGATCTTCCGGCCGGTGGATCGAGCTCCTTCTCCTCCAATGCCGATCTCAGCCCTTCGACCTCCTGCTCGGACTTCTCCAGGGCGCTCCTCAGGGTACTGATCTCCTCTTTGGCCTCATTCAGCAGGATCTCATAGCTCTCGTCCTTGGTTTTCAGGGCCATCTTCAACCTCTCGACCTCCGCGTGGGCTTCTTCAACCTCCGCCTGCTTTATCAGTATCCTCTCCTGCGACTCCCTGGCCTCGGTGGAGACCTCGTGCAGGGCCGAAGCCAGCCCCTCCATGGCTCTCTTGTTCTTCTCACCTTCGTCTCGGGACGCCTCCAGCTCCTCCACAATCGCGCTCCTGTCCTCCGCCAGGCTTTCCATGGCCGCCGCCGCCCGCTTCGCCTCCTCCGCGGCCTCCCTCTTCTCTTCCTCCGAGCTTCGGATCTCCGACCTCAACAACTCGATTGAGCGCTCCATTTCCTGAACCTCCTGCTGGCTCATCTCGAGACGATGGCGGGACTCATCCAGCTCCTCCTTCTTCCTCGCGATCTCCGACTCCAATGCCTCCACCTTTCCTTTCAGAGAACTAATCTCCGACTCGGCGTCCTGCAGGGAAACGTTGGATTCTTCCAGTTTCTTCATGGCCGAGCCCACAGACTCCATGGCGGCTCTCTCGGACTGGATAGCTTCCTCGACCCGCGCCTCCAGCAGCTCGGCTTTCCTCTTCCACTCGTCCATCATGGTGCCCGCATCGGACTCGGCCCTCTTGGCATCGGCCACCTCTATCTTCAGAGCTTCCACCTGCGCCGCCATCTCCGCCGCCTGCTCCCCGGCCGACCGAGCTCCGGCGAGCTCAGATTTCAGTGACTCCACCTCTGAATTCAACCTCCGGACCAGCTCTGCGGTTTCGCCGGCCTTCTCCTCGGCCTTGGATTCAAGCAGGCCCTTGAGATGCCCCACCTCCGAGGACAAGATCCCCACCTTCTCCGCGTTGATCTCTGCAATCTTCATGGCGTCGTCGGCGTGGCTGAGGGCGGCGTTCTTCGCCTCGGTGGTCATGGCCAGCTCCTGCTTCACCCTCTGAAGTTCCTGCGTGATGGTGAGCAGGGCGGAGACGTCGATAGCGTGCTGGTTGTGGGCGCCCTCCAGCTCCCTCTGCCACTCGTCCTCCCTCTTCTGGGCCGCTTCAATAGCCGCCTGCTCCAGCTCGTCGGCCCTGAACTTCTCAATCTCAGAGCTCTCCTGAGCTCGCTTCTGAGCGACGATGGCCTCCTCCAGCTTCCCGCTCGCCTCGGCAGCCGACCGCTTCGCCTCCTTCAACTCTTCCATTGTTCTGGCCTTCTCACTCTGCGCCTCCACCAGCAGCTCCTTCACCTTCTTCAGCTCTTCCTCAGCCTCCGCCGACGCCGCCGCCGCCACCGCTCCGCCGCCGCCCTTCGCCGCCCGAGCCTGCTTCTGCATCAAGATCAGACATACACCAGATTCCCTATCAGCTCTCCGAGAAGATGGATTCCAGGAAGATGGGAGGTTCCGAGCTTCTCCTACATCGGGGGGCGTGCTGCCTTTCGGCGATCTCCGCTCCAGCGACTTCGGCGAGCGGTCGATGGAAGGGCGCAGCGGCGACTCGGGCTCCGACTTGGACGGCGTTCTGGCCAGCTTGCTGACTCTGGGGGTCGCCGGCGGCGCCGCCTTGTTCGAGGCCTCCGACAGCCCGGATCTGCTCAAGCTCCCCGGCGAGGTCTTGCTGTTCGGGGTCTCCGGCAAGCCGGACCTGCAACCGGAACCAGTTCATCGAACATTCATCGGGAAGCATCAACCAGAGGAGCGATCGGAAGAATCAGGCTGCTCCGGTGATTGCCGGAAGAACCCTAATCCCCCGGAGAAGAAGAGATCGCCGGAGGCTTGATCAATGGGAGGAAGAGGCAATTGCAGAAGGGAAAGACGAACAGCAATGGAAGCAAAAACCTAAATGCGGATCAGGAGGGAGAACCGCGTGAATGCCGGAGGAGATGAGCGGGTTGGAGCGGATCTGAGGAGGAGGTACTCACTTGGATCTGGTGGGGAGCATCTTCCGCCGGCGACTCTGTTAGGGCTTCAATGGAGGCGCCCCGGCGGCGGGCCGAGAGCAGACCGGAGGACTGGGAAGACCCAAAGCGTGATCTTGGAGATCCTCGAAGGGAAAGGAAGCAGCGCCGCCGGGGGGGACCTTCCGAGGAAGAACCAGAGAAGAACCTAGCGGAGGGAGACCAGTCCAAGGGGATGATAATATCTACTGGATCCTCAGCCGGCGGCCTCCAACCTCCTCCTTTCTCTCTCTCTCTCTGCCTCTCTACGTCAGTAGTACCCACCACGAGGGACAGCCGGGGGAGTAAGGGAGTGGCACCGCCCGCTCTCTCTCTCTCTCTCTCTCTCTCTCTCTCTTCGCTGTGTCTTTCTCGGTTGCTCGCTCGCACGTCTTTTTCTTTCAAAAAATGGAACAGGGAGGAAGGGAGAGAGAGAGAGAGAGAATGGTTGAAGGAGAGAGAAGGAAGAAAGTTACAGAGGGACACGGCGCTTTAGGCAGAAAAGTCGGAGAAGTGAACGGCGACTGACCGGCCCGCCATGACCGCCCCCCGTAGGAGGCCTTCCTCCCAAAGACAGGTCCGCTGCCAGCTGAAGATCGTCCGGCTGGGATTCAATCTCCTCTTCCTGGTCCGTTGACCGGTCTCAACTCTCCTCGGCCGGCTCAAATTAGAGGGCCTGTGATCTGTCATCTGGCCCAGAACGGCAGAACAGGACGCCAGCTTGATCTCAACGGAGAATCCTTTAAGCGCTCCACTCAAGGTCAAACTGATTATTAATAAGCGGGATAGCCCGACGTAGACTGTGTCTGACCGACAAAGGTCAACGTCGAGTCCTTCCGACCTCCCATCTCAGCTGATCTCCGCTGGTCAACCCAAAGCCAGACAGAATTTTCTGCTTAATTGAAGGTCGCATCTCTCCCCATCAAAATCTGTCCTTCCCATCGGATGCCACTCCCCTCTGGTTAAATTATTTTAATAAAACTCAGTTATTTTACATATTTAAAAAATACACCCGACGTCCATTTTATGATCAACGTTCCCCCCTTTTTTTCTTTCTTTTTTTTCCAAATGTGGTTATAATTTCTGGACCGGTGGTGATCGGTGGGCTTCCCCTCGTCTATAGCCCAATTAGAGAGAGCCCAGTGACATGCGCTCTGAGAGAAGCCCAACAAATGTGTTTTGGGCCTGGGCCTGTCGATATGTACCCATTAGGGAGAGAGAGAGAGAGAGTATGTATAAATATATTCGGAAAGTTTGCCTATAAAATATGGTTAAATAAAGATATATAATTAATATGTATTCTGATATTTAATGATTCGAATAATCCGACGGCCACGTGGATAGCAAGAATCATGCTATATACCTGCAGAATTATAGCACAGGTCGGCAAATGCCGGATGATATAGTATTTTTTATTTTTTATCTCCCCACTAGTGCCATCCGTACAGTCGGACCGACGCATTCTGGAAGATTCTGAAATAAAGTACAGAAAAGCCCCTAAGTTTGTCTTGCATCGCACGATCATACACGTCTCGAGGATTTTTGATAATATGGCAGTGAGTGAGGGTACACTTGTAATTTCCCGCCTTCTCACAGTCTCGTAGAACACGTTCACAGACTGGCTGATTGGGACTGGGTTTGACTGTACTCCGTGAGGGACAACATTAATACAAAAAATGTATATATGCAATCATATTAATAAAACATTTTTTTGCAAATGTAGCCCTAGAAAAGGAACGGACGGCGGCACATCGTGCTGACGTGACGTGTCCAAATCTGCCCACGTGGTCGCCATAACTAGGGAATCAAGAAGAGACTTTTCTCCGAAACTCCGTGCGAAGCGCTGGCACGGGGCCCGTGCATCTCCCGCTAAACCGATCCTGGCCGTCGAAACAGATCTAATGGACGATCTCCGCTTCCAGCCCCCCTCCGAATCCCAACATCAGTTTGCTCAGCTTCTCCCCCTGGATCCTCTGACGCACGATCTTGAAGTCCTCACTAAGAATAGCAAAACAAAAACGGCCACATAAGTCACCATATTCACCATTCTACCCTCATTTCTTCTCCTGCCGGTTTGATCGGAGGTTTTATTCTTTTACCTGCTGGAGGGCGGCGGGCAGGGGACGGCCATCATCTTGGCGAGCTCAGCGGCGTCCTCGGGGCGGCACACGACGCGGTTGAAGCAGAGGTAGCGGCCGTAGGCGGTGGGGTCCTCGAAGGCGCAGATATGGGCGTCGGCGAGAAAGTCGTCCTCAACGGTGACCAGTAGCCCGTCTTCGTACATCTCGGCGGCGCCTCTCAGGTAAGGGCTGGTGGCTACAGAGAGCCCCGGCCCGGCCAGCAGGCCCCCGTTAATGGCGACCATGCCGACCCCCCTGTCCATTGCCAGCGCCCAGGCTGCCTTCTCCGCTAGCGTCTTCGCCAGCGCGTGCCACAGCTGTTGCAGTACAAGCAAGGCCATCAACCATTGAAGAAGGATGGATGGAGGAGGTGGAATTAATGGAGATCAGCCGGCCATTCAATTCCGCTGCCCACAACCGGCGATCTTGCAGAAGATAGGAGGAGGAAGAGGAGGAAGGGGGAGGGGATTAATGGGGGTACCCGGAATTTGCGGCAGAAGTGGGGATCGCTCCAGTCGCGCTCGTCAAGGCCGGGGACGAGGCGGCGGCTTTCGCGCCAGACGACGGCGGTAACCGACGAGGTGTACACAACGCGCTCCACCATCTCCGTCTGCGCGCAGGCCTCGAGCACGTTCTGGGCCGCCATCACCTCCACCTCCGCCATGTACTCCTGCAACAAGAGAGGGAACCATGAAGCAACCTCCCGTATCTCCGCTCTTCCGCCACTGATTTCATCTCGTTTGAGAAGCTTACGTCGTAGCTGGGTTGTTCCGGGGGGGGCTCGAAGGAGTAGAATAGGCCGGAGCATCCCCTGACGGCGTCCAGGAGGCTCTGGTAGTCGAACGGGTCCGCCCTGAAGACCTTCAGCCGCTCGCTCTCACCGCCGCCGGCGAGCTTCGCCACTCCCCACCGATCGCCTGCCCACACCACCAGAACCATTATCAGCTTGATCACTCAACTCCACCGTCTGCAAATAGAGAGAGAAAGAGAAGAGAAGAGAGAGAGAGAGCGAGGGGACCTTGGGTGGCGGCATGTACGGTGTAACCTCGCCGGAGGAGCTTCTTCACCAGCGCCGCCCCGACCCTTCCGCCGGCGTCCATCACGCAGACCGTCTTCTCCGCCTCATGAAAGAAAGCCGGCGCCATATCCCGCATAGAAAGAGAGAGAAACAGAGAGAGAGAGAGAGGGTTGAGGAGAGGGAAGAGACGACGGCTCATATTTATGCAGGCGGCGGAAGGCAGAGATATGGAGTGAGAGAGAGACGGGGGGAGGTAAGTGCAGAAGGAGAGGTAAGCATTGAAAGACCGGTGGGGCGGTGGTTGTTGGTTGCATGCTGAGGCAGAGGGGTTGACACATTGAACGGGGGGCGGATGGGACTGACAGTGCTGCCACGTGTCCCGATTAGGTCGTCGGCCGAACATCTCGAGTCGGGTCACCGCAGGGAACCAAGCTATTCTGCGAACGATTTAGCCCCGTGAGGACGGCAGTCAGCGTAATTATTTAAGACTTCATTGTTTTGCGCGTTCAGGCTCACCGCCTGGCTGGCAACTAAGCTGGGGACGGCGCCGCCGCCGCCGCCAGCCCAGGTGGCTGGCTGTAGCCATTAATGCACCACATCCTCCCTTAAAAGGTCAAAGTTACAGGTTTTTGAACAGATTAGTGAGGCGATAATTATGAACGTTATAATACATGATTCAAATTATTGAAAATAAAAACTTAATTCCGACCTGCCGGATTCGAACCAGCGACCTAAGGATTTATCTGAACGAGTCTAACCCACTACAGTCCTCCGCTCTACCAACTGAGCTAAGGTCGGTTAATGATTATGGTTTTAGAAAAGATTAATGATCCCATTTTTAATTCCACCTCCATAATAAATAACATAATTGACCATAATATCTATTGCCATTAATCTCTTTCTTACCAAAATAATGTAGAAAATTATAGTCAATGTTTTTTCAAAGGAAGTATTAATTACAATCTTTTGACTCTCAGGTGCACAGAACACTTGCAAACCCCTGGAGTGTTCATGCATTCACACATGCAATGAAAGTTATCCATAAATTAATTTATGATCAATCTAGAAGTCAATGGATGGTTTATCTAATTATCATAATGATTTAGATAAACCCTCCATATTTGACTTGGTCTTTTTATTTGGAAGCTCAATATGTGTTACTTTACTAAATAATGAAGTCCCTTGGGCCCTCATACCCAACACACACCCATTCATATTAATCCACTGGCTTTTAATTGGAACAACTTTGTGAGAATCAGGCCACTTTCTACTAATTCGTCATATATATTTATTTTTTTTATTTACATAAAATGAAAAATAGTTTTCAAGTTACATGTCTTCTCACCCCATTTAATTTTTGCTTATGATTATTTTATCTTGTTCTCTTCATAATATTGTGCACGTAAAACGTGTCCCATATGGTATATACGTATTTCCCTATTTTAGGCATTCCACGCATTTCTCACTTAAATTATATTTAATGTTTTTTAAATAAAAAAATCACCTCATAGTCTTATGTCTCAACATCATTGTTTGACCAAGCAAGACGTTGAAGAAGAATCCATGTGGTACATATTTTCAAAGCGTGGATGAATATTAAATAATGAAACACCTCATATAACATTGATTCAAGAACATATGGTATGATAAATTTTATCAAGAGAAAGGCTGTATATATTGCTATGATGCGTTGTGTAAGTGCTTGAGGAATTTTTTGATATTATGTCAGAGTTTTAAAAGCCTATGAACCATCAGATGTAGTGATATCTCAATAAGGGGCTACATTTCAATTGACAAAATCATCGCATAAAATAAAAAAAATGATAATTTTTTATGTTTAATATAGTGAAATTTATGCTTACGTAGGTAATCTTTCTTGTGTAAGTAAAAAATATAATTAAAATAAATAATTATGAAATATTCAATTGGATGCAAAGATAGACAATATGAGATGGAACGTATCTAAACTAATCAAATATGATGTATATAATAAATATAATTTAGTGATATTATGTCAAAGTTTAAAGCATGTGAACCATCGAATGTAGTGATATGACAATAAGGGTCTCCCTTTAATTGCATAAAATAAAAATATTGATTTATGCTTACATAGGTAATATTTGTGGTGTAAGTAAAAAAATGAAATTAAAATTATAATAAATACTTTAAAAATAGATCATATGAGATGGAAAGTATTTACACCAATATATATATATATTGTCAATTAGGTCGTCAATAGATTAATAAAATAGTTTTAGTGGAAGACAGAGAAAAGCCCAAAAACATATCACCTTTTAGTCGAGGTGAGCTCGAGCAATGCAATTTTTTTTATATATGGCTTAAAGTTTTGAGAAATAATATGGTTTCTAGCGTGAATATTTGAGATATTTAAGGAAAACGAAGAAACATATTTATTTTATTAATATAATAATTAAATAAAAGTTGGTTAAGCTGCACGTAAAAGGCTTAAAATAACAAGAGTGACATCAGTTAAAGTGTAGCAATGTTCAACCGTTGGATTAAGATCGAGCGTCTTAGGTCGAGTGACAAAGCCGGAAGCGTCCGAAACTGGAATTGGATAACGGGTCAGACCGATCCGAAAACTCGGCCGATTCCGCTGGCCGGGGTCCTCCGCCGTCGGGTGTTGAACCTCCGATTCTCTCCGGTCGCCGAGGCTATCCGCGACGGCCGCGGGCGGCTGCTCATCTCACACCTCCTCCGGTTGCGATCTACTCCTCTGCGAACGCCGCCGTGATCTCTACGTTCCCTGCCACGAGAGGCTTCCCGCTCATCTTCTCTACTGCGATTACCGCTTTCCATGCCGTACGCACTCTCTGAAACCACGCCGTCATTCTTTATTAATGCTATTATTTACTGTTTCGGGTGTATTTTATCGGCCTATGTATATCAAGGACCGATGATCTGAAGGTTTATCTGGTAGTCTGTGTGTTTCACATCTTAGGCTGTCAAATTTTTTTGATCTATCGTCCATAGTAAATCCCGTATGAATGGGTGTTCCTGACTGCATGCCTCGGAGTGTTTTTGCCATTTATACGTCTTTCAATTCCTTCGATTCAACGGAGTTCTCTCATCGGTAGCTGTTAGTCTAGGCGATATAGATGAAGGGAGATCGCGGCAAAGGCGCCGAACAAGCCAGGTAGAAGATTATGGACTTGAATTCTGGTAGGATGTATAATCCTTCGTTGTAAACCCACCTTCATCGTCTGCATGTTAAATTTTTTCCTTCTTTCGACAGTTTCCAGTCGCCATATTTGTACATCTTCTTGGTGCTTGTAACTTTAAGAGCTTGTATTAGGAGTTCTCCGATTCAAGGAGTATATTCTTCATAATTATGTCTCTGAGAAAAAGGAAAATTTAAATAAATATTCAGAATCAAAGGCTGAAATTCAAATGTTACAAACGCTTTACAAGGAAAACTCAATCTTGAATTTCAGCCTTTGATTCTGAATATTTATTTAAATTTTCCTTTTTCTCAGAGACATAATTATGAAGAATATACTCCTTGAATCGGAGAACTCATAATACAAGCTCTTAAAGTTACAAGCCGTTCTGGGCCAGATGACAGATCACAGGCCCTCTAATTTGAGCCGGCCGAGGAGAGTTGAGACCGGTCAACGGACCAGGAAGAGGAGATTGAATCCCAGCCGGACGATCTTCAGCTGGCAGCGGACCTGTCCTTGGGAGGAAGGCCTCCTACGGGGGGCGGTCATGGCGGGCCGGTCAGTCGCCGTTCACTTCTCCGACTTTTCTGCCTAAAGCGCCGTGTCCCTCTGTAACTTTCTTCCTTCTCTCTCCTTCAACCATTCTCTCTCTCTCTCTCTCCCTTCCTCCCTGTTCCATTTTTTGAAAGAAAAAGACGTGCGAGCGAGCAACCGAGAAAGACACAGCGAAGAGAGAGAGAGAGAGAGAGAGAGAGAGAGAGAGAGCGGGCGGTGCCACTCCCTTACTCCCCCGGCTGTCCCTCGTGGTGGGTACTACTGACGTAGAGAGGCAGAGAGAGAGAGAGAAAGGAGGAGGTTGGAGGCCGCCGGCTGAGGATCCAGTAGATATTATCATCCCCTTGGACTGGTCTCCCTCCGCTCGGTTCTTCTCTGGTTCTTCCTCGGAAGGTCCCCCCCGGCGGCGCTGCTTCCTTTCCCTTCGAGGATCTCCAAGATCACGCTTTGGGTCTTCCCAGTCCTCCGGTCTGCTCTCGGCCCGCCGCCGGGGCGCCTCCATTGAAGCCCTAACAGAGTCGCCGGCGGAAGATGCTCCCCACCAGATCCAAGTGAGTACCTCCTCCTCAGATCCGCTCCAACCCGCTCATCTCCTCCGGCATTCACGCGGTTCTCCCTCCTGATCCGTATTTAGGTTTTTGCTTCCATTGCTAAAATTTCTCATTCTAAGTAGGCGTCAGGAAGCACTATTTTCTGGTACATAAATATGCGAAACTGACGTAATGTAAATAATTGTAGCAACCTTTTGTTTTCTACCATACAGAATCTCATTATCACCTGCTGATTGAAAATCATCTGCGTTTAGAGAAAAATTGGGTAACCTTATCGTGAACGACTGCTTTAATAATTTTAGGGTTGATCATCTCTTATTAACCATTGGGTCTCCATTTATTTCTCTGATTTGAAAGAAATAGTGGCTGTGTAATCTTATTAGTTCTTCCAATTCCTTAATCCACTGTATGCTACATTTGATAACCACGGGACTAATTAGCTTGACGTTTGCTCTGTGGTTCACATGTGCTTGCTTGGCATGCCAAAACACCAAAGAGTTTGTGCAAGCAACCCGGCTTAATTTATTTAATTTTACTAAAAATATAAACATCAGGTGATTTTTTTTGAATAAAATACAATATCTGAAACATATTTAACGTAAGGATGCAATCAAACATGCAAAGTGGATTCCAGCGTTTGCATTTGACTGTGGTAGCACGGATGCATTTGACGTGGTTTCTCTGTACAAGGAATATTCTCAAGTACGTAAATGGTGACTTATAGTACGTGTTGATATTTTTCCCATTCAGAAATTTGGATCATTAAGATATCGTTGAAATAATATCATTTTTATGAAGGAATCTATCAGTAGATGCCTGAAAGGAGGTAAAGAAGTCTGTTGAAGCAGACCAGTGCAAGATGGACTCTGGCCTTGTCATAGCCATGAACAAGCACATCAGCTCCTTCCTCCTCTCTGCAGCTAAAGAGCCCAATCTCTCCGCTGATCTTCAGGAGCTCGCTTCTGTACTATCTTTACAGAATTCCATCTCCTACAGATCACTCAGAACTATATGGTTGAATTCATTACCATCAACGAGGCCACCGCTTCGCCATCTCATCTCCAGCTCTGAATTTGTTCTTCAGAGCCCCAAGCCCCGGGAGAAGGTACGAATATCTGAGAAACAAATAATCCCATAGCTTATGATGCTTTAGCATTTTGGGCTTTGTTCACTGACTAATAGTCATAACTAACCACATGGAATGAGCAGAGTGAGGAATTGAAGGAAAGGCTGAGGAATTTGGGAGAAATGGGAGAGAGGAAGGCATACCGAGAACTCGTCAAAGATATCGTGCCAAAGGAAGAACCTTCTGAACCTTTCTCCTCGTACAAGGACCAGCTGGGGTTTGGTAAATGTCATCATTTTCCTGCTATTATTGATATTTTCTCGTCATTAAATTTGTTTCAGAGTTTTTCTTGGCGCTACTGAAGAGGCACATCTTCTTCTTCTGAGTTATCCATCTATCTGTCTATCTGCATATATGTACACACACACACACACACACACACACACACACACACACACACACACACACACACACACACACATCTCCTATATCAGTGATTTGGACTTGTACCCTATATGCGGTTGTAGATTTATCCTTTGAAGTGGGTAGTTGACTTTGGTCTTACTTTCTGACACCAAAATTGATAAAAAAATGACTTGTAAGACTTTAAAGAGGTGGTTATCAAGTTTTCTTATATTAATTCATATGAATCACTGGACGCCTGAGTACCTTTTCTTGGTTGCTTTTTTTTTTCTGATGAGAGCGTGACTGAAAGTTTCTCCTATACATTAATCTCATGCTGTATAAACTCAGGAGAGAGAAATTAAGACCTGCCTAGATTTTTGCTCTTGAGGATGAGAATAGTGAACCAGCAAGCTGACTTCGACATCTTCATCATGCCGAAATTTCTACTACCCAGGACGACTGAAACTTTAACCTATAGGAACGCTGTAGGAAGTGGTGAGTGTTCTGTGGTGAATTAAACGTATATGGCTCATGTTCTTGTTCTGCCGGTCAAACCCATAGAGTTTCTTGCTCCCTGGGGGAAAGTCAACTGATGAAGAAGGGAAAGTCAGACATTGACTCTCCTGACTGGGTTTCTCCATGGTCAACGAAAACTAGGCTAGGTGTATAGTAAATTAGAAACCCATATTACATTTAATTAGAAATCCAAGAACTTAACAGTTAATTACATTATCCTCTTTGATCTACTGAACAGAAACTGCTCATCAGTGTTATTTCTGTTCAGATTTATTTCTGCTTGAATCGTGGGTTTTCTGGTTGCCGATGAGTTTCTTAAATGGGAAAGAAAAAGAAAAGAAGAAAAAAAAAAATCTCAAAGACAGGGTTCTGGTTTGCAGGTCTCCATGTGGTGCTGATTATGTTCACCGGATATCTGGTTGGGTTCGCCGCATTCAGAGCCTTGTTTAACCACAGCGCTGTTATGGTAAGTCCTAAACTCTTCCCGCTCCATTCGATTCCCGACCCAGTAGAGCTCCCAGAGAGGGTGTTAATGGGCCTTTTGGGCCTGATTCCGGGCTCCCCTTCCTTAAGCCCAAGCCAAAAACCGGGTCTAATGAAAATATTGGGCTTGGCATTGCAGAACGCTGCTGGGGGCATCCTCGGATTGGTCTGCGGTATGCTACTTGAGACTACTCTCTTCATCATCAGAACTTCCGGTGGGGCCATCGCTGCTTCATCAGCTTCTTCTTCTTCTTCTTCTACCCTTCCTCCTGCTTCAAAGTTGAAGAAAAATCAGTAGACATTGTTCGTATTTTCCCCTTTCGCCTTGTAGGGGCTTTCTATTGGCCTTGCGATATGCCATATTGGGATAGGATTCTGAACCTGTTCATGGACCGCAATGGCTTGGACCTCGGAATCGAGCCCCTTAAATAGCATAGATAGATATCACTGCACCGGCCCGTACTGAGTCTGGGTTAGTGATTGCGTAGGAATCCCTCTCTCTCTCTCTCTCTCTCTCTCTCTCTCTCTCTCTCTCTCTCTCTATGCTCAGGCCATGCCTGCCTGCATATGCACCTACCCGAGAGAGAGAGAGAGATGTGTGTAGATTAGGGGGCATGGGATTGATCGGATAGTTGTGTGTGGGGTTTATTTCTAGGCAAAAGAGCTCGGCCGATGCCAAAGATGGGGTCTTTGGTCCACCTGGGGTGATAGAATCAAGTTGGGGGTAAGCCCTCATCTGCATACAAGAAAGAGATTACGGGCTTTCGGGCCAAATTGTACAGAAGCCAGCGGGCCCGACTTTAGGCCCGAATCCAAAAAAGTGGTGATGGGGTCTAAGATAGGGACTTTGGTCGAGATGATGACGGGACAAGATTAAGGGCTTTCGGGCCCAGATCCTACCGATGTCTGCGGGCCAGGAACTTCCGGGCCGGGCTAAAAAGCTTCTGCAAGGCGTGCCATGTGTCATCACCAGGCATCATCCCGCGTGGGACCCTCTGGCTTCTCTGGACTTCCCGATTGTCTTCACACGTGGGGGGAGTCACGTGATGGAACATAATTTATTTTGTGAAACAAAAAATTATATTCAGCGTGGAAAGGATTTAGTGAGTGGGTTGGAAAATTGTTTTTTAAAACAAAACATGTCTGATCACGTGGGCGCCGGATTTTCATGCACTCTCGTTGGTCGGTTGCAGAAAGTCACGTGATTTGGAAACTTCACGAAGCGCGGACACATGCTTATCTACATCTGCATTAATATACATATATGAATAAAAAATATTAAGTACCTAAGAAATAATTTAATGAAAAAAATTGCTGACTTTATCTGGCGGCAACACTCTCTCTGCCATGCGAGCTCACTCGATACTACCAATGATAAAAATGGATCTCAAATAAATGAAAATAAATGAAAATACAATGCCTTATTATGACATACATTATAATTTCCATATATTTTTTAAAATACATGCAAAAATCAGCTCATTTCATTGGCCCCATCTCTCTCTCTCTCTCTCTCTCTATCTATATATATATAATATTAACGATTAGCTCGTTTAATTACCATTTATACTATCCCCCACATTTATCTGCTTGCAACTGTCATAGGTTGACTAATGAACATCCCCACCCTCAGACCTCTAGAGGCACTCATTATGGGGATACTTCTCAGTTGACCGGGCTCATTATGGCTATCTTTCCATTAATAGGAATATTCCCCGATGAGACTAGTTTGACCATGTAAAACCCATTTATCTACAGCAGTAGTAAATTGGGATATTCCACACTTTTCCCACAGACTCAACCGCTGGGTTACCATCTATGGTAGGGCATATTTCGCAGCAAGCAAGGTTGAATTCGCCTGTGCCTGAGAAGTAGGAGTCGTATGAACTGCCTCTGGTGAGGCCAAAGCCCACCCACCCTTAATCGGGAAATTTTCTAGGTCAACCAAGTGGACTTTAGTCGTCTCCTTGTTAGAGCTCGCTCGCGTATCTACTCACAAAAAGGCGCAGCTGCTGTATTCCATACAGACGTAGGGGTTAGGGTGAGGCTTTCTGAATTGGCGGGCGTGTTGCTGAGTTGACTAAACTACTCTGGGTTAGAAGTCGTGCATCTCAAACCGGGGGGCGTAACTCACACCCTGCTCTCTGACTTGGAGGTGGATGCTCCCGTGGGGGCCCGGAAATCTACAATGCATCTTCGCGAGTTGGGTATTAGTGTTCTCTCTCTCTCTCTCTCTCTACACGGATTTATATATAATAAACCGTACATATTTCCATCGTCCAAGGAGGGCTTGACTTAATGGACGGTGCAAAAACACAGAGTTCATAAAAAATGAGGTAAACTCTCTCTCTCTCTCTCTCTCTCTGTACGTGATTCCATGAGCTAACGTGGGCTTTGACTGAGTGGACGGTACAGAACACGAGTACTTGCAAAAATGACGTAAACATCTCTCTCTCTCTCTCTCTCTCTCTCTCTCTCTTCTCGTGTTACTCAAAGTAAACATTTAAACGGACGGCCATACTTCTAAGTGGGCATTTAAGTATTCCTCGTCGGAACTTGGATTTGCATGAAAGCTATCGCCTTGACAAAGAAGGCTTCTTTCTACTCTCTTTCTCTAAAACGGAAACAAGGGAATGAAGGTAGATGGACCATAGAAAAATGCGTATGATGACAGCACGCCGTGATCGTGGCGGTCGCTCTTGCTGTGATGGCGAGGGGCAGTAATTGACGGAACGACCGCCATCAAGAAGGTGAGGAAAAACAACGAGGATTGACGACCCGCCTTCCTCCCTCTATCGTTGATCACGTTCGTCCTTTGTTTTCTTCCAGTCGCCGAATATTTCCTCTTCCCCACCCCCACCCATCTGTTGGCTTCTTCTCATCTGCCCCCCCCCCTGACCATGGTTCAATGTACCTTCTCCCTTCCTCCCCCAGAGAGAGAGAGAGAGAGAGAGAGAGAGAGAGAGAGGTATCGTCGTTGATATAGGGAGAGGGGTCGTTGAAATTTTTTGTCTCTCTAGATAGAGAGAGAGGGATCATAAAACTGTAAAATTATACGAGGGGGAACAGTGTGTGTGTGTGAGAGAGAGATTATCTTCCTCCAAATTGTGAGGGGAGTGAGGGAGGAGGCCGCCGTGCGAGTTAATAGAGGAGAGAGAGTATCTGAATCGTTTTAGGGGTGTTTTACTACAAACAAGGATTATTTCTCCACACAGGAGGGGGAGAGAGAGAGAGAGAGAGAGAGAGAGAGAGAGAGAGAGAGAGAGAGGGGTTTACCATCGTTGATACAGGGGGAGGGTCGATGAAAAGAATGAATTTTTGTCTCTTTTAGATAGAGAGAGAGGGATCATAAAACTGTAAAATTATACGAGGGGGGACAGTGTGTGTGTGTGTGAGAGTATCTTCATCCTAATCGTGAGTGGAGTATGGGGAGGAGGCTGCTGTACGAGTTAATAGAGAAGAAAGTATCTGAATCATTAACAAGAATTATTTCTCCACCCAGGAGGGAGGGAGGGATGGAGGGAGGGAGACAGAGAGAGAGAGAGGAATAATCATTAATCTTTCTTCGTCATCAAATTGACGGGGATGGAATCTCCTGCCGGACGATCATCTGATCGATACGGCCGAGAAATACCTAATCATATCCCAGGAATTGTAAACATCAACGGGAGACCTGCTCTTGGTGCGGCTATCTCAACTCTTCAGGCTATCGTGGAGGCAGCTGTCGAGATGGTGATTTCGGCGACCGTCGACGCCTCTATTCTGGCCTTTTCCTCCCAGACTCAACAATCACTTCGACTGCGACCTCCACAGGAGAAAACTACGTGTTAGCGCGCGCGAGAGAGAGAGAGAGGAAGGGAGGGAGGGAGGGAGAGAGAGAGAGAGAGAGAGAGAGAGAGAGAGAGAGAGAGAGAGAGAGAGAGAGACCATGGGTTCTCGCGTAGTTCCATTGTACCCCCGGATTCGGTCATCTCCGGACCTGTGGGCACGTGTCCACTTCACTCCACAGGAAAAAGGAATCCTTACGTTTTTGCCGTCTACTGGTTTGCCAAGACTCTGCCCCCAGGTTTTCCCCCACACCCCCCTTCTCTTTCTCTCTCCACCACAGAAATCACTGGGGTTCCCCCCCCCTCCCCCCCACCTCCCCCCTGCCATTGCCCCCGAAGTGGAAAGGAAACCCGGCGGGGCCCATATTGAAAATCCAAAAACCAGACGTGGGTATTTCTGGAGAACCCTACAACGAAAAACCGGCAGCTGTGATGCCTGTTTGGGTCTCCGGTTTTAGTCCTGGGATCCGACGTGGCGCTTCTTGCGTCGTCCATGGCTTCAGCACGTGAACTGATTTTTCTAGACAATTGGACGCGTGTCACTCGGAGTCAAGTATGACCTCGAACCGCGTTCGCCTGTGGGCTTCACGTGAAATGTCAACGTGTTGCACCCCCACTCGCCCTCCCCAACGGGGGCCCTCTCCTCCAACCCCTCCCCACCCTTTATAAACCACCCCTCCTCTCTCCACTCGTAGCAGCAGAGAAAAGCTTACCTCTCTCTCTCTCTCTCTCTCTCTTTCTCTCTCTGCATCTGAAGAGCAGCAGCCGGCGGCAACCATGACGACGGCAGGGCTCATGAGGACGACTTCTGCGCCGCTGCAGTCCTACGGCGGGCACGGCGGCGGGATCTCTCTCTTCGGGCGGAGCTGGAGCAGCAGTTCCCTCACCTCTGCGCGGACCCTCCACCTCGCGGTGGCGGGGGAGAAGAAGCACCTGATTCATCACCTCAACCGCGTCCAATCGGAGGCCGATCTCGCCGGCGGCGATGGCCGGATCACCTGCCAGGCGAGGCGCGTGGATGTGGAGGCGCCACCGGAGAGCAGGCTTCAGCTGGAGAAGCTCATGGAGCTCTCCGGCGGGATCACCACCGGCAGCGGCGGCGCCGGCGGCGCCGGCGGCGGCTCCGGCGGCGGGAAGCCCGGCAGGGGCGGCTCCGACGGCGGGAAGAGCGAGATGGGTGCCTACTACTTGGAGATGCTGGAAGCCGACCCGGGGAACCCTCTCCTGCTCGTGAACTACGGCAGGTATCTCCACGAGGTACGCTTCCTTGCTTCGCCGGGTTTCCTCTTTCGGGTTTTGTCCGATTTTCTCCGGCGATCTGGCTGTACCCGCGACTGACGGCGCCTCCGCTGGGATATAGGTCGAGGGCGACGTGGAGGGCGCGGAGGAGTGCTACGGCAGGGCCATCCTGGCCAGCCCTGGCGACGGCGAGGTGCTCTCGCTCTACGGGAAGCTCATTTGGGAGACTCAGGGCGACGAGACACGGGCCGAGTCCTACTTCGAGAGGGCCGTCGAGGCCTCGCCGGACGACTGGTAAGCAGAATAAATCTCATCGTAATTTGGAAACTATTTCCATAATCAGAAGCGGTGGTTGACTTCTGGGGGTTGTTTATGGCGATGATGCAGTTACGTCATGGGATCGTATGCCCACTTCCTCTGGGACGCAGATGAGGCCGGGGAGGAGGACGAAGACGTCCGCGCGGCGCCGGCGGCGGCGGCGCCGTCGCAGCAACCGCAGCTGACGGTGAGGGCTTACTGAAGAAGGAGCTCCGGAGGACTGAGTTCGGTGTAAATTATCGTGTATATTCTCCTAGGGACGACCTTGAGACGAGGCGGCCGGGGCAGGAGGTGTAAAGGAAGCGGGCGGCCGACGTGCGACCCTGTAAAACGCAGCAGCGGCGGACTTCTGTTATTCGGCATGAATTTTGACGGGCACATGAAACAGATGAAGGTTTCTGTTACCTGCATCTTCTACTATTTTACCGAGAATGAGATGGCCATGGCCCTCGTGCGGATCTTATCCGGGCTGCTCCTCAGGCGATGAGAGAGAGAGAGAGAGAGAGAGAGAGAGAGAGAGAGAGAGAGAGAGAGAGAGAGAGAGAGAAAACCTTGGTACTAACATTCCCCACAGATACAGGCGACCTCGTCCCTTTCAACAATTCCCCCACAAGAACACCGGCTCTGAGAGGGCCATCTCAACCCAGATGGGCCATGAAAGAACTCGGCCAACCCCTAAAAGCCCTCCGGAGGGCGTCCAGCAGCCTTCAAAGGAGTCACAGTCACAGAGGGAGGGAAGTAAAGGAGAGGTAGCAAGGAGATTGCAGTCAGTCAATCCACTTCTCTGGTCCGAGAACGTCCAGATTATTAGGGTTTCTGCGCCGACCCGCCCTCCTGCTGATCGATTATTCCTCCTCCCCAGACGCAGGAGATGAAGCACAGTCAGAAGGTGAATTCCTCCGGAATCTCCGGGAATTTCCCAGAAAGGAAGCCCGAGTACTTGCCCTTCAGGTCTCCAACTGAAGAGAGGAAGACGCCGAGAGCAATGAGATGGAGAAGACGCCGGTTTCTTGCGGAGGGGAGGGGAGGATAATTATAGAAAGTGGTCGACGTTTCTCACCCTTGGGATCCGATGAAGAGCCCAGCAAGCTCTCCGGCGTGCTCCCGGACAGCGTCGACTCGACCGCCTTCACAAGATCTTTTCCTGTGGCCAGGACAAATTTTCTTTTTCTTTTTCTTTTTTTTTGAAAAAAAAAGGAGCAATCGAAGCGAAATCACAACTTTCTACCGAGAAAAGGAGTCTTCGTTTGGTGTTGTTATCTAATAAATTAAAAATATTTGAAGGGCATCGAGAGGAAATCATAGGTGGATTCGCTATTTATAATAATAATAATAATAAAAATTAGACTATTTAAAGATTTTCTTCTGAAGAATATCGAGGAATCGGATTCATATCACGAATTTACGACCAGGTGGGTCTGAATTTTTCATCTTAAAAAGTTTACCCGAAATCGAAATAAGTCAAAGGATTCGAACAACATACCAGCTATGTGCTTCCCCCCTTCGTAAACATTGATGAGAAATGATGGGACCTCACCGTCCTTCACCTGCAGCGATAAGGGAAGAGATTGCGCAAAATCATATGGGTATCTGCAGGTTGACGGTAGCGAAAAATAAAAAGAAAAAGTCAACGCATGCATATAGTTGTATTGATTGCTGACATGTGAAAGTAGAGCCTTTGCGAGGTCAAGTGGCGAGATCGGGGAAGGGCCGGGGGAGTAAGCGGGCGCGAACTTCCCGTCCTGGTAGCCTGCCAGGAAATGGTACGCCGCCTGGCCAGGAGAAAGCTTCGCAGCAGAAGGAAGCACGCCAGAACTGCAGTCGGGTAGGATTAAAACATCTGAGAACTGATACCAAATAATATGCGAGCAAATGATTCATGCGGGTAGATGGGGGCCGGATTTCATTGACTGAATGTTGACTTCTGGGCGATAACTCCCAATACCTTAAAGTCAATGGCTGTTCTCAGTCTGTATCCGTACTGTTTACAAAAAATATCGCGTAGAAATAAATAAATAAATAAATACATAAAATGATGGTTATGGGCAGAGTCCATATCCTGTGATCTACCGCGTTCCTCACCTGTCAGCGGATGCAAAGACCAGGGAAGAAGGATTCTTTAACAAGCTTGCACCATCGCTGAGTCCAGTCTGAAAGAGAGGAGCGACCCCCTCGGACGACAGGACAACCCCTGCATCTGGTGATATGAGATGCTTACGGAGATCGGCAGATGATGCCTTCACGGTTTCCTTGGAGGCGAACAAAAGAACAAGGGAATCACCAAAAGCCAGGGACCTGGAGTAGGGTTTTGAAGCATAGTTACCAATTTCATGCTTAACCATACATCAAAAAAAAAGGATGAAGAGGGGAGCGAGCAGGAGGCAATCCATACCTTGCGGAGAGAGGAAGCCCTCCTCTTGCCAATATCACCGGTGCAGATAAAGCGGCCAGCGCGTCTTTTACGCCATCAGCATCAGCAAAGGCCTTACCACATAAAATAAGCGACGATCTCTCAATGTCAGCTGCTACGAATCCATTGCTTGACTGTGATCCAAGCCCAAGAATCTCTCCAGTTTTCGGACTGCGTGACAGAGGAATGCATAAGAAGATAGCTATTCTTCTGGGGCACAGCCAGTCCGAGCAGGTCCGGCACACGATTTTTGGTAGGGGGTTTTTTTACCCAAGAACCAACAAATACGATTGTACAGAAATGTTCGTCAGATCATTCAATTTATAAGCATCCAAATCGAGAGTTTAAGCCCTTAACATGTTGGCATATAATTGAACAGGAAAGCTAAAATCTTTGGGCAGATTTGGATCAATTCTTAGGCCTACATTGAACATGAACCCAGTTATTTCATTGGGTCGTAACTGGGCACACACATCATCAAGATCAACAGTAACATATTAAATGGAGTTATATGAATCAGGACGTATGAAAAGTAGGCAGACGGTCTCATATTTGCCTGCCTTGAACTGATTCCGCCAATACACACGCGTCAGGGTGCTATCATAGGTAAGAGCATAGGTGAGCTTAAATCTGGGTAAGCGAGGAAATCTTTAAAAGGGCCGCCTTTATATAAGCTTCTTCACCCATTTCATCCCCTGGTTTGGTAAGGTAGACCCGGCAACAGCGAGTGGACAGAAACGATGGCCGGTGAAAGCGGGATTGTGGGAAAAGATAATAAAATTGGAGCTGGTGTCAGAATGGGGATGAAACCTTATCTTCCTCTTCTCTTGCTTTCCAACATTTCTTCTTCTTCTTCTTCTTCCAACCCAAATAGCAAGACAAATGGCTTCAAAAAATATGGGCCGGTGCTCAAGTCTCGCTAAAGCAAAAGTTTACCATAATAGAGCAACATTCTCTAGAGTGCAGAGACTTCTCGTATGTAAGGAGAGTAAGTTTTTTAATGGATTATCAACCCAGTAACTTTCTGCAATTAGCCGAAACAATCAACTGAAGAAGGTGATATTTCATCATCCCTCATTGGAAGGATGTAAATGCAATAATGTCGGAGTATTTTGAAATTACTTGGTCAATAAGTACTAAACAAACAATATCATATAAGAAAAAATGAAATGCAAAGAACAATATACTAAGATTCCTTCAGTATAAAATCTGAAGCAAGGCCAATAGAAAAATTGAAGACTCCTTTTCTACACTGTATTTAATTTCCTCTACCATGTTTCTGCCACTTTTCTCTAGAAAGTTCCTGCTACACTAATAAGACCATAGAAACATCTTGGCATCAATGATGAATTGTTGCCATGCACCAAGTTGATTACCTTATTGAGGTAGCAATATAAACAGTCAAAGGAGAGGAATCGTGGGAAACAGCCCGAGCAGGAGTGTTCCAGACAACATTAGCGAGTGACAACGCAGCAGATGGACAATCACTTATCATACGAACTTTTGCATCACATTTTGACGATGAACCAATAGCCCCATCTTGAACAAAGATATTTGAAACAGAGGAAATGTGAGTAGTCACCTGAAACCAAAGATAAATGTGTAATTGGAACAATGTCTGTTGCACCTTCCAATGAAGGAATCTTGGCTTGCTACCAACCATCATCTTTTACGACTGAAAAATAAAAGCAATAATTCCTCGGCTCAAGTCCAAAGTAAACTGCTACACAGAATATAGTAAATCGTTGGGAATCAGATACGTGGGGAACTTGGCCAGGCTCAGAAAAAAATCATAAGCTAAGTTTGGCAAAAGGCCATGATAGTGAAACTTGCGTATAATATTTAGGTAAATTATAGTACACGACTCAGGAAAAATTTACCTGTGTATCACAATAACCACTGCACATCATATCATCTAAATACTACCCTAGATTGTACAGACTTCGGGGTCTCCCTGTCCAAACCAGCTTGAATAAGAGTTGCCCAAAGCATCTAACATTGTAAGAATTAGTTGGACTTACAGCGGCTCTGATCCAAGTTGAACCCGTGTCAGAGAGAATACTTAATTTACAAACAACAGATAAGGAGATTGGGTACTAGCGGTTTTATAACAAAGAAACGAAATAGCTATGGCGATTTCTGTCAAATAGCAAAACAAGCACCCCCTATCCAGGAATAATTCTCATTACGCTCAAGACGACCAGAAATCATAACGAAACACTCCAATAAGGCACAACTGCCACTAGAAGCTAACAATCAATGAGACCACTGAGTGGAGATAAAAGAGAGCCATGGGGGAATAGGAGGTTGGTTGATGAAACAAACACCAGAGTGATACAACATTATGTCGGAGCAGGATATTACAATGATAACAGAATGGCAATAAGTAAATGTGGTAGATGTATTCCAACTTGAATCGAAAATAAACATAAAAAAAATCACCACATTAGGCACACTAATTTCATAAGCAGAAAGAGCTCAAGGGGCATCTAAACTATGGGATACCTGTTTCAAAAGTTTACCGAACTGAGCTTTTGAAATTTCGGAAGGCCCACTAACAGCATCTCCTCTGACATGAATTGGCAAGCCAGACAAACGATCTATAAAAAACCCAAAGCGTTTGAGCCATCACGAGTATATTCTGTTTAAAGGAAAAAGAGGGAATTAACTGGCATAGCCATAGTCTTACCTACTGTTTTTGCACCATGCTTTTGCAGATCAGATGACTTCAGGTTGTAGAATGCTTTATCCTTCACAATTACACCTCTCCCAGCAAGAGACCAGTTAAGGCCATAAGAAACTCCAGGACCTTCCCTGTGTACAGAGAATATCGAGGAGAACTCAGAAATATGATTTTTTTTTTAAACCGTATGGTTCAAGGATGACGATGCTGCAATGCCAAAACAGCACTTCCCAACCCATGAAATTTTAATAAAAGTCAGTCTAATCCATGAATCTGACAAAACAGGCCATTAAAAAATCACATTCGCCGATGTATCTACATCAAGAAATCTAGGATCCAAATTAGCTAATTGGAAATTTAACCCTGGCCAGGCAAATCTATCCGTCTTTAAACCTACACCAGTCAAAGGCATACTGACCCATGGAGCTTGCCTTTAGAAAATACTTTTCTTGGTCCAACACATGCACTAGAATAGGGGGAGGCAAGTGATAAGGGAACTCAGAAGTACTCCCTCTGTTCACAAGCATTAGACATGCAAATTTGTACAGGAGCACACCTTAAAAGGTCCACCAAGGCCTAAGACTACGGTTACTAATGCGGAACAGGTCAAGGAAGGCAGAGCAACCTGCTACAGAAGGGGCCAGTGGCAGGGTTTACCACATTTTACACACCACCTTCAATCATTGGAGGAAACCTTCTCACATCAGCGACTGATACTAGGGCTCACACTATTCAAGACCAATCTTACAGCATTTACAAAGGCCTAAGGCTAGGGCTCCTAATGATGGAAGTCCTTGCATAAGAGAACTCAGTCTCCTCAGAATCAGATAATCCCATATTAGGATTGCCCCATAACTAGTTGATGTAACCCGGACAAGATGGTTTAGTAGCTAACGGGATGCAGCTGTAATTAATCGGGTAATTATCCTGCCAATCATTACTGAGCTTGTCAAGGGGAAAAAAAAATTGAGAGAAGAGAGGGAAGGGGTTTCCACGTCCAATCCTTCTTCTAGGCACTGGAAGATAGACAACTACTCAAAATAAAATTTCTTCATTCTCATTCTTTCCATCAAAATTACAATAAGAAAGAAATAAAATAAGAGATCAGAAGTAGAAAAAAAGCACTCCAAATATCACAAAATAAGAGGAAGAAGAATGGAGAACAGACATCCCCAGCAGAATGAGAGTAAAAGCAAGAACAAAAAGAAAGATGGGGAAAGAGAGAAAGAGAGGAGACAGACAAAAAGAAAATTTCCAAAGACACAAAAAACCGCGTTATTAAATTAGTCCTTCCTTTCGATTCATAACAAAGTTAACACGCAGTATCATTAGAAATAATCAAGCCAATACGTTTATCCTAACTATGGTTTCAACAGGGGATTCAGCACAATTAAGTGCAAAACTAATGACAACTGCATGTGATTGAAAAATGATTAATATGATGATGGGAATCAATTTTTGCCTCAATTAGGAATTTAAAATCAGAGCTTTCCGGTAACTAAGCTCAGTTTACCATTTGGAGAATGACTGAAGCTCTGGTACCTCTGCATACATCGGGAGAATGACTGCACATGACTGGGGGGAAGTTCAGATTTAAACCATAAGAAGTGCCTATAGATTGAAGCTCTAGTAAAACTGAAATGCAATCAAACCTAATCAGGTAGAATTACAATATTTTACTGGGAATTAGAGAATGGGGTTACTTCCGCATTATTGTTCGTTGAAAGTTAGAATGCGTTTAAACGCAGTGGAGAATAAACTAGATCTAAATCGGCATGCAGAAAAAGACAACTTCTAAATGATGAGGATTAAGGCAACCACTGTTCCATTTCCTTCCATATTTAGATCCATTCCCAGCATCTTGTATCCTTAATTTCTTTAGGGAGGTGAATGTTGAGAGTACATTGCAATTGATTTTCCTATACACAGGTATAAAGTGTTTTTATACAAAGAACACTATAATTGCAACTAAATTATACAAATTGTTGCTCCTTTGGAACGCCTTTCCAGTGTATTTATTGTCAAGTTATTGTCAAAGCCAGATGGAAAAAGAGCAAGAAAATAATCAGAAATTGAGAAATTACATATTTCAGAAGCGTCAATAGTGATAATTCATCACAGAAAAACTCCGCGACGTTGATTTAATACGGCAACCAAAGGAGAACATCCACAAATAGAGTTTGCAGGAATGTTTAATGGTCCACATCCCTCCAAACAATTAATTTTTTGTAATGCAATTCTTGAACTACATTAAGATTTTTTTTCACTAAAATTTCTGCTGAATTAATTATACCTTGGAAAAACAACCGTTTCTGCCTCCTCTTGTGCCAATGATGCTGCAACTGCGTACTGCATTTCTCCAAAAAAATCATGGTATCATATTGTGTAGCTTAGTGCTTGATAGGTGATATTATACGCACAGATAGTAAAAGACAAAACTTCAAATCATCTGGGTGATTAAATGTGATTTAGGCCAATTAAATAGTATATTTTTTAAGGGATGCGACCAACTGCATAACATTTATAGCAGAACCTGGGAGTTGCCAGGAAGCCACCCTGGTCCATTGAAACTTTTTTACACAGGCATAATAAAGGGAATAAAAAAATAAAAATTAAAAAGTACTACTAAACATATGAAATCATAAAAGTTGAAATCGAGTCATTGCCAATGCAATGAGAAAAAAACTCGGCCATAAAATCAAGAACGAACAATGGAGTTTACATCAGCGATGTAGCATTTAGTGTTTTCCCCTTTTTTTATCAGCAAAATAAGAGTTGTATACAAAGGGAAAGATAAACAAAAATGCATGCCTGCACATGCACGTGCACGTGAGAGAGAGAGAGAGATGCTATCATTGAAGGTTTCTGAACATCAAATCAGGTATGTTGTCGTGTCAAATTACGAAACATTTTAAATGTCAGCCCAGGGTTTCAAATGTTAAGTTCCGCTGATAGGAACAGCGGCTTTGGAAGGTGTTTGAAATTTTTAGGCATATATTATTGTGAAATTATTCGCAAAATCAGCACAGATTAAAATGGACTTAGGTGTATACACGAGTAGTATATACTTCCTATGTTTTGCAAGAATATTTTTTGGTATTTCTTTAGATTAGCTGTACACCCACTTCGACACTTGATATCCATCTCTGATGTGAATAGTGTAAAGCTGGTCGCTTAGCCCTTTCTACTCAACTTGATAGTATACTATATTTTGGGCAGCAGAAAGAGATAACATTATTGACATTCGCTTCTTTCCGTGTAAACTATAGCACCGATATTGTACAGAAGTAAAAAGATTAATTGCTCAGACACTGGAAACATTAGACATACTGTCTATCAAGGAACTTATTTAATTATCGTTTAGCCTTCAGAGACCAAAGGCAAGGAAGGAGAACATCATTACGAGATGTATTAGATTATTATACTTTCGGATCTCAAACATTTCGAAATAACGCCAGCCTGAACTTTTTGCGGATTACATTACAGACGTAAACGTAGTTTAGTCCAATTGGTTGTTCATGATCAACGTAAAGATGGCGTCTAAGGTCACTAACTGCACTGAGTTTTATTTGCAATTGACAAATGTTTTTAGGCCATGTTACCTAAATGTTGGATGCGAAACTTGTGAAGTGCCCAGAAAAGATAAACTACACATTCTCCACAGCAGTCATGTAACACATCATTCAAAACATTTGAATGTTCACTGCACAGTTATTTGATCCAAATAGAAAAAAAATCTATCTGTGTCCTTTAAAAATAGAGATCAATCGTTATAACCCCTTTCTAGGTATTATTCCTATTTACTCAAACGTCCCTTTCAATGATAGTCAACATCAGACCTAGGAACACCTGTTCCTAGAGGCATACGACAAACCAGATAATCCAGTTGGAAGACTCAAGCATAGTCTGAGTTCAGTTTAATAAATGGCCACCTTCGAATGGAACGCCTGTTAATTAACACCTCATAATTATTTTCTGAAATTCAGAAGGCCAATTTGGTTTCATATTTTAAGTAATTCTGTCCACACTAGATACTATTTATGATTTAGACTAGGCATAATTTGCCATTTCAATCTGTTCCTAATCTCTGATCCGCCATAACATCATCAATTTCAATTCAAATATAACTCGTCACTGATCATAGGCACATCCCAACCAGACTAGTTCACCGTAATGAAATATTAATTTACTTTGTGGACAAATGCACTTGGAGTTAATGGAAATATTTTAATCCTAGATGTCGAAGAAGCACCTTAAAGTTAAATAAAATATCATAGACATGTGCCCAATAGGACGCATTTTGGAGTCCACCGATGTTCCAAGGCATCGGCAATAGCCACTGCATTCTACAGATAAATAAATACACTATGGTCTAATGTTATGTCTCTTTAGAAAGAGATGCGACGAAAAATGGGGGTTCGTGATATATAGAGGATGCAAAAAAGAAACAATCTGCTCCCGCCGTTAATGTTCATGCATTTCCCCAGACAACTTCCTCGGGAGGACTCCCAATCAGAAAAACGGCTCCAACTCTGTAGGACACCAAAAAAATGCAGCATCACACCTCCATCCCAAACGGCGACACATAGGCGCATTCACCAGAAATCTCAAGGAACCCGCAACCGCTGACTACTCCGTAAAACCTAAGCTACAATTGTAAACCACGATCGAATCTATGGAAGCATTGGTTTATACATTCCTGTTAGTCTCTACTCTGGGAATAATTTTTTTCACTATCTTTTTTCGAGAACCTCCTAAGGTTCCGACTAAATAATGAAATGATTTTGCATTATCCCAATTGAAATTGAAGTAAGCACGGGTAAGCCATTTCTCCGGACCTGATCGACTAATCTCAGACGGAACAGATGCGAGGAAACGCATATTGCATTGATGATCCGTCGGGAAAAAAAAAAACCAAAGGCCAGGCACGTACTTGTCTGGTCGAGCAAAAGACGGGACGGAATGGAGTGGCTGAACCGACGGGACCGGCGGCGGCCACGGGGCCCGATCTCGTCGAAGCCACCGCAGCTCGAAGCAGCCTTTTCGCGAGGAGAGCCCTCATCTCGTCTCTCTCCTACCCCTCTCCTTCCCCTCCCGCTGCTCTCTCGCCGGGAGGACCAAAAGCGGCAGGTGCAGCTTGCGATGGAGAGCAGCGGCGGTGGAGGGAACGACACTACAGGTACCGCCTCCCCACCTCTCTCCCTCCCAGTCGAGTCTCACACTGATCCTCTGCCGTACGATGAATGTAACCATTGAGTCCAACAATCAGACGGTCAATATCGCACGAAACTTGCGCACCGTCGATCACTCTTGATGATGATGGGCTCCCCCTGGCACGGGAGCATGTGTTACCCTGGGCCAACCCATTTTTATATTTATTTAATATTTTATTGCTGAGTCTCTAAGGCCATTTAGTCTTCTTACGCGGTAAACATAATTAAGGTCCCTTTTTTATTGCGATTTCACGAACTTACCTTCAAACTATCTCGAATTTAGTTTTAACCCTTCATTTATACATGTAATTAAATTGAATTAACTTATAATTAACCCCTTTTAACCTGAATGAGAAAAATATCAAATTATTGCCATTTAAAATAACTCCAAATAAGAAGGAAGTTTAAATGGGTATCAGGAGAAATAAAGTAAAATGGGGGTCTTTTGGTTATTAAAAAGAAACTAGGGGATAGAAATGTCTACCCTTCTTTTTGGAGGTTGTGGCCCATATTTATTTTTTCTTTTCTATAATCCTACAAGCCCTTTAATAACACAAAACCATGTAACTAGTCTTCATGGTCCACGTAATTTTTTTTATTATAAAGTCAGCATTTGGAAGTGTGAATTAAACATCCCATATTGCTTACCAATGTAGATTTAATTATAATTTTAAAACGTAAATAAATGGCCCACCCTTGTTGGGCTTTTTTGCTAGCTCAACTAGATGAGTAGCACCTTGTTAGAGAGCTTGTATGGACTTTCTAGGGTGAGCATGACTGTCTATGTAGAACATGAGATGCTATCTTTTGGGAATTGTCTCTATTCAAACTATAAATCCTGTAGATAGATGATGAGCATTGAAGTGGGAGAAGAGGGAAGGGTCCTTAGGTGGATCAGTCATTCTTTGGTCATTTTGATGATTCATACATATATGATGATCTTCATAATAAAACTTTAGTCCCTCATCCTACAAGTATTTATGATATGTGATTGGTGAGGGGGAGGAACATCTGATTCTCTTGATAGCACAAGGGGAGGATAGCAAAGTAGAAAGAAAAAGGATATTCTCCACAGAGAAATATAGGTAAGTTAGTGGAGATAAAGACATATATAATGTAAAACTCAAAATTTAGAAGGTTCAACCAAAGTTCAACTCAATAAAGTGAATAAAAATAGAAGTAATGATTGAAATAGGACTTTCTATTTCATAGCATCATAGTTCATGAGTGAGACCAAATTACATGAGATCTCACATTAACCCTCAATGTCCTTTTGTTATAAAAGAATAGCCTCGACTATCTTCTATGTTTTATTGAAAGAAAACAAGCATGTTAAATCTCGTAGATCTATGTATTAAATGTCATGTACATATATACACAAACATTAAGAATAATATTCTTTTTCATCATCACATAGAGAGTTGGTTCAATTTCATTTATGTATAGTTATTCTTATAAAAATGAGTCAAATCTAGTCTACCATATCCTTGGTACTTGATTGAGATCATAAAGTGACTTTTTAACTTACAAACTTTATTATCTTGTCATTAGTCACAAACTCTTGTGATCGCTTAATATACACTTTTTGATCCAAATAAATAAGAAACATATATTTAATATCAAACACAAATATTGATCATAATATTTATGCTGTTAAAATTATAATAATTCTATTTTTTTAAATTTTAAATAAGATAAATGTCAAGCAATGATGTTTTACACAAGCACATACTTCAAATATCATTATTAGACATAATGGAAGACACATTAAAGATTCTATTTTTATGATGCAATAACTTCAACCAATTAAAATATAAATGATCATAGTATAATTGCCAAATAAAAATTATCATTTCTTTATGTAATCGCAACAAACTCAAAAAGTTTTGAAATATTAAGATGAAATATCATTTTTCTAACTTTGTTAATAGACATAAGAGTCATGTCTTCTTACTCTTAATGACGCACTTGTAATCTTCAAAATGAAATTTGTAACCTCAATTTATTAATCAACATAAACTAAATAAATTATATGCTAAGATAGGAACAAAATACATATCATGATTTACTAACTTCTTTAAACCTAATTTTTTTTGGACAGCTGGTTTTGATATCTTCAATTTGAAAACTTTTTTCATTCTAATTGAGTTATATACATCATAAATTATATATTTATTTAGAAATATATAATTATTGATAACATACATCATGATTTTTTATATCACAATTGAAGTACCATTGAAAAACATTTAAATTATATACATTGATGATATTCAGTATAATATTATAACTAACAATGAATCCAAGAAATCACATACAAATCCAAGAAATATTCTCAAAATATAAGTATAGAATAATTGGTGTTAACATATGAGTACAATGTTACTAGTGAGCTTTGAATGTGGCATATGAGTACAATGATGATAGAAATATTGATACAAAAAATATTTAAAAAATCAAAGACATAATGACAAACATAGTCTTTGAGCTCATGAGCAAACTATACAAAAGTGAGAAAAATGACAACCAAAATATTCAAATATCATATAGATGAAAGTATAAGTAGAATTCAAACTCGAGAATCACTACATGACAATTGAGCTGGTTTGCATGAAGTAAAGAAGGAAACATATAAGTCTTCATCACATAACTTACACAATAACATGTTAGAGTTTTACTTGGAGAAAATGATAAAAAAGTTGAACAACTTCAACCTTATCTTAAAAGTAAGATCATTTGTTGAAGTGTTGCAAATCTCCATAAAGAAGGTTTGAAAATCATATGTGAAAGACATACATATTTTGAAGCATAGAAAATCTCAAGGTTAGTCTCATGCACCTTAGATAGTAACATGTCACCGTAGTTTGTGGACAGAACAACAAGTTCAACACTAATGCTATCAAAGATAATATATATGAAAGTAAAAAGATCTCAATTGAAGTGTGACCAAAGCTCAAAAAGTAAAGATTATGAATGATAGCTTGTCACCAAAATATGTGGACTAAAAATAAGTTAAATGATCTTTTTGAGTAAGACCTTGAAAGATAAAATATTTATTGATTAGTTACGATTTTTTTGATAAAATATCAAAGATAACAACTATAATGATAGAAAGTGTATAATTATAAAACAATTGAAGATCACCAATATGTCGGCAAAGCAATGAGAAGATTTTCAAACTCATATGACCATTGTCAAAAGCTGAAATGATAAAGATACGTTAGAGTATAAAGATGATCAATTGAAAACAAACTAAAATTGATTGTGAATGAAGATGTTTCATCTACATCACTTACATAGTTCGAGAAGAAAATGTTACTTAATCCTCTACAACAAAGAGACCACCACCTTGAAGAGAGAATCAAAGTTAATCTATGAGTTGAAGGTTTATTCTACTTATTCAACTTAATTGAAGGTTACATTTCTCGATTAGGCCTTAAGATAACTTTAGTGGTAAGTGAAGAGAAAGTAAAGTTAAGATATGAGGTGCTAAGAGCCAGAATCTACTAGTGGAGGGTGTCATTCTATGAGGAGAAATATATATTGACTAAGACATGTAATGTTGAGAGTTAAGAATTATCTATGAGGAGTGAGATCTTTATAGAGTTCAAATGATGGTATTTGAGAAAGCTAAGTCAGTGAAATTAATTGTCTTTTCAAAAAATAAAATAAAAATATCATAAGAAGATTATCTAGGATTGGATGTAGCCCAAAGAAGAATGAACCAATATAAAAATCAGTATAATGTCCATCATATTTATGTGGGAGAGAGAGAGTGAGACTGAAACAACCTCATGATGAAAGAAGAGACTTAGGTGAACTTGTACATATGATCGAGAAATTATGTTAGAACAAGTGTCGACACATATACATGTAGATAAAATACTAGAATATAATAGAAAACTTAGGAGACCAATTCACCCCCCTATCTTGGTACATCACTTACGCACATCAAATCTATTAGCATCTTGAATTCTCTATAAAGAGTTCAGAGTTTCACTTTTATGATCTTGTTTTCATGACATTTTTCTTTAAAAATCTTATATGGTTCTGAAAATGTGTGACATCAACATTTAGAAGAAAAATAACCTTTGACACATCATCTTATAGTATAATTAGGACAATTGTATCTTTCTTTTGAAGTTTCTTCAAATTAATTTATTTTAATCTCTTCTTATTTGTATAATTACTCTCAACTAGACCCCAATCAAAACACATATTTTCTTATAGTAAAAAATGACACAAGAAATTATGAAAAACCATGCCTTAATTCAAAATATTTATAATTAATGAAATTATCTTCACATATAAGAGTTTAAAAGTACTAGATTCTTCACATAGACACCTTGCTTTGACAATGAAAACATAACAACTAGATTCCCAATGACGTGACTTAGTTGTTGTATAGTAAATTACGTAAATTTAAAATTTAAAAAACTAAAAAATACAATTTTTTAGATATTTAGAAGTATTTTTGAATAAATATATCAATTATAATTCAATAAAACTTTTAAAAATAACAATAACTTTTCAAGTTGATCACAGGGATGTAATATAATAT